TACCCTGGGCATCAGAGCCACATAAATTAGAGAGCGTAAATAAAAGATAAGAGTACGCTCATTCGCTTCTCTGCTTGGCATTCTGTTTACGCGCTCGAAATTTTGTGGCTCTGGGACCCAAGGTACACGTAAGATTGAACACATGGCTGAAATGACGGAAACCAGGGTTTGGGTGGTTTGAAGCGCATGTATTGGGACTTTAATCGCAATATAATCAGTCTAGGGCATTAAGTATTCGACATTAAGTTAAAAAATTTTCTCCAATGCGGAAAGGCCCGTAAATTTTTGTACACAGAGCCCGGGTGGCGATCGCCACTTTGCCACCCGGGCCAGACCGCCCCTGAGAGTGGGACACGTGGTCAAATATTGTAGATGACGCCCGTTGAAGCAACCATTGCAAGAAAAAGCTCCTATGGCCGTAGACGCAATGAGCCCAGTTTTTGAAGCCAAAATTCAGACGAGAATGACGACACAAAGCACCACTGACCCCCCTTCGTTGCTCTGTGCAGGTTGGTCCGCCAGTTAGAAGCGTCGATTCTAAAACGAGGAACAAGCGGAGCAACCCAGTAACAACCCAGTAACAAGCGAAATGTGAAGAGGTCGTCAAACACTTTTGTTGCGTACATTTCCTGTTTTGATAGTTCCCAACCATTTTCCCTCCTTTTTAGACAGGGAAATTGTTGTGACAAACTAATAGGATGAGATGAGAAACTCTATCTTGTTTAAAAAATGAATTCCGTTTTACAAATCATGGAACTTTGAACTTTTTGCATGAAAGTGAGCCTCATAGCGTCCAGAACAAGGATCAAAAAGGCCCCAAGCGATAAATGTGCACATTCGGCAAAAATCATTGATTGAAAATACGATATTGCGATGACGTCATCACAAAGTTAAAGTCGTGACACAATTGCTTTGGCCTTCTTTAACCTGTAATTCACAGACCCCAAATTTTCCCCCCTAAAATCTCAGACCCCAAACATTGACATGGACCCCCGTATAGAAAAGTAGGGAGTACCCCCTGGGCTTCCCACATCTAAATACAGCATCAGAACGGAAGCGAGTCCCTTGACTTCCACAATATCCACAATAAAAAAATTATCGACAAAATGAATAAGCCGTGAGGGGGACCTTGCGAATGCTTCAAAAATTACTTTGTGGAAGAATGAAAACTTACATACATTCATTTTTATAAGAAACAAAGGTCGATGTTAAGTACTCCAATTTCTCAATGTTCTGGAAATTTCAATGCTCGTTGTTTCTTAAGAGTTTCGAAAACTGGATATGTTCTGGAATGCATTATGAGCTAACCTGATGGGCATGATTGCAAAAATTTTCGGGGTTCGTCTCTTTCGGTATTGCCTCTGGGCCCCGAACCTCCGAAACCGAAAGGGGCCATTCAGAAAAATGCGAGCACAACACAGAAAAATCCGAGGAGTAAATCATTCTAAGAAAATCTCGTACATTTTTTGTGAAAATCCTGTTGTTTCATCTGAAAATCCCCCAAAATCCTTTTGTTTTAGGCAAATCTCGTACCCTATTTGCAAAAGTGAATTGCCCCTCGGAAAAATCATCATTGGAATCCAAATAGAGACAATAGCAGCTTCTTCATAATGTAGATTTATTTCAATATTGCTAGATGAAAAGAGGATCGGGCTCTGCCAATTATCTGAAACATTTCGTCCTTATAGTTTTTGTCTAAAAGTTGTTGCCCGACAGGCCCGTCGGAACCGGGGGTTCCAGCCCCCCCCCCATAATTGTCAAACTGTAGTATGTTTCCTTTATAACAGTGTACTGAATGCGGAGGAAAACAATGGGCAGCCCCCCCCCCAAAATTGAAATTCGTTCCGACGGCACTGCCCGATGGCAGAATCACAGAACCAAAAAGTTAAATGTCAAAAAAGAGGACCGAGGAAGGTTTGACGGCCTCTTGATAGTTGGCCACACGAACTTTTGACAGTTGGTTTGGATTTTAAACGCCCCACGTGTTTTTTGTTAAACAATTAATTCACATTCCCGCTTGTTACTGGGTTGTTCCGGAGGTGACTAGGTTGTTACTGGGTTGTTCCGCTTGTTACTGGGTTGTTCCGGTTCAAAGGTCAATTGGGACAGACAATACAAATTGACGAAGCGGAAATATTCCAAACCCCGCTCTCAGCAGTTTTCAAACATCTGACGTCAGTGGCACAGAAACTTCTCACCCCACCATGCCAGTGTGATGCCAAGTCAGGAAAGCTGTCTCAGGGTCTTAGGGTCCGGTTTTTACGGTATGCCGTTTAATAAAGAGGACACGATGCAAGAATTGGTTCAAGCCGGGGGCCTGATTATAAAGGAGGGAGCACTGTTACGACACAGGGTTCCCTTACGGACAAAATCACGTGAAAATTGCATTATTGTGCTGTGATTGCATCAGCGTCTGTAAATAGATTTTTGCATCACGTATTTATTATTTCTAGGTTCTGCTACGGGTACATAAAGGGTTCTTTCATAAGTTAGGTTTAGTCTTGTAAAGCCTTTTGCCGTACTGCTAGAAGCTCTGTCGCTAGTTTTGTCATGCCTGTTAAAGGCATTGAGTCATGATAAATAGACTGGGTATACCCTAAGTGCCAAAATCCGCTGAGTCATGATTTCCATGACTGCGATGCTATTGGTTGACCTTGAACTGGTCACATGAACTCACCTCGTACTGATTAACATAACAGTTTCCATCAATAGCAAGTTGTCAACAACGGATGCCAATATCACATGAAACAGCAGCGATCACGCCGAAACCAAATGACCCCCTATAGAGAAAGCTTATTTACCATGACTCAGACCCCGTTTACACTGTCCCGTGCAAGTTTGGAACCGTGACAAAACTGTCGCGGTTCGCCCTTGCGTTTACACTAGCACTGTGGAACCGTGACGATTTTGCTCTGCTATCCGGAACAGTTTTGACCCTGCTTTGAAAGCGAACGAATTTTGTACCGTCACGGTTCCGTTTTTGAACGGGACAGTGTAAACACCTATCCGAGACGATTTTGTCACGGATTCACAAAGAGGTCTTTTGTATGGCTGTTTCAGGTAATCGAGGCTTTGATTGTGGCGTAACTACGTTCTCAAATTCTGAAGAAAAGGAAATTCTGAAGAAAAGACGACCACAGAAAAGGCTTGTAGTGTTTCCCAGTCCAAGCCTTGATTGGACTTTGCAGTTTTGTAGTCTAAAATAACACTGAAAATTAAAGCCACCTTGTCTTTCGTCCAAGTAAAGTTTTAATCGGCCTTCCGCTCCATTTTAACTCACAATAAAAATTCGATTGTTGACTTCAGCTGCAAAATAAAAGCCTTGGTTGACTAAATACAGCTTCTTCTAAACAATGTTCTACCATTAAATTAAGGTCGTACCGGTACAGTGTAAACGGAACGGCTAAACGGAACAATTTGGAACCGCGACAGTGTAAACACTTGGGAACCGTAACGGTACAAAATTGTCCCGGGACAGTGTAAACGGGGTCTCAATGCCTTTAAAAAGAAGAATTTTGATTTTATCCGCCGTTGCCGTATTTTTGAACTTTTCTGCCTACAACGAACTCACGTTGGTAAAACCTCTTTTAAGTGGTTTTACAGACCGATTTAAGCAACAATGATTAGGGGGATAGACAATAATTGGATTTTGGTACCACACTCTTCATCCGGTTACTGGAAAAAGATGGAAACGCCCATTTTCGAAGTTCGGTTTTCAACTTGAAGGTAAGGAAGGTAGAAAAATGGCGTTATTTTGTAACAAAAATCTTGGCGTTAATTTTTTGCCTACCAAAAAATGATTTTTACCGAATGGAAGCAAAATTTACCGAAAGACACAGAAATATTGGGAGGTTCACACCTTTTACACCCCCATTAAATCCGCCCCCTTACCGCTTTATCACCTTGATTAACTGCGTAATGAGGTGGAATTTTTTGTCACTCCTCTCCCGATATTGTGTAATCTCTGTTTGACTTTTACCTATCGCTTTTTGTTATCCATTATTTTCATTTGAGATCAAATCTTCTCTAATTCTGGTCTCAAATTCTCGGAGTATGCTAAAGCTAAAACATTACATTTATACGATTCATGTGTAGTGCAGCACGCGTAAAACAGCGTCGACTTTTCAACAGATATGTCATTTGTACCTAACTACAGGCAGTAGTAACATCTGTATCTAATGCAGGGGAACTGTTTGCTGCCCCCCCCCCATACTTTGCGTGATGCATTATTGACCAAATTTACGTGTGTGAAATCGTGAAATCTCGATTTTTTATGCGTGATTTCATGAATTAAGATTTCTACGTGAAACCTGAAGCTTGAGATTTCCTTGCGTGATGTCGTGAAAAGACTTTAACTATCCGTGAATTCGTTAATTAAATCTTGAATGATAATTTAAAAAATTGCCGCAATTTGGTGCGTAATAAACCAATAGTAGTTAAATCTCAAATAAGTATTTTGTTAAGTCATATCACGAATGAGTCTGTATAGTCTCTATAGTCCCTATTAAATTTCCTGTCGTTTCTGCTGATTTGTAGAGCTAGCAAAGTGTAGACAAAGTGTAAAGTTTTTGAAAGTAGTGTTGTAGTCCTTCAAACAGGGCTCTGATGAGCAATAGCTGATATTACATTTACTGTTTGCGTGAGCATAAAATCCAATTTCGCAATGCGAGAATGCATGAAAAGTCAGAAAATTGTGCGTGAATGCGTGAATCACAACCACTATGGGGGGGGGGGCTTTGCTTATTTTGGTTTGGCCCTCCCTCGTCAACCTGTTTATTTTAAGTTGGCAATTTCTTTTATAAACCCCAAGATGCTAGCAAATTTTTTTCCTCAGTAAATTAAAAACCGTCTTATTGTTATCACCATTAAGATTGAAGCGAGTCTAGAAAATCTAGAAGCCAGTGTATGCAGGAGGCAGTGTATCTCGAACATCCGGCTCTCCCATACTGCGTATACCCCCGTCTATCTGCTATCAAGCCCTAGGTTACCACCGTCCGACGTGATGAAAGCCAAACACTCCTTCTCTACGCAAAAGACGGCTAGAACTGTTGATAAACTTCTAGCGATGGGAATAAAGTTAGGAGCGCTTGCCTTCAGCCTACTGATCCTGCTACTGACTGGAATTCCGGCCAATGGGCGTTTGACCTACCAGCAGAAGATACCAAACGGTGACAAGGTTCCTCACCCGTGTAAGAAAAACACAATATGGAATGGAGTGGGACATTTGAATCAAATAGGAGGCGGCAAGCGAAACCCTTTTGGGGTGGCATTCAGTGATGCTGGTTTCAAATGGACCCGTTCGTTGTGCCAAGCGGATTCGGATAAAGACGGTAAAACCAATGGAGAGGAACTAGGCAAGTACTTACACTTAGTTTTAACGCCGTTGCAGGCTTGTTAAAAGCTTGATACAGACCAGGGCCTCCGACGAAGGGGGGCCGGGGTGCCATGGCCCCCTCACTTTTTTTGCAAAACAATAGAGCTTTTTTTTACATCTTTTGTTATGATTGTTACATTGTCTCTTGGCCCCTCTACTTTCCAACCTGCGGCGGAGCCCATGCAGACCCTGGTCGTTAGATAGCAAAGTTAGCACAGACACGCTTCCGTTTCCTACATCGAAAAGACCGGTTTACACGATCATATTCAAGTCACATTTGCATCACATATTATATGTGATCATAGAATGTGATCGTGTAAACGACCTTACAAGCAGTAGCGGCGCTACGGGGGGAACTGAGGGGGACACGTCCCCCCCAGTTCTCAGGAGAATCGTAATACTTTTTGTGATGTAATCCTATGATTTTATGATTAAACACCGTACTTTTTGTGATGTAATCCTATGATTTTCAAACTGCCAATTTTCAAACAAAAGTAAGTCATAGGCGTTCCCTTCGGATAAAATTGGCGTTTTCTGTTGGTAAAAGGGCATTTTCTGGTTGTTAAAAGGGCGTGGCTTAAATGTTTTTGGTTTGTCCCCCCCAGAGCTGAGTGGCTGGCACCGCCATTGCTTACAAGTTGCTTGAAATTGTACGAAGCTGCATAAATTAATCCTTTTTAATTGCCTGTTAAATCGATGTCACAAATTTTTCATTTGACCAGCGACCAAATGGGAATGTCTGTGATGCAATTTTTCAAAGGCACCGACAAGTCTTTGCTGTCCTGGGTAGATCGGGAACTGTTTCGAGTTCATTTGTATCGACGTATTTGAGAAAAGTGACCTACGTTTCTAAACTCTAGAGAGATAGGCAACATTGACGTGGAATTCAGGACGTGAAACACCTAGTCTGGTCTAGAACAGCAAACCAGAAATTGGCAGTAGAAACAGACAGATGGGGCAAAATAAGTTATGATCAAAGAATATGTACTTTGTGTTCATCCAACGAAATCGGTGACGAGTTCCACACACTCTTGAAATGCCCTACTTTTTTGCATGTAAAAAATGATTATATTCCTAGCCATTTTGTTAAATACTCGTCTATATTAAAATATCTGATGACAAAGACCGACAACAATAAAAGACTCTGGGCCAATATTGCAAGACTCATAAAGCCCTGTTAACACTACAACTTTAAACCTGGGCTAACGCTAACCTGGGTTGAACCCAGGTTGAACCCACTTTCGTCTACATTAACAACAAAGTATAGTGTAAACGCAAAGTTGGGTTGAGCCCAGGTTAGATTTGTCACGCATGCGCTTCGTTGTGAAGGACGCTTTCTGGGGGTTTCTGGTACACGAATCTAGCTGTTGCTGGATGTCTTCGTTCGCCCATATTTCGATTAACGACATGACTTTATCGTCGCCCCATAGTTTACCTCTTTCAGCCCTCGTTTCATTCATTTTCAATATATGCTGCTTTAAATTGAAGGACCTTTTTGCACGAGCGTTCCAAGACGAATTTTGTTTTTACTTTGTGTTTGGCGCCTTTCATGGCTCAAAAGGCGCATGCGCGACTTAGATCGTTAACCTGGGTTCAACCCAGGTTTGCGTTTACACTGCATTTCGAAGTTCTTAACCTGGGGTCAACCTAGGTTCAACCCACCTCCAGAGTAGGGTTGGCTTAACCCAGGTTCAACCCAGGTTAGCTGCGTTTACACTATAAAATTTCTAACCCAGGTTAACGTTAACCCAGGTTCAACCCGGGTTTAAAGTTGTAGTGTAAACGGGGAAATTTTTAGGGAACCAAAAGCAAATGCAGGTCACCTCCTGTAAAGCAGACTAAGTTCTTTTTTGTAGTTGTTGCTAATCTTTCCTTGATCAACTATGTCTCATCGGGTTCGGGGTGAAGACCCTTCTGGTGTTAAGGGTCCTTTTTAATATTAGTACTTGAGGGTCCTAGGTCTTAGGGTCTGGTTTTTACGGTATGCCTTATTTGACTGCATGATTCAGCATGGATACCTGATACCCCCTTTTTTTCTCACATGCAAAAAAATGCCATAAGGTAAACACGGTTGTTACATAATGCAGCTAGTTTAAATATTTGGCCTGGTTCTTATTACTTCGAGGAGCAAAAATCAGGCACGTGAATAATCGGAGGCGTGGGTGGCGTAACGCCCCTAAAGTTTGGAAAATCCGGTTACAGTTGGAAAACTTAACGGTTGACTTGGATTTTTTTCTTAAGACCAAACCTCTGAATTTTATATTTTAAAGACTCATTGCTAACAATGGGCCTTTGTGAGCTTGGCGAGGATCCAAACAATGGCTTCTACAGATTACCCAAAATTGATTTCAGACTGCCTGAAAATGCATTATGGGATGCTTGCGTAGCGCAATGGCTCATTGTTAGCAATGAGTCTTTAAGAATTGTAGGATTTTAAATGAAAAAAGTTTAAATCTTGTTAAAATTCATAGGCTGGAGCGGACCCATCCACTAATCGTTTTCTATTGTGAAGCCCCGTCTCCACTTGCGCCGTTTGCTTTCTTTCTGACGGGAGTTAAGTTGAATTTAATTATGAACAGGCCAAATAGATTTCCGGATAAAAAACTTGAAATTTTACAGTTTGGAATAATAATACCTATGTTGATCAGAAAATATTCAAGTGGGATTTTTTAAGAAACTAAGAGTAGTTAATTCAATAAAAAATTAAGAACCTTTTAGTGCTAAAAATCCTCAACGCTTCTTATAAAAGACGAGTGTTTGGTAAGCTCCCCCTGTTGTTTGTAAATGTCCTTAATTCATTAACATAAATTGCTACGATAAAGCTGCTGAGAATCAAGAAAACATTACAAAAGCTGCGCTGCAGCACAAGTATTTGATCAAAGAAGGGCGTTTCATCTTACGAATCGAGCATCTGCACGTGCCCTCAAATCATCATTTTAATTGTAAAGAACGAGAAGGCATTTGGCCTTCTGAAAATTGCTAATAGTTTCCTTCGATCAAAACGAAAAAGATAAAGGGCTCAATTCCTTGATGCTTCTATATCGTGCTTCTATATAAAATATATTTTAGATAAAATCGATCTGCATCAAATAGCTTTAGAATGGGCAAATCAGAATAAATACTTCTTACAGTAAGTTTAAATGGTTGTTTCATGTTAATCCAAATTTAGAAATTCAAGTTTTTATGCCTTAGGTTAATTATTTTGAGTAAAATTTTGGTGATTATAAAGAAACTAGAAATACGGAGTAAAGGCTATTTCCAAATATCTATTTGGTAGGTACAGTAGATTTGCAGGTGGAATGAAAAATTTCTTAAATAAAGTTGGAATTTTCATCCTTCCACGCCCCTTCAAAATTAGCCATTTGTTTTTGTCCGTGGCAAAAAAGGATATAATGATAATCATTTTTAAGCAAGAAGCCATTGCTAAGCGATGGTGTATAATTTGCATAGCAAAATAGGCCGAACAAAGATGATTGACTTCTCTAGCTATGGGAATTTTCGCAGATTGAAAAATCCTTCTCAGTTTTCACATCATTGAAACATTGTGAAATTTTAAACCCATAGGACAAATTTAATGCTTCAGCTGGGTGAGAACAACACTCATTCTTGTCAAGGCATCGGCGATTATTTAGTAATTGTCAGGGGCGTGGTGGCTCACCGGGACTCGGGACAATGTCCCGAATATGTGAGACCAATTCATTCGAAATGTGTCGTTAGTAAGTGAAGTAAACTGACCGATCCAATTTTGTTGCGAGCGAATATTCGTGGGTAGGACGATTCGTTTTTTCATAATGGAATCCGATTAACGTAATTTGAGAAAAGAGCGTGGCTGGCATTCGATGACAAGCAAGAATGCCTATCTTGCAGTGTCTGTCTTGCCTATGGAAATTCTGCAAGTGCTTTTACGAGTACTGTTTAAAGTCATTAAGTCACATATACCAAAGAATGAAAGAGCACCACACAATGACTGTCTCAGCGCCCACTTAAGTGGAGAAAACAAAGGGAATCTTGCAACGTAGCTACCCCACCAAAAGAAATAGTGAAGAAGTGCAAAGGAGAAAAGCTGTTTTAGAAAGAGTAATCGATATTATAAAAACCATTAGAAAGCATGGTCTTGCATCTGAGCTAATTGACGATAATGTTAATAAAGGAAATTTTCTTGAAATAGTCAAGCTAGTTGCGCGGTATGATTCTGTTTTGATGTCTCATGTCACACAAGTTTCTGAGCAAAGCCAAAAACAGAAAGATAAAAGGCTTCAAATAGCACAGACATTCAAATCAACTGGTAGAAGCTCATTGGTAAGGTTTTGAGTAATGACACAATAACAACAACAACCACTCAAGTTATTAAACCTCTTATACAAGATTCGGTGGTCAAAGAGGGCGGGATGTTCTCCACTGAGCTTGACTCAACACAAGAAGTATTTGCACAAGAGCAATGTTATTTTGTCCTTCGGTTTGTGAAAGAAGGCGAAGTCAAAGAATGTCTTTTGACAATGGTAATAGCTGAATCAACTTTAGGAAAAGCCTTGTTCGAGCTTTTGAGCAATGCATTTGAGAAACATGGGTTGCAAATAAAGGAATGTGTTGGAGATTAATTTGATGGTGCAGCAAACATGAATAGCATACACAAAGGATTGTCATCTTGAATTTCCAGCATCAATAAAGGTCATGTTCACGCTTGATGCTATGTCCATACCTATTATATTCTCATTCTGTAGAAATGCTTAAAGAAACGGCATGTTCTCGAGTCGATAATCTCATTTCAACTAACTATATTTACAGAACTAAGCAGTCATAGGGTGTCCATATCACAATACAACATCTCTCCCTTTCTTCGGAATGTCTCTTCTTGGAATAAAATATAAGTAAAAACAAAACAAAGATTATATGATTATGTTGTAGTACTTAATGAGATACAACTGTCCCGTAAAGCTTTGTTATCATCCTGTCTCGTACTGGATATCTAAATTGAGGTTGTTCTTCTTCCTGGTTATGTTCATTGTTCTTTTCATTGAATTCATCTTCAAAATGGCTTTGAAAAAAGCAAACATTTAGTAAACTAAAGCTTTTCGTCTGACACACTTCAGAGTTTAAAACGTCAGAACATAGATCGAAAACTCTACGCTAGGAAATATATAAACCCAGTTGTGGATCGAAATAGGCCAATCAGAAACACGAGCACATGACTGTATAGGTTGACCAATCAGTGCCGCTTGCCTATTGAGGAGATGAGTCCTGTCACACTCGACATAAGCCCCAAAAATTTAGGAGGGTATTTCATGTCACTAGTTAACTGCTCCCAGTGAGAAATGTATGTGGCATCCCTGTCTGATTTAAAATTTGTCCATTCGCAAAAAAGGTAAAATTAACAAATAATAATTAAGATTAGATTAACCACATCCCTTTGTAAGAGCTCACAGAAAACCAAACTGCCAGTTGCGCATGCGCTTGTATCCCATGGGATACCGTAGTGACGAAGTTGATTGTAGAAAATTGCCTAAATGTAGAAGATATTTCAACAGCAGGAGCAAAGACAATATTCGAACTGTAAACGCTACATACCTGCTTGTGGATTTTCTGAAAGAATGATGGCTTGCACACACACCCTGAAATGCTTGACTTATTGTCAAAGCCCTTCTTTTAAAACGTTACAGACTCTTTTGCTAAATCATCTTCCTTCTTCTTTTTATTTAAATCTTATACTTCATATAAGAAAATATAAGAAATGCTTTGTTTCTCTCTTATAGTACCTAAACTTGGCATCCCTGATTCAAAATGTTATTGTTTTAAACATTCGAAATGATATCGTTTCAGGCGACCCTGGCTGCATCTGGTCCGAAGGCAAAACGCCAAGTCGAGTCGTTGACATCACACATCCAGGGATCTGTGAACCAGTAGACAGTCCGAGGTGCAGTTTTCAAACTTGGGTATCTTGCACTGGGAAGAAGGAAAACTGCACTGGAAGGTACGAGGCTGGAGTGAGGACGACGGATGTTAGGTTTCCCCGTACAAAAGTAAGATGATTCTTTGTTTTACAATAATTCATTTTGTTGAAGACGGAATGTTTTTACAAGAAATACAGAAAAGCGCAAGAAAACTTATTAATAGTTATCGCAAGAAAACAAAATTTCAGATTCTTCCTAAACGAGCTAAGGTACCGTTCTGCAAGCATATTAAATAATACCCAACGATATGAGACCAAAAAGATATGGCAGATAATTCCGAAGAAAAACAACAAAACCATTTTCAAGTGTGTATTCGACAAGACAGAAAAAAGAACATTATTTATATTATTATTTCTGCCAACGATGAAAAAGGCAAAAAAGATTATGTTGATGGTGATTGATAATGATGGCAATTAATGATGATGACGATTAATGATCATGGTTGATAATGATGACGATTAATGATGATGATTGATAATGATGACGATTAATGATGATGATTTATAATGATGATGACGATTAATGATGATGATTGATAATGATGACGATTAATGATGATGACGATTAATGATGACGATTAATGATGATGATTAATGATGATGGTTGATAATGATGACGATTAATGATGACGATTAATGATGATGGTTGATAATGATGACGATTAATGATGACGATTAATGATGATGATTGATAATGATGACGATTAATGATGATTATTAATGATGATAGTTGATAATGATGACGATTAATGATGACGATTAATGATGATGATTGATAATGATGACGATTAATGATGATGATTGATAATGATGACGATTAATGATGATGACGATTAATGATGACGATTAATGATGATAGTTGATAATGATGACGATTAATGATGACGATTAATGATGATGATTAATGATGACGATTAATGATGATGGTTGATAATGATGACGATTAATGATGACGATTAATGATGATGATTGATAATGATGACGATTAATGATGATTATTAATGATGATAGTTGATAATGATGACGATTAATGATGACGATTAATGATGATGATTGATAATGATGACGATTAATGATGATGATTGATAATGATGACGATTAATGATGATGACGATTAATGATGACGATTAATGATGATAGTTGATAATGATGACGATTAATGATGACGATTAATGATGATGATTAATGATGACGATTAATGATGATGGTTGATAATGATGACGATTAATGATGACGATTAATGATGATGATTGATAATGATGACGATTAATGATGATTATTAATGATGATAGTTGATAATGATGACGATTAATGATGACGATTAATGATGATGATTGATAATGATGACGATTAATGATGATGATTGATAATGATGACGATTAATGATGATGACGATTAATGATGACGATTAATGATGATAGTTGATAATGATGACGATTAATGATGACGATTAATGATGATGATTAATGATGACGATTAATGATGATGGTTGATAATGATGACGATTAATGATGACGATTAATGATGATGATTGATAATGATGACGATTAATGATGATGATTAATGATGATAGTTGATAATGATGACGATTAATGATGATGATTGATAATTATGATGATTGATAATGATGACGATTAATGATGATGACGATTAATGATGACGATTAATGATGATGATTGATAATGATGACGCTTAATGATGATGGTTGATGTCCATGAGAACAATTATGTGTCTTACAGGTTCCAGCCCAGCTGACTACATACTACTGTAAGACGATGACACTGCCCCACGATCAAGATTACCACATTACTGCAACTGAACCTGTTCTTGACAATACAAAAGTAATCCATCATATGTTGCTGTATGGTTGTGATGGAGACATGGAAATAGAAGAGAAGCCATTCAATTGCGTCATGGGAAGTGATCGATGCAAGGACCTGTTGGCAGGATGGACTGTTGGCAGCGAAGGTAAAAATCTTTACACTAAGCACATTAGCTAATTACGAAAAATACGACAAATTTGTAATAAAACACTTCAACCAAGCCTTCAAGCTACCAAGAAGTAAAACAAAAACGCGTCTAAATTGAATCTTTTTTTCTTCAAACAGTTTCTCATAATCTGAACTTTTGAAAATAATTTCTGAAAATGATTTTTGATGACCTTTACACTAATGTCATTATCCATCCATATGCAACAACAGGTTCATGCAGCCCAGTTAATGCTGGCTTTCGGTTCGGTAAGTCAGTGTACAAGTATATACAGCTGCAAGTGCATTGGACGAACGACGCCAAAACTGCTGGCATGTATGACTCATCTGGAATCAGATTGTACTATACACCGAATCTTAGAAAATACGACCTCGGCAAAATGATGACTGGACAGATGCACCTGGAGCTTCCACCCGGAAAAAAAGAGGTATTGCAGCAATATAATATAATATAATATAATATAATATAATATAATATAATATAATATAATATAATATAATATAATATAAATAAATAATTATAATATAAGTATTAATATAATAATATAATATAATATAATATAATATAATATAATATAATATAATTATAATATATATAATATAATATAATAATATAATATAATATTAATATATATTATATATATAATATAATAATATATAATATAATTATATATAATATAATATAATATAATATAATATAATATAATATAATATAATATAATATAATATTTTATAAAATCGAATGATATCATATCATATAAGTTCATTTATCATATCACATTTTATAGTAACGATCTGTTTCTAGAAGTTTAGATTTTTGACCTCATTATTTGATTAAGCATCATGAAATATCTCTTACTAAATATACAATATTAGTTTTTGTGTGAGTCGTTTTTGATTTCGTATGGTTCAGTTTTGAATTTAGGGTTATGATTTTAGTATAGCATACAAAATAGTGGGTGACAGTTATGGGCCAACATAACCATCATACTGAATTCTATGGAACTTTCTCGTTGATAGAGTATCGAATCACGTCATACTCCACTATCATATTATATCATAATACTAATATTAGACGACATTTTGGTTCTGTTAGATAATCACTTCTGGAACATGCAGTCCATCCTGCACAAAGTCGATGCTCGATGGATATGGCTCAATCAACATCACTGGCGCCAGTTTACATGCTCATTTTCTGGGTAGATCCTTGTCCTTAGTTCATATACGCAATGGAAAGCAGTTACGATACCTGGCCAAAGATGACGTATTTAGCTACAACAACCCAACAAGTACCTCTTTCCAGCCTCCTGTGCAATTTCTACCAGGTGATGAGCTTCGAACCACGTGTACTTACGACACAACGAAACGACAGAAAACGACCTATTACGGGGATGGAACTTACGATGAAATGTGTTTCGGCTTTTTTGATTATTACCCAAAGATACCTAGGACACGACAGCGCCTTTGCATTGCCTACGAGAGGTAAGCGCTAGAATTTTAAGTCTCTTATAAACATCTATGTATCTTAGAAAGCTATGAACGGTAATCAAGACCATATGGATAGGCAGCAGAGTGATGTGTGTACAGTGTGGGCGAGAAGTGAAACACTTGTATGCTTTTATTTTGTTTTTCACACCGTACGTTTTAGACCCGGTTTACACGGGAAAATGGGACCGATCCAGTTTGGGATCGATCTCATTTGTGATTTCTAGACCCTTTTGAAAGGAATGCTCATGCGTATTTTTTCCTCTTTCTTTATCTTAAGTTGGTATAGTTTCTAGCTATATATATTCAAGCTAAATAAAACCAACTAATTTAAATTGCCAACGCTAAATATAATGTAAATGAAATGTAACCGATGTTGCATACGAATTCCTTGCGAAGATATTGCTCATGCCATCGACAACACAAAGAAAATACCGCCAAATTTATAGGAAGGCTGAGAAGAAAATGGCTTCCAATTTGAAAGGTAGTTGCAAAATGTGTATTTGGAGCGATGAAAAGGGCCCTTCTCCTGAATATCACGATGAAGTAAAAACATTATAGGTTGGAGACTGCTCGCTAAATTAATCAATAAACTTGTAATAAAAAAATTCCCCGTCTTGTTTTTTATTATCCATCTTGTGGGCGAAGAGGGCGCGCAAAATCTGACCAAATTTCAAAGCACAGTGCTCAAAGCACCTCAAACTGGATAATTCATTAACCCCGTTGCCTATCCGTGCCAATTTGGGATCCATCCCACCAATTTCGATTGTTTACACGAGACAGGATCGATTCCAAACTGGAACGCTCTCCAAAGCGAACCCGAGTTAGTACGGATAGCGGATCGATCCCGAGCGTTCCCGTGTAAACGGAAGGCTGATCCGTACCAGTTTTGGATCGATCCCGGCCTGGACCGATCCCGTGTACCACACTAAGGAATTCGATCCTGATTTAAATGACGTGTTGCCAAACGTGATCGGGATATTGTAGTTTTGCGGGGCCTACCCTGGGTGCCAGATGCGAGTTAATTTCACGAGGGATGTTGATTTCGCTAGGGGTTCTTATTTTATTTAGCTTATTTGTATAATTCTCATTTGGGTGTCAATTGTCATGCTTCACTTTCGTATTTAAGTCCTTATGCGCTTTTTTGATGCCATTGGGAATAATAGAGAAGAAGGAGTTCTGTAGTTTGGGCATCGGCACAAAAGTGTTAGTCCCTTGACTCAGATGGTTGTATTTGGTTGCTTTGGGTCGGGCAGATCGTGCTTACTTCGTTTGCTGTTTCCACGCTGTTCTCTTCTCCCGTCCCTCCCTCCCTTTTTGATATCTAGCGTAGCGTGTTTCTTCAAATCCTTGTTTATTCTATTGCATTAGGCTAGGGCCTGCTTACATCAAGGGATTCATTTCAAAGTTCTGTTACTTTTTCTTTAGGAAAGACTAGGCTCTTAATTTAGCCATGTTTTCCCTTCCCCTCTCATATCTTAGGTATCTATTGTAAATGGTTTTGCATGTTAAAAGACATTTCAAAGTGTTGATGCGTTCAAAATTAAAAATTTAGAAAACAACCTCTATGAAGTCATCATCATGCCTCTCGTCTTGGCCAAAATTAAAATAAACAATGTTTTGAAACTATTGAATTTCGAGCACATTGCACATTTTGTGAATATTTATTCTGTAGGTAGTACAAAGTACGTCCTTTTGCTGTGAAACTATCATTTTGAGCATAAAAAATTCCTAATAGAGAGTGCGGGAAAATAACCGACCCGAGCGAGGCTCGAACTCACGACCCCTGACTTTGTACGTACGTACAAAAATTAATTATCTTAGAAATCCTGTTGTCTATAAAAAATTCCCTTTGTTTAGCACGGGGCCCTAAAAACCGCGGGGCCCTAAAAACCGCGGGGCTCTAAAAACCGCGGGGCCCTAAAAGCCGCGGGGCCCTAAAAGCCGCGGGGCCCTAAAAGCCGCGGGGCCCTAGGCTATGGCCTAGAAGGCTTTTGCGTTAATCCAGTCCTGATTGTTGATATGATGGAAACATTTCTGTTAGCAGAGCTATGTGTTGACGAAGAAAATTGAAGCGAAATGAAATATATTCAAAAGAAAAAACCTCCGAGAGGTATTTTGTTACCCTTATGAAAAATGTAAGCCACACATGGTAAAAATGGGAAGTCGTGCCCTCATGACAAGAGACCAAGACTGGACCGTTATCTGCCCGACTTTTAAGGAACATGCTACATAATTTAATGATTAAATTCAATTTTAGATACACATTTTGCGACATGAAAGTTGGAAATGTGTCTCTACACAACCACAAGTTTGGAACTTGCGACTTCAAAGAATTTGAAGAGCAAAACTACCCTGCCAACATCCTTACTTCATGTGGGCCTAAACCAACGTCCTGCTCAAAAGATTGCAAATACTACGTTGACAAAATGACGTCACATCGTTGCATGAAAGGAGGGGAAAGAAATATTTACAACCGAGAGATGAAATCCAAAGCGAACCACACGGCACAAGCGGTATGGAAGGCGATCAATGTATGTGGAAAGTATGTTGGAAGCGCTGCACCGAGGCTCGCTGACATCAATGCGAGGATGATTGCAAGTTTGGTTGCCTTTTTGTGCATTATGTTGCACCTTAACGCTTTTCTACCTTAACTGAACAATGAGGTGCGTTGGCAACACTCCTCTCTAGCTATTGTGTAATCCCTGCTTGAACATTTTCTATCGCTGTTTATTTTCCATTTATATCATACATGAATAGAAAAAGTTGATATTTTTCTGCTTAACACTTGAAATCATTTTACTGGCATCACATTTCTCTTTGGAAGAATTGGATATAGCAAAACAAAGTCATGTCAACATTTTTTCAAATACAAAAATGATTAACTTTTACTCAAATACTTGATAATATTTTCTCAAACCAAATACAAAATCCTAAATTGTTAGTTGTCTAACTATATTAAAACTAATACGCTCTCACAGAGTTGTCACAAAGTTTTCTGCGATATTAATCTGATACTGCACCAGTATTCTTTCAAATGTTTTGCTTCACTTTTTTCTGAGTGCAATCGGGTAGCAAGTTCCGATCTTTCCCGCAGTTTTGTGGCACTTGACTAGAACGTCGTCTCCACCGAGGGTTATGCTCGCAGCTTCATATCCCATCAGAAAAATAACAGTGTACAGAGTAATTTCAAACTCAGGCGAAACACCGATTAGAATAGAACCTTTTGGTTTGACTTCCTCTTTCCAAGCAAACTGCACTGTCACCATGTGGGGATTCTGAAATTGACCAAGGTTGGTTAGAGTCATTAAAATTTAAGATGATTGTTGGATTCAAAGTAAAGAAAAGTATATTAACATATAGACATAAAGTTGCATCACATTTAGAGGAGGAGACGTGGTTACATGGTTATACAAGAAACAGCCTTTACGCGCAAAATATATTTTGTTGGCATCTGACTACGATTAGTTTATGCATACCAAATCTTAAATGTGAACTATAGTTTCTGCCATGTTGAAAACAAGATTCTTAATTTGGCCAATGCGATATAGGTGTTAATGACACTATATTAAAAAAGACCCAGATCTGAATTCGAATGATTGGAACTTACTCTTCCTCCTGACATAAACCCTTTGTAATCAATGCTTCCTCTCTTCTCTTGCAAATAAAACTGAATCCAGTTGTGAAGTCCAATGACCTCTTTATCACCCCTGGTCTCTCCTACGAAAACGTGCTCAAACCCTGAAGAGTCTTGAGTTCTGCGAAGGAAAGACAAGAAATTGAGAAGAATTTTTTTTTCACTATCTGAATAATTGATATTGATACAACTAACCATGCTCGTAGCAAAAGCACAAAAGCATTCTTAAACTATGACTCATCCCTTTTGTTTCAAAATGGTGAATCTAGAAAAACGCTGAACGTTTTTTCAAACAAACCATTTCTGATTGATTGAGATGTATCCAACTAGAACGTCCGTTTTAGGAGATAGAATAGCAAATAATTTAGAAATATTATCTTGTCGCTGGCAATCAAGTGACTTGATTAAGTGCCTAACCATAACTACAATATTCTTTCTCGTATTCCCACCCTATCCAATATTCCCGCCTCTCTAGCAATCCCGCCTCTCTAATAATCCCACCTATCTAATAATCCCACTTTTCTGATAATCCCGCCTATCTAATAATCCCACCTATCTTATAATCCCACCTATTTAATAATCCCACCTATCTAATAATCCCACTTTTCTGATAATGCCGCATGCAGGTTTGATGAGAGAAAATGAAGATGTTTATGTTGATGTTGACGATGCAGTTATCGTAGAAAAAGTAGAAAACGGCATTAGAACTAGAAACTAAAACACAGTAATATGTGTACATGTTCAATTGATCGGTTTCTTTATTGTTCAGTTAATATTTTAGGTGTTTTATTTTCAACAGCCCACTTTTCAAAAGCACATTAAATTAACCCTGCCTCTCCGCCTCTTCAATAATCCCGTATTAAATCAGGAGGTTTAATCAATAAACCATCAGTGAGAATACAAGAGAGAATACAGCGAAAGAATCTTTGCAGGGCCTGCATGATCTCAAACCACACAGAGTAGAACACTCTGCTGGCTCGACAATATAAGACTCTACTGAGATGGAATACTGCTCACAGCTTAGAATAGCACATCAGCACACCCAGCATAAAAAATTTACTAATATTTCAAAAAATGAATGATACATGTTCCATTTTAGGCTTAAGCCAAACAAAGATTTACACACATCAGAGGGTCGGCTGACAGCTAAGAATAAGGTAACAATATTCTTACAAACAACTTCTTAAAACAAAAGCTGTCGTGGTTTTTGTAGCATGTTTCATTATTTCGTTTTTAAAAGCTTCTGCTGTTTGTTATTGTAAAAGTAATAAATTCTTCAAAAAAGGCCTATAACAATTTACAAGTGAGAAACTAGTGACGTTACAAACCTTTCTCCCCTTGTCCTTCTATACAAACGAAACCACATGTTGTAGAACTCCTTACGAAAATTGTCAAAGTCAGCATCTGCTTTGCGTTGTTCCTTAAGAAACTTGTATGCTTCTTTCATAACATTGCTTTTCATCACCAGATTAACAAAGGTCCAATTCTCAGCTTCTTCTTGCTTTGTCACAACCTCAGGTACACCTGTCTCTTTCTCATAGTTGTCCAACAAGGCTATGAAGGCTGGAGCAATAAAATTACGCAAATCACAAATCTGTATAAAAAATTCTTCATCTACCAGAAAATCTTAGTAACATGAAATTTACCATTTTTCAGAAATTTATATGTATTTTCAGAAAACCATACTCCACTAGACTTGAAAATGTGCAAAAATACCTGGGATACCAGAGCTGTTTCAACATACACTGACAGAAACTGTTTCAACATACACAAGTGTGATAAGGGCCACCGAGAGGGGGGAAGAAGGGGAAAGAGGGGGCAGACTTCCCCAGGGCCTTGAGCTCTAGAGTAGCTCATAAAGTGATGAGTTTCATTTTAAGGATGGAATAAACAAATATAAGAAAAGTATGCCTAAAAATGTATGTCTGTAATGTAAGGTAATCTAAAGGGGGTGGTTGCATAAAATTCTGCTCTCATTTCCCATGGGTGATCATTTAAAATCTGGCCAAGACAAGGGTGTAATAAGGCAGTGCAAATACTTTCTGACCAATGGAGGTCTGCTCAGCTGATAGGACTAGTTGCTAATGAAACTATCATGACATGATGTCTGACTTTTTTGACTATTCTTCCTCAGAATTGAAAATTCATTTAAATCTAAAATACTTTGTTTACAATCTGAGAACAGTGACATATTTTGATACCAAAAATCAATAGATCATAGACAGGCCCCTCCATCAAAGGCTTCATTTAAACTTCTTCCTTTATATTTGAAAGAGATTAATCTGCTTTGGCTCTCATATGTTGCTTTCAACACTATGTTTACATAGCTGGGAGGAGGCCACCATCACAAGCTAACAAACAGGGCAGCCTGCCATCCCTTGTGAAAATTTTCAATTTGAAAATGAGTGAGTTTTTTGAAAAGGTAGAGAAAATGTTTCATATACCAGGGGCTGATCTTAACTGGTCCAGAACGAATCCTGACTACCACACAGTCAAAAACAGGGGTGTCTTTTCTTTTGCCATGCCCTTTGGTTCATCTGAAAGCCTTCTTTGAGCAAGGACAGCAGAAGTGGTGGGGGAGGCATGAAGTTATCGAGGGGGCTTTATTTTTCTCTATCTTATTCAGTTTTTATTGAAAAAGAATTTATAACAGCACATAATCATGAAATGGTGTACTTGCGAAAATGATTGTAAAAGCCCACAGCCCTGTGGACCAGAAATACAGAGGAAAGAATGTAGGCTTAGGAGCAAGCGAAGCATCATAGTGTAATTGCTACCCCAATATCACTCTCGAGAAAAAGTTACTCTGCTCTGCTTAGCTCTGAATGCATTTCGCTATAGTGAAACTCTAACTTAAGGTAGTTTATGATCCTTGTGTACATTTCCAATCAATTTACAATGTGTCATAGTTGCAACAGAGCTAACCTGCTATTCGTTTAGGCTTGCAAATAAGTGTAACTACACTTAACCTGTGCAGATTTGCTGTTATCTAGTGATCTAATTATCTAGTCACTGTTATCATGTTTTCATGTCTTGTTAGGAAAAGAATTTGGCAAGGATTCGAATAAAAATTGAATAATTAAAATAACCAAATAGTTTGTTGCAAAATGTCTGAGAATTCTGCTTTGCTGTGTGTGAGCGTCAGAATGGACTGAAATGTGTGTATCTCACTTAAAATGCATAACCTGATAGGTCTGCCAAAAAGCCTGAATGATTACATTAATTAATTCCAGGGTTTTAACGAGCATATGAGTTCCAAATAAGTATTGTATCAACTAAAAGATATATGAATGATATGCTGATGCAGCAAAAAACCTCAAGCACTACAAGGAGTAATTTAAATCATAATTTAAATCTAGAAGGGTCAACTAACAGCTATGTCACATTTCTCCATTACTCAAGAGAATCTTTGTTTGTTTGGAATCTGTGACACTATGGCATTCCACTTGGTAGATTTCTCATTTTGGTGGACTGCCTAAACGAAGAAATCACTGAGCAATAAACACCCCGCTCCCCAAGAAACACTACTATACTAGGAGATTCCTTATTTGAAATTATTATTCCTCGCCTCTTTTCTATTTCATATTGACAACTTTTCTTCTCAAAGGTTTACCCAGAGGCAAATACATCAGCACCAAAATGAAATATTAATTCTTACACTGCAAGTTAAATCTGTTTTTATTCATTTTGTAAAATATCTGTTTGGCAACATACAATGGGAACAATAAGAACCTGTAAGTGGTATTATACTATCTTTTCATTTCAGTAAAAATACTGAGAAAAACATTCATTTATCTATTAGATAAAGTCTCAAACCTTTGTATGTATCTCTTTTGAAAACATTTTCATCCACAAACTCAAATAAAGGGTCTTTTGCTCTGTCTGGGCCATCATAAGAATACTTTGCACGTCCTTGCAAGTCTAGTTTGTAGTCTTTGTCCGGTTCAAGCCTGTTCTTGTCCAAGTCCCACAGCTTTTCACACAGGTCTATCAATTTTGGATCTTCTACAGCAGGGTTGCTACAAAATAAAGTGAAACATAAAACTTTTAAAGAGAGCGTTATTTTGTGCAAGAAAAGCTATTTTCTTGAATTCAACGTCAAGAATTACCAATGAACTCTATCAAAACACTGTTTGTGAACCCCTGAAAGAACGCAAATTTTTGTTTCTTCTAACTGAAAGTTTTTTTCCAATCACAACAGGTTTGACACACTTTTGTCATGACAAAGTTACTGGCAAAGACCAAAGGTTTAAATGTTCCATATGGCAAAATTTTACCTTACTCGGCTATTCTTAAATTTGTTATTCTTACATTAAAAAAAGCTGTCAGACCACCCCTAAAGAAACTGCTCGCTTTTACATCCAGTCGGGTGCTATCTTCTGTTCTAGAAGGTGATAGAATGAAGTTTTCACCCATGGTAAGAATCAATCTTGGCTCATCAGCCACATCTGCAAACTCCTGAGAGTAGTTTTTCCTTCAAGGTTCATCACATCTCATTATGCATAATAAACTCCCTTCTTGCAATTCAAAGTATGTGGGTGATATTTAAGGTATTGTTATAGAGACATTCACTTGGCAAGCCTTTCGGAGTCAAACTCTATCTTAAGCAGACTGCATGGCAAAAATCCTCTTTATTTAAAACATAGCCTTTTTCTACAAGAGGACTAACAGTTAACAAATTAACCAAATATAAGGTTCTGTATGCAGCTTGCATTTCAGATATATTCTCTAACCTTTCAACCAGTCGACTGCTTCTCCATTAACATAATGCCTCCTTAAAAGTTGGTGATCCAACAAAGGCTCCCAAATGGCTTTGAATCTAAGTGGTTATTTGAATAGAAAGGCCTTTGCGTCTTCTAGCTTTTGTTTTCCTTAAACATTAACTATATTTTTTTCATTCACAATTCAACCAAAAATTTCACATTTCCTCTTAGAAGTTTTGAAAAATCATCCAAAGAGATCCATGACCTTGCCGCAAGAAAGTCTTGGTTCGCAAAAGGTCGAATGCTGTACTCACAGTTTAAATGTATGTGAAAGGAAAGTTTGGTTTTTAACTCTATGCCCTTGGCTCCAGATATTTAAACTCTAAATTCCTTTCAGACACAAACATTTGTGAGATTGGCAGAAGGCACTGTACAGTAAACTCTATTGTTATGGTACTTTGCCTATAAACAGACAAAATTTATCAGTGGAAATAGCTGTCTGCTTGTGAATACAATGGTAAATTGTATATTACGATAATAATGTTTATGTTTGAAATTAGTCATTGGTCATTGTATATGAAACTGAATTTCTGATAGGCCTTTTTTTGATCAGTATTCAAACATATCTACGCATCATGCAACCTTTGGAATAATTTGAATAAATGGTGCTAAGAAGCCATAGGCCAGTCTGCAGAGTATGGCATGTGCACACCGGAGATATATTTGTGCAAAACCTGTTGCACACCCGTATTTTTGGGTGTGGCAACTAAGATGGGTGTGGCTTGGTGTGGTCCCATAGAAAATGTCAGCTGATAAAAACAAGCACAGTTGTGTATGAACAATTTGAGATATCATGAATCTTACTTGACAAATATACAAATAAAAACTTGCGCTATCTTCAACAGTATACTTCACACGCATTTTTACGGTGAAATGCAAATTCACAAATTTTAACCACAACAGGGAAAAATAGTCGGTGCACACCAGCACACCAGACATTTTTGGTGGTGCACACCGTCACACCAGGCTTTTTGCTCGTGCACACCGGAGATCTCGTCGAAAAGTGCCATACTCTGCAGACTGGCCCATAGGGCAAGTGAAAACAGAATAAGGGTGTGAACAATAAAAATATAGAAAAGAAAACAAACGAGCAAAAACGCACATCTTCCCGTTATGAAATATTGAAAAATATTATACAAAGACCTTACTTTCTCGACATATTTGTACTGAATTGTTTGGATTCCTTGAAATTTCTGTAAGCCAGAAATGCTGCAACTGTAACGATGAGAAGCACGACCACACCCCTTTCTCTTTCGACTTCCTGCCACCTCAGCATTACAACAGCAACAACATGCAGCAACAACAACGAGGACTGATCAGAAAGACTCAAAACGCGCGGGAAATCAATGGACGTTGACAAGGGCTTGCTAGTGAATGGCGAGTACAGAAAAAACATGGAAAATTGTGATATTGTGAGCAGTAAAGACTATTCCAGGCAAGTATTTTCATCAGTTTATAATCAAAACACTGCATACTAGGGCTTTCCGTTGTACGTTTCCATTTAGGCCCAAAGCAAATCAACTATTATCAGTTCATTCCATACATAGGGTCGCGTCGCCCTGATTGAGTATGTACCTGGAAACGTGACATTTACATCGCTTCAACTATTGCGAAAAAATTGGGAGATTGGGGCTAAGCTGCGACCAAAAAAGCGCGAAATCATGTGTATACGCCATTTATCAAAGTTAAGAAAACATTTTGGGTTCAATTAATAAATCGATGAACGAATAATTGGACAAGAAAATGACTCACCTGAAACGAAGAAGTATGTGTCTGCCATTTTGCGTAGGATATTTTCGGTACTCTTTTTCTCATAATTATTTTTTAAAGGGACGAGCATATTTTAGCTGCTAACCTAGCAATTATAGGCACATATCATGCATGAGGAATAAGGATCTTTGCACAAATCGCTCAGTTTTCAATTTGTTTTGCCACAGAGAGGAGTGAAATAAAGCTGACTGACTTGGCCTAAGTTCGCCCTGATTGGGTAATTAAAACGGCTGTTTCAGTTCGGTAGTTTTTTCGCATTAATTCTCAAAACCAAACCTGTAAGTTTCAAATTGTCAAATATTTTTAAACAAAAATACTCTAGAGCAAATTTGATACATTTTAAATACAATTTTCAGCCAAAATATTGCACTTCGTCAAAGCCGTCAATTTTCCCCTTGTTTTGACTCTTGCGAAAGCGACAATTTTGCATGCGCCAGATCGGCGGATAAAAAAAATTCAATGAAACATTGGCATGCAAGGATGTTTTAAAGGTGTTTGCAAGTGTTTAATCACTTATTTTCTTTTCGATTTTTATTCGTGCGAGCTAATATTTACATACGGAAAACATACCCAATCAGGGCGACGCCAGAAATTTAGGCCGTCAAGACAACTAAGAAGTATCGCAGCTTTTTCAAAAAACTTTGTAGAACCAATTACCTGATCTTTCGAAATATATATCAGAAGAGCCTAAAGGATTTTGTCAGTGCTAAGTTTTATGTCTAAGTCTACGCAAAATAGAAAATTTTTAATTTGTATCTAGGTATACTCAATCAGGGCAACGTGACCCTACACATCTTTAAAGTAAATAACAACATACAGGTTATATAAGATGAAAAAGTTACATAAAACGATAACGAAGTACAGATAATTGTAAAAACCAAGGAAATTTGCATGCAGGAATTTCGTAAGGCCGGTTAACACGATCATATTCAGGTAAAATGCCCATCATATTTACTTCACACTTTTATGTGATCATAGAATGTGATCGTGTAAACGACTTAACAAGTTGCTCCAAGTTGCACAAAACAGCAAGAATTAATTCCTTTTAATTTTTTATAAATTGGCCATCACAAATTTTTCGTTTGACCACTGTCCTTCGTTCAGGAAGCATAGCCAAGAAGTAGAGTATTAGAACTAAGAGATGCTAGTTCAGAAAGAGTAAAGTACCTTGAATTGATAGATTGAGTTAGCTGCTCATCAATATTCATTTAGATAAGGCAATCCCCTGACATCCAAATTCCATTGAAAATTTGATAAATCGTCGATATATGTGGGCATTTCAAGACCTTCTGCTTCTAACATATAATTGTGATTTTTAAGTATGAAATGATTCAATTCTACAAACAAAGATTAACATTTAACACAATTTTATTTTATGAAACAACGAGGGACAATAACATCCTAAGAAAACTTTCACCCAAGCAGCATTACAGAAGAACATTATTATTCCGGCTTGTTAGAGATTATTTACTATGTTCCAGTGGCCCTAAGTTACAGTCAATGGTGGAAAATTTACCTGAATATGATCATGTAAACCTGCCTTTAAAGGAAGAGTTCTCCTAAAGAAGGAGTATAAACCTGTCAATTTAGTGATTAAACAGCAGACTTCCCAGCATGAAACCATATGACCAACGAGAAGAACTGCCACACAACCTCCACTCCCTCTGAAAAGAAAAGAGCAAAGTCCGCACGACAGCCATCCCTATCCATCTAATACCCCCACACAAAGCAGCCAATGATGACATAGACATATTCATGGTTCTAAAGTGGCATTGCAAAAAGTCTATTGTTGGTATCCGGTGGAGAACAATGCAATTTCAGTTTCTGGCTTACTTGACAAAAATACCTTTGATTGGGGGCTTATTTAAAGGTGCCAGCTTATTTGATGTTTGACAGTAGCTGTACATTTGTCAGAAAACAAGTTGCTGTAATAATCATCTCCAAGTTGTTGAGTCTCTAACCTTCTTTTGCAACTTTGGAGTATCTTATAGATAAGGTTTCAGAGTATCCAAATTGGCATAGCCTGTGGTTTTAGTGCATGTGGATGGATGTTACGTTGTGTTGTTATGTTTCACTGCCTTATATTATGTTATGTCATGCTACACTATGTTATGTTATGTTATGTTATGTTATGTTATGTTATGTTATGTTATGTTATGTTATGTTATGCTATGTTATGTTATGTTATGTTATGTTATGTTATGTTATGTTATGTTATGTTAGGTTGTGTTTTGTTTTGTTATATCGTGTTTTGTCATACCCCAGATAAATTAGATATTCACTAAGCCAGACCTTTTTCTTACACCCCTGGATGATCCTTGAAACTCTATATATTACATAATTATATAAAAAGAATTTATTTTACAATGTTGTTTTGTTGCAGGATGGAGAAGGTCAATAAAATAGCTGACATTGCCGGACTAAGTAGGAGAAAGGGCGTGGTACAGTCTTTAACATTCACATCAGATCTCTCTGCAGCTGAGTTCAAACTATTTGAACTTCCAAAAGAATTAGTTGATGTTGTGAAAGAAGGTGAATGGTGGGTGGTTTTCTTTGTTTTAGAAGTTGTAAAAGTAAGATTTGTTCAAAACTTTTACAAATACTATTTACTGACTGTGAATTCTTTTTTACAGAATTATCATACATTACTACTTAACAGATTGTTAAGAATTCAAAAACAAGCTAATTTTCTTTGATCCTTGCAGTCAGTGATTTGAATGAAAATATATTTTTTTATGTTCTTTTTCTAACAATGAAATCACATTCTTGTTATTATTATCTTACAGCCTGCTGTAACTTTTTTGCACAATTCTTGTTTTATTCTTGATTGCCTATGCATGCCAATTTGTAATGTAGTTATCATCATCATCCTAGTGTGACTCTGCGTGGAGATCCAAATGAAGAAGCAGTTTTGTGTACAAAGAATGCATCATATGAAGTAAGAGCTGCAGATACATCAAATGCCTTGCTTCTGTTGCCCGCCATGATAACCTCAAAATCTCCAGGTAATCAATCCATTTGTTGCTTGGCAAACAGATGACTGCTAAGGTTTTACATCATAGTCAAATGTCCAAGGAATATCAATATTTTTTTTTTTCTTGTTTCTAAAAACCTTTTCCTTCAGTCCTATGGCATGTAATAAATCACTTTCTTTAATTTTCTATCAACAGTAATATTGACTATCACCGTCCAGCTATAGAAATTTGACAGAAACACTCTTTTCCTTACCGTGAAATTTTGGAAAACTCTCAAATGATGGTAACCATAAAGCCATTCCGTGAAATGTGTACATATAAATAAGTTTCTTTGTCATTTGTAATGTTTCCTTTTTGGCTTTTAATAATAGCATGTTTTTGAATTTTTCAAACTTGTCTGAAAAGCATGCTGAATAACTTATCGCTCTCTAGCATGATCTTAATGTTTGCCAGCCCATATCCTATTCTCCCTTTGAGAAACAGCCCCAATCATCCCAGTCATCATGTCTCCACTGCTGTACCCTTACAATAATCAGATACAGTCGTCTAAACAGGGATTCATTATCTTAGATTTGGCTGGTTTTCTGACATTTTCAATTATGATGCTACTTTTTCGTGCTGTAATGAAGCCAAATTTCTTCTAGAATTTTCAAATGAGCCAGAATTAAAAGATGTAGAGGTATGTTTGTGAATGTGATACAAATTGGAATCATTTTGGCTTTAAAATTTTATGCATGACTGTATGTTAGAGGTGAGAAAGTGCATAAAGCCGTGAAGCAGCTTAGCAGGTAGGAGAATAAGAAGGAAAGAGAGGGAGAGAGAGAGAGAGAGAGAGAGAGAGGGGGGGGGGTAGAAAAGGTAGAAAAGGATGCCTAGGATAAAGTTTGGTTGTACCAGCAGTGTACCACGTGCGCAGTGACAGTAAATCGCTAATTTCAGTTTTACTGAAGGAATTTTAAAAGCTAATTTATTCAAAAACATATGGAAGTAACCATAGCTGGGAAAGATGCGACAAGAAAATTATCCTGCTTTAAAATCGGCTTGATTTTTAATAGTTGTTTTGTATCAGGAAAGCACGAGAAAGGGGCTGGGAATTTGCTCTTTTGCTTCCAGTCTTCGGCATCGACATTCTACTGTTTAATTATCTCTTGAATCGTCATTTTTTCAGGTTGTTAGCTCTATTTCGTCGTATTATGAACTTAAGAGGATAAAACCAAAATTAAGCAAGCTGAGAAAGCTTCTGGAAGAATCCAAATTCGAAGGTCTGGAAAAAGAAGAATCAAAAATTGACAATAAGGTAATGCTGTCAGTCTTTATTGTGTTTTACCGATTGAACCGTGGATCTACTTCCCAATTTAACTTGGAAGCTTTTATACCACGGTATTATGTGAAGGTGCAAGACGTTTTAGTGTCTTTTTTATGTTTTCTTATCAGAAGTAACAACAGTTTGTGGATAGAAAATTGATTTAAAGCTTTCGAGGGATAGTTGCCAATTGGTTAAAGCAATTTTTCGGTATTTTTATTTGTATTTTTTTCTATCAAGCATCCGAAATTAGTTTTAGGGCACTAAGAAGCAACGCATTTCAAGCCATTGCTGCGGTGTTTAAGGGTGCATTTTCATACCCAGGTTTGACCCTTGATTTGCAGGCTTTCTCAAAACAATTTGTAAAGGAGACCAGTGCCCAATAGCCCCCACTGTGGGAAACATTTTGCTTACACTGTTTTACTTGTGGACTTTGGTTCAATATATTTTTTGTATTCTACAGGCCTATCTATATTAATTATTTGAGCTTATTTGAATCTTTTATTTATTTAAAAGTGGCCCTGGAGACGAATTAGAGGCTTGCCTCTGGTCCAGCCGGCAGCGATCGGGTACCGAGTGGCAACACTGATAAGGCTAAAGCTGGTCATGACAAAGAACAAGTGCCTCCTTCTAGAAGCCTTATCCCTTTGTGTATACTATATACGGCTTGCCTGTGCCTTTTATATTCTTGTTACCATCTACAGTCAAATGCAAGCTGCATCTTACCTCTAGGGACTTTCTGTGAGTTCATGACTTAAGTTCTCTACCTAAACCCTTAGCCCCATATCCCAAGTTAAAATACAAAGTTCGAGCCAACACAATGTCCACCTTTTCTGCTTTAAGTTGTAAACATTTGTCTGAAGTTATTCTTGGTGACAGTCTGTAATCGAGGCATGGATCAGCCTCTTTCTTGTTCAGTTTTACAAATGTAAGAAATGAAAAGCTTTTGGGACACGGTCCTTGATAACGCAAGGGATGCTGGTAACGAAATTAGAAATACAAGCAGAGGTACTTTTTTCCATATTTTTTTAAATTGTCATGTCATGCGTTAACTTTTTTCTCGAGATTTAAATAACTTTTTTAGCTCAACCTCCACGATCTGCTTACCTGTATCCAAGCGAGTGAAGAAGAGATCCACCAAGGATTAGCAGACATTGGTGCCTTTTCATTTAATGGTATTTTTTATAGATTAAATTATTAATTGTAGATATTGTGAAGTGTGCTTTGTTTTTAAAAGTGTTGCCTTAAGATCAATAAAGGGTACATATCATACGACCATGTGAGAAACCAGCAGAGGAAAATGAACAGAGGCAGAATAAGGAAGGAGACCTGAGATAGTGAAATAGCATGGTCCGGAACAGAGACATGGAAAAGAGGGGTGACAGTGACAGTGATAGGTTCCAACAGATTGCGTAAAAAGAACAGGGCAAAATCATAGAAAAAGCGATGTTTACCGAAGTAACTATTGGAACATAGAACAAATAGGAACATAAGTTGGAACATTGCAGATAACTTGAAGTCAATAATGTGTTTAAAAGAGAATAAGAGCCACGTCGCTAAAATTGAAAGTGTCAGAAAAAAATTACTATAATGAATCAGTAATTAAACTCTGAATTGTACTTGTAATATTGTGAAGTTTGGAACACTGTTTTAGAACGTTAGCGAAAGGTTTTATTCGAAAAATAATTTTTTGGAGACAATAAAAATCATACTGGATAAAGATAAAGATAATGATACTGGGCGATTTACATTTTAGTTTTGCAATACATTATCATGTCTCTGTAACACTTCACCAGATATTTCATTTCCGTTGAACCATCAAGATTATATAATATTTATTCATTACAGGCTATTGGCGACTGCTAGATGTATCGTACAAAGAAAAAGCATTTTCGCAGATTTTAAAGCTACTTGATGAAGAAGGTTGGGAGTTTGAAGAAATTCCTCTTGTAAGAACATGTGAGATTCTAGAAGAGCTCTATCCACGGTAACTTTGCGATTTTTGTTTGTACACTTGATAAAGCCGAGTATATAGTTCATGTGTGAATAAAGAAAAGGTCACGATAGCAGGCTGCTCGACGGACTCCAAAGAGTTCTTGCGGCGAAAAAATCGATGAAAATGTAGCAAATAAGGAACACCGCAATGCGACGAGAATGAACAACAGCAAATACACGTAAATCAGCGAAGGCTAATATTTCACCCCGGCATACGGGGCTTCATCAAAAGTTCTTTTGCTCTGATGAAGCCCCGTATTCCGGGGCGAAATGTTAGCCTTCGCTGATTTACGTGTATTTGTTGTTGTTCATTCTCGTCGCATTGCGGTGTTTCTTATTTGCTACATTTTTATACAGTTCATGCTTTCCATTTATCTATCAGTAAATTCGAGAAATTACATTCCCCTATCTGCCGGCAATATTAACCATTCGCCTTTAGCGTATAATCAAAAGGTAGTGAGGCCAAGTTTGTACTAGCTCATTCTTGAGAGTTCTCTTGTATCCGGTGTTCTCTTATCGTTGTCTTGGGATGCTTTGCTCTTTTCTTCCTTCTCCTCAAAGTCAATCTGCCTCCTTCCCCTCTCCTTTTATTGTGCATTGCTGCACTTTGTTGATCTTCTAGATTTCTCTCTTCCCTAGAGCAAGTTATTCTCCTCTTCAGGGACAAATTTACCCCCCTTCCTAAAATTGTTGTCTTATTTGGTAAATTTTCCTTCTATTCGGTAAAAATCATTTTTTGGTAGTCAGTAGTAACAAAATGATGCAGAAAAGTTGCTTTATCCACCTTCTTACTTCCTTTATCTTAAAGTTAAAAATGGGTGTTCCCATCAGTTTCCAGTCACCTGAAGGGTGTGGCATCAAAATCCAATCATTATGTAACCCCCCCCCCCCCCCACCCATCTCTCCCGCTTAAATTCCCCCGTCCCTATTCTTCTGTATTGCAGGCGAGGCTGTGTCTGTTCAGTCTTCCTCATTCTCAACATTCTTCCTCACCACTCGTTAAAGCACTCGGCCTGAAGAAGTGCAACTTTTCTTTGTTTCTAATGAACAATCAATTTGTTCCTATTGTTCTCAGTCAATGGTGTCCCCTCCCCCACTAATTTTTCACTTCCTTTGGCACTGGCACTCCATCGTTGCATATTCCTTTGTTTTGTATTTCTCAGTTAAGTCCTGGATTCTATTTCTGCTATCCTACTTGTTTATTCTTCTATAAGCTCACCTTTTTTCAGCTGGAAGTTAAGGAAATGAAAGTATCAAAAATCTGGAGGAGGAGGTATTTTCTTTCAAGTGTTTTGTTTCGTTTCAGTGAGATTCTCAAACACTGCCTTGATCTTTATGGCGAAAAAATTGAATATAGAGGTAAATTATTTTATTTTTGTTTACTATAAATTATATTTGTTTCAGTTTATTGGAATTGATTAATGATTATGGAAGCATTTCTTTTCCCTGTTGATATATCTGTAGTAGAAACCGAACAGGGAACCAAAACTTTCTAGCCACAGCTTTACTTCAACGGAAACACAGCCATTTGATTCAAACGCTCTGAAATCAAAGTTGTCTATGATTGGTTCAGTTCGTTTAGTTATCGATCAAGCTCGACGGTGCGTTAATTTCACTCCTGTGAAAATAAAATTGAGCACAATAGGAGACAGACTGCCTTTAACTGAGTAAGTTTTCCTATTCACGCAGATAACCCACAAGTGTATTATCGTTTGATCGAAGATAAAGTTTGCCAGTTCTTTGCAGAATGCATTCTAAGAGGCGCTGAAAGAGTGAGTTTTTTCATTATCGTTTTCATCCTAAAATATGTTATTACTTTCTTTCCAAGATTTCTTTGCATATTTTCTCCTGGATTTTTAAAAACAAATGTGAAATTAATCGTGGCTGTTCTACCACTTGTGTTGCAGTTTAATCACCATGAGTTTTTCGAGGCATGGCAGCAAAGTGTCCCGGACGGCATGCAAACCAACAAGGAGCAGCTCAAGGTGCCTTTCTTAGTAATCTTTGTTATAAATCACCACGAGAACCCAGCCAAAGTTGTTCCAAAGATGACTTTTAGGGAAACCATTCTTGATACCTTCAGTCATTCTTTGTTCTTCAAATTGAAAGTCTTGTAGTGTAAAATAGAAAATAAGCGATTTTCCATGTCCTGTATGTGACGCTTCTGATGAGAAAATTATTCATGAAAAGCGAATCTCACCTTCACCATCACAGGCCTACATGTTTCAAAGGACATATGTTTTCAACATTGATTTTGTTAGCGAAATTATTTGCCAATCGACCAAAAAATTTCCTTTTTTGATTTGAAACTGCTTAAAGTATCAATGTATCTGTCCCAAAATGCTAATTGTTTCTCTGTAAGGAACCTCTGCTATTGCCCTTCAGAAGAAACTTTTAATGTGAGACTTAACTCATCCCCGGGTCAATTTTGTATTCCTTCAATTCTGCAAAATAACAAACAAATCTTTTCGCATTTCAAAGGGCCTTGCACTTGAAGATATGACTTCACAGCCTCCTGTCATTTGGTATTTTCCAGTCTCTGATTTACCCGACGAGCCCCTAGCAAGGTATGCTTCATTCGTCATTAAAATGATTTCAAAGTAGCTGTGGATCAATGAGAACATGAAAAGACTGGCCCTGTAGTTTTACTACATAATCCCTTTCTTTATATGAGCAGCGCTCTATGAAAAACTGCTGTCCTGGCACTTTTTTATGGTTTTTTCATATCTTTTTCTCTTTAAGACTCTTTTATCCGATAAGGCCGATAATTTTCAAGAAACCTAAATCTTTCGACTAATCGTTAGTTAAATTTTTTTAACTGACGATTAATTGTTAAATTTAACGATTGAACTGTTAAAAAGTCGAATGCGTAACAGTTCTTCTTCTTCAAATCCTGTCCTTCTGAGCAAAATGTCCTTCAAACTCAGCCAATGGTCCTTCTTGGACATAAATGAGACTGTAATATATTCTTGTTATTTCCCAGTGCAATTGGTTTATTGTTTATAATCTTTGTATATCAATGTGTTTAATGGCGTGCTATCTTTTTATTCAATTTTGAAATGCACAGAAAATTATTACCACAGTCAATTTCTTGCTCTAATGTTTTTTCTGCTATGCCAATTAATTAAAAAACTTTTAAGAAATTTCGAGTACTCAGTTTAATAAGATTTTGAGAAAATTTCATTATTAAACGATGCAACGTCTAGATTGCTTCTTAAAACACCTGTTTAATCAGAACATATTTTTTTGTTAAAACAATACAGTATGGCTAGTCAAAAAGAACAAATAAAGATTATGTCGAGGTGCTATAAAATAGTTGTTGAACTGGGTATATATATTTCCTAGCGTAGAATTTTCGATCTATGTTCTGATTTTTTAAACTCTGAAGAGTGTCAGACGAGAAGCTTTAGTTTACTCAAGTATGTGCTTTTTTCAAAGCCATTTTCAAGTTTTGTACCACCAAAAGATTGTTAGTTGTTGAACTGTTTAAATACGTTGTTCACTTTTTGTGACCTTAGCGTTAATAGTAAGAGCACTATTATTTAAAATACTTAGATATTACTTAGAACATTTATCTGCAAAAACTTTTTTATTAAAAATATAAAATATTTTTTCAACAGCCAATGTTGTTCTGCAGTAAACGTTCGTTTCTATCTATATTCCTTTAAGCTAAACCCTATTAATTAATGGAAGAATTATTAACGATCCAGCCGTAATATTTGAGAAAATTAAGAACAGGCAGTGCTATAGAAAGAAAATAAAGTCCCCAAATTAATTAAGAGACATAATTTAAATTTTATGATTGATAATTTTAAAATGCTTTTTATGTTAGATTCAACAAATTGTTCAAAGTGCGATCGAAATGGACAAGAGAGGATATCGAACCGTACATAAGGTATGGATTTCTTCTTCACATTTTTTCTCTCGATGCATCCTGCATAATCAATTCCTGCAATACATGTTTTCCAACTTTCAGATCATTATTTGAGCTCAGTTATTCAAGATGTTTTGTGGCTTAAAGCTCTTCACAAACTTTAAGAGCACTTTACAATAATAGGAGAACCTGGAATTTAGATGAGTATGTTAGGATATAATGATAAGATACATGTTTATTCCTTAGATTCTCGCGAATTGTAGTTGGAGATATGGACGTAGACGAAAATGCAAAACCAAGAGTTTTTTCTAAAGTTTTCCGAACATCGTCGTGCTAGGGGATTTCGTGGGCAAGATGTGTTACAATGATCGTCATAGAAAGTTGAATTTATTTGAATCAAGCATTTTTGAAGCCGAATTCTATTTGAAATTAACTCAGTGCCTCTAGTATTTTTCAGTCATCATTTAGTTTGTTTCCCAGCGCCTTTATCTACTTCACCCCTCAATCCCCATTGCCCCCTTGACTCTACCCTGGGTACCAGACTCACTCTATATTAAATACCTTGACTCCCCTTACCCCATATCCCTTTACCCCCTCGAACTTCCTACTACTCCCCGACAATTTCAAACCTTTCAACTCTTCAGCAACTCAAAGTCACTTTTGTCTCATACTCGCAGTGGCGGATTAAAGCGGGAGGCAACTAGGGGCAGTCGCCCCTCCCTCAACGAGTTGATGCAAGTCTGGCGCCTCTTTTTGGAAATTGTGCGCCCCTTTTGAAGAATGAGAATCAGATGAAAAAGGTTCTTGGAGCGATAGGTTAATTTGCTTCAAGGATTACCTCAAAGTTAAGTTGTTTATTCTGAAAAGGTATCTGAAATTGTTGTATAGAGCGTACTCTCGTAACCAATTTTTGAAAATTTTTCAGCGCCCCAACTACCAACTGCCCCTCCTTCAAATTTGCTCTGGATTCGCCCCTGCATACTCGCTGACCCTCCTCTAAAACTCCGTCTTCTTTTCTTACTCCCTCAGCCCCTTCATCTCCCCTCACACCCTCTAAACCTTCAACCTTTCGAATGAAACTTTACAGGAAACCGTCAACCAGGTACTCTCGCTCATCCATATTGCGAATTCTAAACCGCTTGACTTCTTACTTCTAGCGATTTATGCACACCAACCCAATCTATGAACGCCCTGCTACTCAAGTTCACCCGCTGCTCGACGGACTCGCTCGGTAGCAAGATTTACAACTCAAAGAGACCCATATCGTAGCATATACTGTTCGGTTTGGTGATGACGACACATCCAAGGTTACTTGCTGCAAGTGTCAAGAGTCAAGGACCCTGATTGGAAAAATGTCCCAGAAACATGCTGATTTCTCGCCGTTTACTCGGTTCTACAACGTTCACAGGCAATATTTGTCATTTCTGTCTATCTTCAAGTTTAAATGCCAAAATGCCTTTCATATTGATTATTTTATTAAAATGCTGTTTCCCGAAATCCAGCAGCTAGCCGTAGAAAGCAAAGAAAGATTGTGGAAATTTTCCTTTGCAAACTTTATTCACAGAGAAAAGACCAGGGAATTTCGATGTCCTTGAAATTCTTTGCTTTACTCTTATATATATTCAATTGTTAACGTCTCATCCAAACCTGAAAGCTTCAAGCAAAAAGGCCATAGCGAATTGTTTTTAAACTGTGAAGCTTTCAGGACTTAAGTAAGGCTACCATCCTTTCAAAGGGTCGCCCTCATCTTTAACTTGGGCCTTAGTAGCCCAGTAGTTATCAGGAAGTTATTGGCCTGATGAAAAGTTATGCTCGAGTTGTATCAATGTAGTAAATTGTATTCTCTAATAATGCGACATACAACACCCTGACTTACATTGATTATCTAGCCCAGCCCGAGCCCAGGCTTCCCGTGTCCACCGTAACCTGGGCGATTTTCGTTTGATCTGTGCTGTAAGCTGTGTCCAGGCAGGAGCATTCATCTTTCCTCGTTAGCAGTGAAACCTGTCTAGGAAAAACAGAGAGAATAAGACAGAGTTTTGGCGTGGCACGCTGGTATCTTATGTTTACAGTACCAACCCTCTTGGTCAGTGATAGCGCGACCGCCATGTTGCTTGGATTCTGTTAAATGGAGTGCATTCCTACCGACATGCTGTATTGATAGTTTTATTCCTAACTGGTCCAGTCGAGATCTGGCCTCGGCAGATGTTGCAAAACTGAACTTTAAATGAGGTACACGTGATTCACGCAAGATAAGATACCGTGTGTGTATACAATGATAATTCATCAATGGCAGTTACCCTCAGGCTTGTAGGCATTTATTCATTTGTAAAAAGCTCAAACGTGATTTAATTATCATTAGAATCTTTTGATGAGCTTGATGACCTAACGGACGAAGAAAGATGAAATTTTCTCGACTACCATACTTAACAGAATTGCAATTCGATACTAACTATTTATGTTTTTTCTGCTTTGTTGAAACTCTGTTTTAGTTTATTTTGCTAATTTTTTGTATTCTGTGCTATTTGAAAGGACTTCCAACGCAGAATTGATCAATGTTTGTTCCATAGCAATAGTCTTTTAAACTGTAGTACCGGCCTGTGAAAAATAGAGTTCTAAAGTGTGACGTCATCAAAAACCTATTTTTAGAATTTTTGAATTTTAACCACATAGCGTAAAAGATCACCATGAAATACTTCCAAATATGCAAAATTGGCCAAATATGTCTAAAATCGGTTGAGATATGACTAATGAAAGATTTGAAGTTTGCTAACGAATCACTGTTCGTAAAGTTATGAACCGAGACCAAAATACAGAGGTTTGATAGGGAGAGAACCAATAAACATGTGGCCATATCTCTGCCATTTCGTAATACACTTGCCTGATTTTGCACATTTAGAGGTATTTCATGATGATCTTTCAGGTTATAGAGTCAAAATTCAAAAATTCTAAAAATAGATTTTTGTGACGTCATCACTTTAGAACTCTATTTCAATGTTTTTTAATCGTTTTTAAGTGACTAGCCAAGACCAGTGCCCTCTCCCCCCAAAGGACTCCATTTTTTTACAGATAAACCCATAGATTATGATATATGCATTGATGCATTTAACGAATCCCCAGGTAAAACGGCCTTGAAAAATTTTGCCACTATGGGGCTAGACTGGGTAAATGAAGTACTTACTTACATCGCTGGCCCCTTTTCTTTAGAATCGATGTCGCTGGCACTGCAAGCTACTTTTGCACTTTACTCGTGTTGTGTTGCTTGTCAAAAATGGTTACTTACAGAATGCCAATCAAGGTGAAACTGGGCTAGTCATAAAAATATTACATTCCATGTGATTGTTTCAAACCATTTTTTTAAACTAAGATTGATTTTTTTAAAAAAAAATGCATTTTGAGTGTTTATCAGATAAAATGTTTCCGTTTATAAAAGGAGCACCATTAATATAGGTTTTGAAAGCGATAACTACTTCATTTTATGGTGTTTTGAAATTTGTCGAGGAAAGGTTTAGGGAACATATATCGTAACGGAATTTGTATCTCCCGTCACCTTTGTTGTGGGAGTAGTAATTGTATTTCTGCATCTCTTTTTGCAGAGAAGATATTTTGTCAACGAAAAATTCAAACGTAAAGAATTGAATTTGCAAAACGAATTTATTCAGCTGACGAGTCAAAAAGATGTAAACTTAACCAGCTCCTTGCCAAAAAAATTTTTCTTGCGTTCCGTAAACATAAGAAATTTACATATAGACACAGGGATATTTTTAGAATACGTGACAAATTTTGGACAAAGATTTGTACGAAGATTTAGTTGTACAAAATTAAGAGTTCCCGAAAATTTGTGACGCAAAAACTTTGTTCAAACTGCGCTTGCGCAAGGTAAAATTGACTGAAGCAAAGGAAATCATATGATGTGTACTCTTAAATTTAATTTATTTTGAAAATTTATTTCGTGACATTGGATTCTCGTCGTCGTATTGCTTTGTTCCTGTATACCAAATCATATGATCTCTGAATCTGTTTTCCCGATGCAAAATGAAACGAAAAGAAAGGCTACAATCTTTAAACATGAGTAGGTTTGCAAAAATTTTGAAAACATTTACTCTTCCAATCCAAGCTAAGGGAAATATCAGTCCAAACAAAAATAACATCATCGTTCTATGTCCGATATCGGATAGCATCGCTCATTGTTCTATAATTTTATTTTCACAATATATGATAAACTTGTGACTACCCGTGGGTGGGTATCTGATTCTTCTCAAACTTGTCATAATCAACATCGATGTTGGTCACATGACATGTGACTGCCTATCACATGACAATGCTTCATGTGATATACCAAGTGACCACAATTGTTTTCATTTGCCCTGATAAAACCTTGGGTAAAGTAGGAAGTTTGGTTGATCTTCTACGAGAGCAAAGATGGAAAAATTCGTATTTCTCTTGGCCTTTGCGTTTTTTGCAAATGGAGCTTTGATAAAGAAGGGATACATTCCAACAGAGTTCCAGCCCCTCTCGCAAGAAATAATCGATTTTGTAAACACATTGCCACACTCCACTTGGAAGGCTGGACACAATTTCGAGGGGATCTCTGTACAATATCTTAAAGGATTAATGGGAGTTATTGAAGACCCTAATGGACCAAGACTCAAGGGTAAGAGAAATTTTCGTTGCAGGCCTTTTTAAATCTTTTTGGTAGCTAAATGATGAAATTTTAAAAGTCCTTCCGCCTATAAACGCTAGTCAACATTGCACATCTAGATCGATTAAACTGCTTTTCTAACAAAACAGTTGTGGAATGTTCAGATAATTTTATTATTTTTCCTTACAGTGAAGAAGCCATCGTTGGAAGGTGTTAGCATCCCGACAAGTTTTGACTCCAGGACAAATTGGCCTAACTGTCCTTCAATCAAGGAAGTTAGAGACCAGGGTTCTTGTGGAAGTTGTTGGGTAATTATTTCTTGTGAAACATACTTTTCAGGATATGAGAAACGGCGGGTTTTCGTTTCATACGAAAAAGAAGAGATCCTGTTGTATTATTTCGGATAAAGATATTTTAATACTTATTATTTTAACTACATAAACATTGCAAAAAGTTTTGATGGTTCCTCTTTCGATTATGGGCATTAACTACAGTCAACTCTTGACACTTCTGTTTTACCTGGCAAAACCCCCAGACGTGCCAGTCAGGATGTTGTTAGGATGAGATATTGTCAGGATGTGATTATTTTCGCATGCAGAAGATTTTCTAGCCACATATTAAGGTAATCAAAGCAATTACTGCTGGATCATTTCCTGTCCTATCATCCTTGGTTCCACTTTCATCATTCTCATCTTCATTGCTGTTAATCTCTTTGTGTAAACGAGGTTGTTGCAGCTCAGTCACAATATCAACTTTCTTTACTATATATATCTGTTATTTGGAGAGAAACTTCAAAGTTTTTCTTTTAGAATACCTAAAATGACTCCTTGCATAGTGTTGCATAATATTGCCCATTCCAACTTGAATACATATAGAAAAAAGGGTCGTTGAAGTGTTTAGATAATGAACAGGAGACACAAATTAAAACGGGAGTGTATGGTTAAGGGTTGGTTAATTCTATAACTTAGATCCAGAATCCCTGTGCATGAAAAGGACAATATCAAAACAAAAGACCCTCAAGTTTTTTAAGTTTGTAGTTCTCCTTTAGAAATCCAAAAAGAATTCAAAATTGCTGCCACAAGCCAATTTTGATAAATTTTGATCAGTTCCAAACCCTTATAGCTTTTGATGATTTTGAAATTTAAAAAAAAGTAAATATGTGCTTGTGACATCTTGTGACATCATGGTCATGCAAAAGATTACCCAATTCTAAGATGCTGTTGTCATACCCTAGTTGAGTTTACATTAAATGTTTCATCTGTTCTTATTTGCTAAAAGGCATTCGGTGCAGTAGAAGCAATGTCAGATCGTATTTGTATTGCATCTGGAGGCAGCAACAAGTTTCACATTTCTGCAGAAGATTTGCTTTCCTGCTGCTGGACTTGCGGTATGGGTTGCAATGGTGGATTCCCTGAGGCAGCATGGCAGTATTTTGAAAACCATGGTCTTGTCACGGGTGGACAGTATGGAACAAAAGAGGGATGTAGACCATACTCAATTCCACACTGTGAGCACCATGTTGATACTGGAAAATATCCAAAATGCCAAGGAATTCTGCCCACCCCACATTGCACCAAGAAGTGTGAAGCAGGTGATGGTTATATTTGAGTTGTATTTATTATAGTTGCTAGGCATTAATATCATAAACATTGTTTTTTAGTATCTAGAATTTGGAAGAGCAACATTAAATATACATCCAAATAAAAAAAATGTATGTTGTGTTACAAATTGGCTAAGTTGTGGCTAGTTTTTAGTCTGATTCATCATAAGCTTCATCATGTTTCGACTGTAGTCAAGGTGATGGCTTTAACAACCCTTTTTCGGACTCCACAATCCTCCGTAGCTGCCTTAAGGTCAGGACTTCAAACCAGTATCAGAAAATGATAGTTTGCAATGACGCCTGCCATCAGTGTTTATTGGCTTCCAGAGAACTAAGGATGAAATTTGAGGTAGCCCTGTGGCCATGAGCTGCAAACAGTCATTTACATTCCCTGAAAAGCGAGGATGCTAGGCTAAGGCCTCAATGAATTTAGTTGCTTTTCCTGGGTGGCTTTTCCTGGATAAGTTTTTAACTGATGATGAGTCTGATTCAAGGCCCTTCATGCTAGGGGGCAAGGGTGGCAATCCCCTTCCTCCCACTTTTTTGTAAAGCAAAAGCTTTTTTGCAAAATCTTTTGTTATGAATTCTATGTTGCCCCCACGCCCTTCCCCCACTTTCCAACTTGCACCAGAGCCTGTTTGATAAACACTAGTAAGAATAACCCTTAATAACTGGAAATTTAAATTCATAGAATCTTAAGTGTTGAAACTGTTTGAATTTTAGCATGCATATGGGTGGGCATATAAGTTCCAACCACATGCAGACAATTAAGCAAACTTGCAGGAGGGAGGAGGCAGCACCTAGCAATTGAGTTAAATAGTACCAGTGTATATTCTTAAGGATACCCTGCTTTACTTGAAGGCAATTTTGATAATTGTTTTAGTGTCACATCTATATCTATGTCACAACTAAATATTTCAATGAAGTACATCCCAAAACTCCATCGTGTCTCTTAAGTTAGTAACTCAGCAAGACTGCCTTTGTTCATTTGAAAGTCTTCCTTATTAGATATTATCTCTAGTCTCCCTTGTCAAATCACTTCTAGATCAATCTGCTGTTTGAACTTTGCAATAAACTGACTTTGCTTGATTATTTTCCAAGGATACAATGCTTCATATGCTGATGACAAGCACCATGGAGTGTCTGCATATGCTGTCCACAGCTCAGTAGAAGCTATTCAGACTGAGATCATGACCTATGGACCAGTTGAGGCAGCATTCACCGTCTATGCTGATTTCCCATCCTACAAATCAGGCAAGTTTAAGTTTATGTAAAAAAAACCTAACTGCTGTCCCCCGCCTCTTTATAGGAGGGGGAAAAGGGGTACCAAAGTGCCCTTTCATAGAAGTGTCCAGTCAATGACATTAGCCTTTTGGTATTATTTGAAAGATTCATATGAAATCCTGACCGTAGTGCCAAAATGACAGGGCGTATACACAAAAATGACATTCATGACAAAATTTCTCAATGCTTATGAAGAATTTCTCAATGACAACATTTAGCCAATTTACAAATGCCTATAGAACATTTAAATGAAATGACAGTTACGAAAGAAGTAGTCAAAGCTATGAATATTTTTTCAAATGCCCTTTACCAAAACCTGCCCCATTGCGCTGCAGATGTTCTTAGTTCCTGATGTGATATTTCAAATATATATTTTTTTATTTTTGTTAAAACGAAGAATACCTTTTTTTCTAAAAGAAGCTTGTGATTTTCAGGAGTTTACCAACACACATCTGGATCTGCTCTTGGTGGTCACGCTATTAAGATTCTTGGTTGGGGAGTGGAAAACAGCACTCCATACTGGTATGTCATCATGATATACTATTTATATAGGAAAGTCTGAAATATAACCTGATTTGTTCATGGCAGGCCTTTTTGTTTATGAAGGCAGGGTGATTCCTTACTATTATTGTAACTTTTTTGCCAAATGATCCTTTTTCCTATTTGCATTAAGACAATATTGAAGAATTCAAAGAAACACACTATTCTTATTCCAAATGGTAGAAAACAATGCAAGAAGAGAAAAACACGGGAAAACATCCAAAATAGACATGATTAGCTCTACCTTAATCATTAAAATACACACATCTGAGTCAAGGGACATACTTTCATTCAAAAACCCTAACTACAGAACTCCTACTTCTCAATTCTTCCCAAAGGCATTGAAATCAGGACAAAAAAGCATTGACAGAGTGGGCCTTAACATCCAAATGTGAACAGAACAATTAAAATAATATAAGAACCCCCAGAGAGATTAAATTCTGCAGCATCCCTGGTTAAATTTATGTCTTCATTTGATTGACATGTTATTGCAGAAAATTAATTGAAAACCCTCTCTTGCAGGTTGGTTGCAAACTCATGGAACGAAGATTGGGGAGATAAAGGTACGTTGTTCCAAATTACGTTTTCAATGTCTTTGCTAATTTATGTGGAATCAAATAAAATTTGGTTAACCAGTTAAAATTTTGGCAGCTATATACATTTTTAAAGCAAGTCTCAAAGGAAAAGAATTAAGATAATGCATATGGTATTAGACTCGTAATGAAAGGTTAGACATTGGATAATTCTTTGGACTTATTGCATTTTATCTCTTTGCCAAATATTTATTTCTTAATAGAAACAATTGCAGCTCCTCTTTTAGCAGATTAACAGTGGACTATTTGCTAACTTGACAGTTTTAAGGCAACAATCTCAATTGACAATCAACAATCTTACCAAAAATGCACTATTTTTGAAGAGGAATACCCATCTATTTGCACAATTGAGTACAAAGTTGTTTATTTTTTCTGTTTCTTATCAAAGTCATTTTTATTTTAGGTTTTTTCAAAATTCTACGTGGAGAAGACCATTGTGGAATTGAATCTGGAGTGGTTGGAGGACATATCAAATGATAAAACCACAGGGCCATGGCAGCATAGCAGTGGACATAAATATTTGCAATCAGAGCTAACAGACAAAATTTAGATTATTTTCTTTCTTTATAAGCTTCAAAATAAAAAATGTCAATATAAGGTTTTTGCTACATTGTTGATAATGATTTGTATAAAGGGATTTTGTGAATTTTCCATGTTTCAAGAAATACTTTGCTACAGAACAATTCTTATTCTACAGAAATTGTAGACCTCACAAATAGTTTGTCTTATTGTCCTGAATTCTTTGTATCTTTGAACAATTCTTGTTACCCTGGTGCAAGGATTTCATGGTGAGAAATTTTCATGGAAATAAACTTTAAATAAGGGATGTCTTTAAAAAATCAACGAAGAAAAAATGCATTTTCCACAAACCAGATTAAATTTTGACCTGTGGAAAGAACTCCCAATTTCCAAAGTATGCAAGCAATTGAAACCTGAACATTCAACGAGAACACAGGCTAACTGATTAAACTGGAGAATTGGAAATGTGACACCAGTGGCAACCTTTTTGAGCAAAACACGCAAAAAGAAAATAATTGTACTTTCTTCAATTGGTATGTTTCGTTATCAAAGCTGCTCTCGTTAACTGCTCTCGACAGACATTCTAATACATAATGGACGTCTCTGTGAACTCTCCTATACCTCTTTGAATCCGGCAATCACACAAGCATTATTTTCTGAATTCTGCTTTATTTTGGCAGCTTCGAAGACGAATTTTTCACAAAAATCCACATTTTGTCCTAAGGCAATTCCGTTTGCATTGTAGACTCTATTCCTGACACTGATATGGAAGTTATCAAGCTCCTTCATTAGCAGATTGGCATCGGTATTTTTTGCTTGAAAATAAGCATTTACTTTTTCAACTCTGCAACAACCAGCTACATGAAAAAAAATATCTATTAGGGTTAGATACAAGACGTGCTGTATAGGAAACGTTGGCTTCACCTTCTTGCTCAACCATTGCAAAATATGTCTTCAACTCATCCCAGGTAATTACAATCAGTGGTGTACCCAGGGCTGCAGCAGTGGGGGGTTCTGGGGCTTAGCCCCCAGAAATTTTTTTGGGACCATGCCCTTCAAATCGCCTTTTTTGCAAAATTTCCCCCAATTATTTGATTCATGTTAGATACGGTAAATAGCAAAGTAATTTACAATTGTTATCGACACAAGCATTCAGTATACTGCACCCCCTCCCCCAATGCGTTTTACATCGTTTTTGGACATATCTCGAGGATCATATTTTAGAAAAGTGGGGGGGGGGGTCCGGACCCCCTATTCCCCCCTTGGGTACGCCACTGATTACAATGCTGTAAATTATTTTGCCTCTGTCCAACCAATGTGTCTGGGAGGACTTTGAAATTGGCATGGCAAAGTTGAACTGTCTGAGCCAGCATTGATAATATCAAAGACCTTCTATATAAGCATCTCTTCTGATGATGCTCTTTGAAAACCAATTTGGTATGTGCTTCAGCAAGGAATCAAGATGTGATGGCAACATGTCAAAGACATGTTTAAGGTTACGGTAAACGTTTTGAACACGAAAATTTTCCTTCCTAAAGGCCAAACGGCTCAAGGAATCTGGATAAACTATATATCATTCGATGCACAAGATTATGGCGTATCTAGCCAGATAAAAATTATTGGCAAATAATGTTAAATGTTATTTTCCATGCGAATTTACTGGTCAAAAAGTGTACCACCTTCAAAAGCTATTATGTACCCTTGCGTTTGAGGTAACAAAATCTGACTTAGACCAGCAGGAAGTGCAGGTCCTAAGCTACCAAAGTGTGTCTCAGATTTTTTAAATTCCTCCTCTTCTTGAAACTATGCCCTGTCAAAAATTGGCAAATAATTGTTCCACCCTCCCGCAGCTGTATTTGGGTATAAAAGACGGACCAGAGAAAATAAAAAAATTTTGAGACACACTTTGTTTGCCCAACGTCTGCCCTGGCCGTGTGCAAATTTTCGAGCCATTCGATTGGTTCCTTGGGTACATAATAGCTTTTTCGTACCTTCATGTACAGGAATTTCGAGTCCGGAGAAAACGGGATTTTACTGATCGCACTTGCAAGATACACTCGTAAGCCACAGTGTAATCCGGTGTACTATGCGTTTCTGCATGGGCATGCGTTTCTGCATGGGCCGAGACGCATATGCGTTTCAAGTGTTACAGTGTAATGGCGGACATGCAGGGCCTAGCTGTGAATGGCGTGAAGCGCATATGCGTTAGACAGGACACAAATGTGTTTCAACGGATGTGCGTTTCCTAACAACTTTCAATAAAGGTTTGTGAAATGATCCATCGCCACAAAACCATCGCCACAAAACCTTAATAACAAGATTAGACTTGTTAGTTAGAAAACAGCAACTAGCTAACATAAAGCGAAGAATATGTGATAATATCATGCGTTACACGGATAAAATTATGCAGATTTACACAAAGAGCTTCCCCCAAATGATTCCCATAATTCAAAGCCGACGATATAAAATTAGTTGCTGATATACGACTATTCTTTTGGCTAAAGAACCAGATAAACTTGTTACACAGGTCAAGGAATCAAATTCTGGGCAATTTTTGAATATTCGTATATTCGTATTTGAATTATTTGAGTATTCGATATTTTGTTAATTTTTAGAACTTTGATTTCGTTTTGTATTGTTTATATAGGATATGCGCGTTGTGTACCCCACAGCTAGGCCCTCCATGTCCGCCATTACACATTAACATTTGAAACGCATATGTGTCTCAGCCCATGCAGAAACGCATGCCCATGCAGAAACGCATATGACACCGGGTCAAGTCACTTGAAGATTTAAGATCAATAAGCCTGTTTAAATAAAGACGGGCGTACATTGGATATATGGATGTGCCATGTGATATTGTAAATGAGACATGCGCCCACAACCGCAAAGCAACGATAATCGGCTTAACAGGTCAAGAAATTTTCAGGCCTCAACTAAAAGTTATGATAAAGAAATTATGGAAACCTTCGTTTACATGGGATTTTTTCCACTTTCAAAATTTCTGTTTGTTTCAAATTTGGTATCATTGTGTGCCTTGAAAGTTCGGCTACTTGAATGTGAAAAAATCGAAAAAATGATGTTTTCATCCAGAAAACGTTTACCGTAACCTGCACAGTGCTAAAGAGTGACAAATGCATTTCATTCGAACACAATTTCGTGCCTTCTGTCCGATACTTGACCAAACGCAGTTGTGCTCTCCAAACATCTTTGAGGCGCCACCACTTGCAGAGCCAACACAGTCTTCCAGCTTCACTTTTAATATCTCCAGACAATCTTTCATTGCAGCAAAAAGATCATTTCCATTGGCACTAACTACATCTATCAGAAGCTTATTACAGTAAATTTCTGTCGATTCATCAAGAATGATGCAAAATTTTTGACCAGCCTTATCCTGATAAAGCTCTTCATGTAATGCTGGATAAATTACAAGGTATAGCTCTTCATGTAATGCATATTTGCTACCAGTGCCATAATCAGGGGCGGACTGGCCGGTCGGGCTACCGGGTGATCGCCCGGTGGGCCCTCCCAAAATTTTTGCAATTTTCTCTTAATTTTGCTATTAAATGAAAACTCGTTTTGTTTGGTAGGGGCCCTATTTTGTCTCGTCTTCTGTTGCCATAACACCGAGACTCTCTCAAGATTATTGGATACAGAATGAATAAAAAGATCATTTTGCAGTAATTAAGTGCTGAAAAAGCACTTTCTATAATTTTGGGCCCATGGAAACAGGGAGAATCCTGGGTCCAGGGCTCACTGTCCGTAATGCAATAATACGATGCTTAACTGGAAGTTCCAAAATCTGATTAATGTTCTCTTCGGACCCTCAGTTTAAATTTTTTCTTTAAATCATAGGTTAAGGTGGTAAGGACATGACAATTTTTGTGACTCAATTTATAGGAAGGCACATTATTTTAATGCAAACCAGATAGATTTGAGAGTATAGATCAAAACAGCAGAAGGGCTCAACCCCCGCAGCTCTGACGAAATTTTTGCTCCAGTATAAAACATGAATGATTCGCCAAAGATCTTAGGCATAAAACATCGTGGTCTGACTGTGCTAGTTTTTTATTCGAAAATTTGCTGACGTGGCGAAAACCTTGCAAGATTTGCCCTGACGAACTTTGCAAAATAACAGGCCTGTAGGCCCTGGGGGCATGGGGGCAATGCCCCCCCCCCAATAATTTGCGAAAATTGTGTTTGAAGAACTAATAAGCGCAGTATTTCGTAAGGTAGGTAGAGAAAAAGCTAAATTTCTATCCATGCCCCCCAGTCCAGTTTAGCAGTCTACGGGCCTGCATAAAAATGAAGTTTTAAATGTTTCCCATTGTAAACTAAACAAGAAAAAGAAACGAGATACAACTGGAAGACTTAGATGCATTACAAACTTTATGCTCATAGAAATGTAGACATGAATTGATATCTAAACATAGAAAGGAATGACTCGTTATTCTTGAAAGTTTCTTACTGATAACTTTTATTTACTGTCTTCAATAGGCAAGAAAGCGTTTTTTATAATTGTATTTAAAAATTTGTTCAAAGTAATATGTGTCGTAAATGCTGGGTTTGTCGCTAAAAGTTGAGAGTAAGATCATGACTTTTGGTAATTGGAAACTATTAGGGGATGGGGAATTATTGTAAGTGAAAGCTTACATGTATTGCCTAGGATCTTCCTTTCGACAAACATGATGTGGCAAGTATTCTAGATGAATTCCTAGCCATCCCTATAGAGTCATGTTTCGAAAAATTTTCTTGAATTCGGCCAGAATTCCAAATCATGGTGGTGGCCTTTATTTAACCCCTGAACAATCTAAACATATCGCCCCTTCCCCCACTTCCATTAAAGATTCGTCAGCCCTGTTTATGCTACTGATGTTACCATATTGGTAGCTGCACAACAATGGCGGGGTGGCTATGTTTTCCCTTTGGGCGGCCAAGTCGATTTTTGCGCCCTATCTATATATCGTGGTTATATCAAAGTATGTGTTTCTAGAAGGGAAATCGATTTTTGCAACTTGAATCCAAAATTTCATAAATAGGTTTTTACTCAAAATGAATGGAAAAGTTATATAATCCTAGCATTTGACATTCTCGATCGTAGTTCGGTAAAATATCAAGCTATTTTGAATCGGCTTATTTTCGAGAGTCGGCCTATTTTCAAGGAAATACGAAAAGGCAAAACATAAAGTACTAATCAAAACACATTCTATTCAATTACACTGATGTTTCATACAGGCTGGCGGCCCCTTGAACTCGTTTATCCAGAATACCAACTTCAGAGGAAAATAACGCAGGGCAAATTGTTCTTTCGGGCACTTTGCTTTAACTTAGTCCATTTTGCCACTGCTTATGGGCGATTTTATCAGCCTAGTGTCATCGTATATATGATGTATGATATACAAACATGGTTCAAGTTTGTTATTCTTTAGTAGTTTTTAAATAGTAGTTTTTCAACAACTTGAAAGTTTCAAGCATTGAATCGCACAATTGGATCGGACAGAGACAGCAGCGCACGAAGTTGAATCTAGGGGGGGGGGGGGGTTGGGGGGGGGGGGTGGTGTGCTAAGGATCACGTTCAGTGACAAAGGAGGACCCACCATGGTTGGGTCCGACGCGCAAGAAATTTTTGAAATCAAGCTTTCTAGAATGGCTAAAAATGCATCTCCCAGGCTAAAATTTAACAAATTACTACCCCGCTCAGAATAGACAGTTCGACGATGCTCAGAAAAACATTGATTTTTTATTTTTAAAAAAAATTTGGGAGCGAAGGATTTATGTGTTGGATAAAGAAAGAAAGGATGACCTTTGGTTCACATCGATGTTAATAACAAAAAGCTGCTGTATTCATTGCCAGGGTGCATTCAGTGTACTTAGGACTTAAGCCCGAAGATCTTTGGCGTACACTCAGGTTTTCGGCGTTTCGAGTGCAAACTAATAGAAGACATTTTTGGCATACATAAAATCTTGAAAACATGAAAAATATGACACACTTGTTGATTGGGTCATGGCAATGCAACGTGCTTCGATTGTAGAATCACACATTTTGTTATATTGTTCACAGCAAGTTACAGCGAAGTGTTCGATAAATTTTGATGTTCCTAGCAAAATATTACAAGCAAACAATTTTGGCGCCCCCTTACCTCCATGGCCCCCTGGCCCCCCTGCCACCACGCTACTGCTGAGCAAACAATCAATTGACCTGGCTGCTCAACCAATGATCGGAAAAACATCAACCCATATTATGTTTTGAATGGAAAATTGCATATCAAGATTTTTTTTAATAATTTGGAGATTTATTGAATAACTTAGATTTTTCACCAAGTTCTACCCTGGGTACCAGAGCCTCAGTGATCGAAGAAGGTGACCCCTCTAAATACCATTCGCCGTTTTTGATCACTGAGGTCCCCCTTTAAAAGCCCTTCAGATAGAAAACAATAATTGTTTCCCTTGCAATGTCATGATTTTCTCTAATCTCTTATCCTACGTCAGAATTGAATTTCCAGTGAAAATGATGCTGACCTGGAGTACAATTGCAAATCCCCCTTGTAAATCTTTTACGCTTACGCCTACATCCCTGGTGGCTATTAATTAGAATTAATAGCAATATTCCAATCACGTTTTAAGCCAGTTTAAAAAGGGATGCAACAAACAACTTCGGAGCCCTTTCTCGACGACTTGGTCCGGGCCCTAAATTAAGAGCCAGTCCGCCCCTGACCTTCTTACCCTTATTTGCCAACGGTTTTTGTTTGGTAAGCTGGAACAAATATGTATACTAGAAATAGCTCTTGCTAGTACTGCCCGCAAACAATTAGTTCCTTGATAATGATTGTTTTGAAAATTTAGGTCAGGATATTCGAAGAAGATTCCATCTTGGGTTTTCACAATTTTATAAAAACAGCTGCTCTAGTTGATGCTAAACTATTCTTTTTATCAAGAATTTTTGGTGTTCAGTTTGCCTTTGATTTAAGTCCAACGCCCTTTTGAAAATCATGAAGTTTTTCTAGGGTTTGACATTTATTTTTCGTTTTCGTGAAGCAAAGACGTATGAAAATGGACACGTGATAGAACGGGTACAGCTAAAATAGATTGCGATAAAGGATTCGTACAGCGATGTACAGGCGATAATCACGACAATCATAACTTTTGCTCGTACGGTGTCGAGTTTTTGGGAGAAAGGTGTGGCATTCGACTGGTTTTGATTCCCAAAACTTCGAATCAAAACTTCCATCCATTGCGGAGAACCGAGCTGTGATGCAGCACCGTTTTTGTGCAAAAAAAACCGAAGGCCTTTAACAGAGTCTTGGCAGAGCAACGCTCCAAAGATAATTCCCTTCCGCACAAAGAGGTGGCGGTTAACGACCTCCTCGACAAAGCCGATTGATTGACAATGAAATTGATTGACAGTTGTCATGGCAGCAGAAAAGTGACAAAATCTGCTGACAAAGTGCTGACATTATGAACTGAAGCTTCCATATGCTACTTATACGCGGGGCAGACTATAAGCCCTTCACTCGCGCGCTATCGCGCGCGAGTTGCGGGCAATAACAAAGAAATACTATTCATAAATTGGAAGCCTTTCTTTTCAAGTCTTTATGCGAAATATTCACATTATCATAATCCATACCAATGTTGAGACGGATACAAAAATAATGTCTGAGAATACACTCATTTCTTTTCATATATATCTCCACTAAATCTGACAATAAACAATTTCTGTTAGGGCACAAACTAATATGGTTTTTCTCCATATTTCTGAAGACAAATTAGCTTGCTTTGGGGCTTTATCATAATGGAAAGATGGAACAAGACCAAGAGCTTAATTGGCCAACTGTGAATGTTTGTAGTTCTTTTGCTTTGATCGTTTGTTGCGTCAAGGGAGTGTGGACACTAAAAAACACTGGCATCTTTTGCAATGGAAATCCGTATTAACTTGGGTTAGCATAAAGTCTTTCACGGATCGAAATTCTAAGGGGAATGTATTCTCGATCTTCTATTCAAATTTGGTTTAGAAAAGAACATTGGCCAGGGGATCGAGAAACTCAATCAACATTGAAATATTGGGAAATAATGACAAGATTACGGCCTATTGTGTTCACAAAAATAGAAGCTCAACTATCTGGTGATTGTAAAAGATACTAAAATGGTAATTAAAGAAATATTGCAAATTGAACAAAACATCTAAATTGAACTTCAAATCTATAAAACATCGAACAAAACTGATTTTATAAAATTAAATGTAATTACGGGCAATGAAAAATTAGAGACGTTGCAGCCTCGTTTCCATAAAGAGCAACAATCTGCAACCTCATTTCCGCTATTCACATGACCTGAAGAAAACGAAACATTATTGAAACTGGAAACGCCGACATTTATTAAACCACAACTTAAAGAAAATTCATCACACAAGATCTGATATATTAAATGATGCCAGCTACTGTAAACAAATATTTTTGAGAGGGGCAAGTAGGACAAATAACCGGCTTCCGGTTTGGCAAGCTGAGAAGTTGTCAAACGTCGCATATAAGATGGCATTGCAGAGCAATTGGAACTTCAATAATTCAGATTTGCAGTGGTTGTTGACATGCGAAAGTAAGATAACTTTTTAATACTTAGAAAGCTTGTTGACTTGCAAAACAGTGTTTCCACCCGAAATTTGCTTATTTATGACTTTATCATTTAATAAATGATTTATACAACTTATTATTTTATCTAAATTAATGCTTCAATTCAAACAAAAATTTTCTCTAGTGGTTTTTGGGATGATGAAACTTGTTGCTTTGTAATTTTTAGTTCCTGCTTTTGTTTACAGTATATTTACACCCAATGATACATCAATCTAGTTTCAATGAGATTTTACTGTAAGCATATGATCCTTTCCTCATTTCTTATAAAAATGAGAAAAATCCTTTCTGCAAATATTTTATTTTGCGACTTTTTTTTCTTTCTCTATTTATTTAAAGTTGGTACAATTTCTAGCTATGCATATAAGCTAATTAAAACCAACTAATTTAAATTACCAACGCTAAATATGATATAAATCAAATATAACTGATGTTGCTAACATATTCCTTGCAAAGATTACAAGTACAATTAAACGATGTAAATTCTGAGATTTTTTTCTTGAATATTGATAAAGTAGGAGAGTACTTTATCTCATTTGGAATTGAGTTCCATATTTGGCTACATCTGTATGATACGGTATTAAATCCATATATTTTGTAATGTGGCTCCGCTGTTTTGAATTAGGAGTTTCTTAAGTAATATGGGCATTCATTTATGGAAAATGTTTCATCCATAAAAGGTGGATTCAATCCGTTAAATGTTCTGTAAATTTCTATCACGATATTGTAAATTTTTCTTATGAGAAGTTATTGTTTTATTCTTTATTAAAAGTTGTTCAAAAGTTGATTCATAATCATCATTAGCTATTCTCATTGCTCTTTCATGAATCGGGTTTATTCGATTATTACTTTTCCTACTGCAAAACATCCAAATAAGAGGACAATAATTAAAATATGATAATATGAACGTTTTCATTAAAAGAATTCGCTTAGATTTGTCCATATTGGAGGCAATCCGGGCTAGAGCGTTTACCTTTTTCCCAGCTTCTTTACAAAAACTCTGATATATTCTTCTAATTTAAGTTGTTGGTCCAGTGTTACTCTCAATAGCTTAACATTCTTACTTACTATTATAGGAGAACCATTTATTTGAATTTTAGATTCCTCTAAATTGGATCGATTGGCTTTTAATGTTATAAGCTTGCTTTTATCGCCATTGAGCACCAAATAATTTTCATAAAACCATTTATTAAGAATAGCGGCTTCTGATTCTAAGTCGTCAGTTAGTTCATTCATATCAGAACTGTATTATCATCTGCATAGTTGCATAAGTTGCTTTTGTTCAAATGCAGAAAAATATCATTTATGTAAATATTGAAAAGCAAAGGGCCTAAGATTGATCCTTGAGGAACTCCTTGCTTTGTTTCCATCCAATCACTAAAATCTGAGTTTATTTTTACTCGTTGTACTCTTCTATCTAGATAACTATACATAAATTCCATTGCGTTGTCGCTGAAGCCATAAGATTTCAATTTGGCTAGTAGAAGTATATGGGATAACAATCAAATGCTCTTGATAAATCCATAAGCACTGCACCAGCCATATCTTTTTTATCCAGGCACTTTTTCAGACCTTCAATAAGTCGTAATAAAGTGTGTTGTGTGCTATAACATTTTCTGAATCAACAAAGCAAAGGAAACAGTTTAACAATGATGTAATTGTTGATTTGATTGAACATTATTCTCTCAAATACCTTTGAAGCTGAGGGGAGCACACTTATGGGTCTATATTTACTAGATGAATCTCCTTTTTTGAAAATAGGGCACACATTAGCCATTTTCACAAGAAAGGGAAACGTTTTATCAGAAATAGATTGATTGAATATTTCAGCTAGTGGTCCAGAGACAACGTCAATTGCAATTCTAAGAACCTTTGGGGGGATGTTATCGGCTCCTGTTGATTTGTCTTCCTTTATGTTGTAAATTATCTCTCTTACCTCCTTGGAAGTTACATTTTCAAAGTTAAACTTAGGAAATTGATTAAACGTTTCCTTGATTTTTAAAATACTACGGTGGTTTTCAAAGCATTTCAATTGATCTAATAGTGACGAGGCTGTCCTTTCGTCAGACGTCTGTTGCACATTATCAGATAAAGGTTGGGCTATATTTAGGCTTTCAGTAATATTTACGAAGTGACTGTTCAACGTCTGTGCAACTATTTTGCTGTCAGACAGGATTTTGTTGTTCTCTATCAGTGTGATTTTATTTGCTTTTGCATTTTTATCATTTAATAAAGGCTGGATAGTTTTCCAGAATCTTTTATTATCGTTGAAAAATTTAACATCTAAATTTCTCGAAATATCTTCTTTTAGTGCATCTAATTAATTTAACACATCTATTTCTGACTTTTTGTACCTCTCCCTATTAGAAACTGTTTTATTTTTGTTGAGCTCTCTTTTTGCCTTAGATCTCAGCATTATCAATTTTCTTATATCTTTATTCATGAAAGGCGCATTGTTTGCTCTTACTAATTTTTTCTTCGGAGGGGCATGTTTATCGAGAATTGAGATCAGAGTTTGATTGAAAACATTGTACGATACATTTTCTTTAGGTATTTTAGCTAAATTAAATTGAAGATCCTCGTTAAATTGATCGGTAGAAAAAGTTTTACAGCATCTGTATGAAATAGAAGTGGGTTCAGATTTTACGAATTTAGTTTTTAGTACAGTATAGGTTAGCTTATGGTGGTCAGACAAATCTGTCTCATATGTACCTGTATTTATATAGCTGTATTTCTTGTTTGTTAAAATCAAGTCATAGCATTTTGGCCGATCACTTTTGTAGCTATGTTAGAAGAACCAGGTTCCATTTTAAAGTCCACAAGTATTATAATTCTTTCATAGCTTTGTGAATAGAAATCCAATAACTTACCTAATTCATCAAGAAAGTAGATGCCATTTTGGTTTGGAGGGTGATAGATTCCAATAATTATCCTTTTTGTTTTTTAAAATTAACTTCAACAGAAATAGTTTCTATATCATTTGCTGGGCTGAGATTTCTTAATTCTTTAGCTGGAATATTTTCATTCACATAAAGTAGTAATCCTCCAGCTCCAATTTTTCTGTCACGTCTAAAGGGCTTCCTAAGCCCCTCAACAGAAAACTGAGATGTTGGGAAGGATTCGTCTATTTTTGTTTCTGAGATAAGAAAAATATCTAATTTTCCTTTTATGATTTCCGTAATACTAGAAAGTTTATTAGGAACAGAATTTATGTTAAGGTGTCCTATAATTATTTTTTTAGGATTTTTTATTCTTATTGAACTGAAATTAGTTACTTCATTTAAAGCGCTATCTATTATTTCGATAGAGGTCTGTTTATTTTGAATTTTTTCGTTTAAATCATCATGTTCTCTGTGGGTTATAAATGAATGATTAGCTTTTCGACTATAAGGGCATGAAGGCTTAATCATGGTTAAACTGTGCATTATCTTACCCACTTGTCATGTTTGCTGCAGATGATAAATAATGTTTCTCGCAAGAAGTATGTTCCCTTGTCTGATTTGATCTTGACATGGTTTGATCCTGTGCAAAGCATAGCCACAAGAAGAGCATTCTTTTTGCATAAAATTTTTTGTGATATCTGCCCCTCAGAGATTCAAAATTTGCAGCTCAGTTTTATAAAATCTTAATCTCATCCATATTTTTCAGGTATTTTAGAAGATTCTGCATCATTCACTTATTTATTGGAAATTTATTTACTTTATTGATTGTAATGGATGTTTCAGTTGATTATTAATTCCCATGATCACAAAATCACATTATAGAATCAAAGGAACACAGCATTACATCTTGGGTTTATGCTGCTCAAGCTATCATTGCTTGCTCAAGTGGTTTAATTATATTTGCCAAGTACAACAGGTGATTAATTCTAATCATGTTACCCTTTTTAAAGCAGTTCATGTTTACTGTATGTGTTGTCACAATTTAATTTCTACCTGAAGGTGAAAACTTTTGATAAATGGTATCTGTTCATAAAATTATGGTTATACTGGATCTCCCCTAGAGACCAGGCCACAGAATTCCATTCAAAATTGTAACCCAGACTGCAGAGTATGGCAGTTCTTAATGATATCATGTGCATGCACAGTTATTTCAGCCATATTTTCCACATGCAAACTTTTTTTTATTATTCATAAGAAGGTTTCATGATTAAGTATTTTGATAAATTCTGTGTGTACAGTTTCAAATTTCTATGTGAAGCAATACACATGCCTTGTGTGTGCATCTATTATTAGATTTCCACGGAGAGTATCTTGAAAAATAAACTACGGTTGAACGAACATAACAAAACCACTTATACAATCAGGATATAATACTAGGCCACATTACGTATTCAGTGTAAGAGTAATAAAAAACTTGTTCACAGCATGACTAAGCAAAGCTTAACTTAAAGTGTCAATCAATGATACTATGAGTCAAAACATGATAATAGTAAATGTTTTGTCATCTATCATATTCTACAGGCAGAAAATGAAAAGGGAAAAGCTTGCTCCCTCATCATAATGCCCCTGATATTCTCTTTGAAATAATTTTTCCCTGGAAACATTATTTTTGGTAATTTGTATGCCCTTTTTGCCTTTTCTAGCATCAGTGTTCTAAACCTAAATGTTCATATTGATGCGATATCAAATACATGGTGGATAATCTACTGCATAATTGGGACTTTGAGGTAATTGACTGTTTTTGTTAAGAACTCATTATTAGTTTTTGTTATGATGATCACTCTATAGACATTAACCGCTGCGTAGTAGCCTTACGTAATCATCTTATATCATACGATTGTAGCGTGGTAGCTAACTGTTGTTGTTGTTAACCCATTCTTCTTATGTTCTGTTCTACTAAAGCGGCCTAGCTCTTTTTCGTTTGTGCTTGTACTCAACATTTCCAACATTTTTGTAGTTTATAGATGAAGTAATGTCGTAGTTTTGAAAAAAATTGGCTCCTTTATTTAATGAAATGCCTTGCAACTTAGATTCAAACAACTTTAAAGGACAAGTGATACGCTTTTGCACAAAATTTTTTTTTTCTTTTAACTTAAAGTAAAATGCTGTATGAGAGTGTTGTTGAAATATTTTTCCTTTCTGATTTCATTTTCCTACTTAAAAACCCTTTTCAAATTATGGCGGGAAATGAATCAAGTGACACTGTGATGTAGATTGTGATAATTTGTTATTGCTGCTACTGGTATACAGTGTAATATTAACGTTTACAACACGCTTCTAAACGAATTCAGTTCGTCTGGACCTGTCGCGTCGTGTTTCGTAAACTCTCTATCAATGACAGGAAAATTCCGAGTTATCACAATGTATGTCATAGGGTTACGTGATAAAAAGCAAAATCGCGTCCTCTGCGCCCCCTGATTAGAATTTTTTGTTCTAAACCAGGAAAAACTTACTTCTAAATGATGATCTATAAGTTAATGAAAAGAAATGATAGGGTGAAAAGTGTGTCACTTGTCCTTTAAGCTATGAGAAAATCATTTATTTAGCTACAGCTGAGCCTTACACAAATTTGCAAGCATTGATAATGGCAAAGTAATTTGGCTATGATAGCTTTGTTTTGTTATGGATAATCTTAGATGTGTAGATTGCAGATGTGTTTTAGAATTTTTATGCATGAAAAATTAACCTGCAGCAAACTGGCTTTGTTAGGAACCTTTTAAGTCAACAGGAATTTACCTTCTTTGAATGTATTTTGCAGGCCTAGCTTCTTGTTGTATATTGGAATCATTATATTTTAGAGCTATCCTGAATTCGATAAATTTCTGGCTCTATGACAATGAAAATCGGACAGAGACAGAGAAAACTATAGAGCACTTGATAACTGCAGGTTTGGTTTTCTTGTGTTTCAAGTATTCTCTAGACTTATTAGGAGTGTCAGATGACAAGTACTTTGGTATGCCATATTTCTGATTTTCCTAACTTCAAATTGCATTGGATGGAAAGCATGAGAGGGTATTAAGTACAATCTATGTTTTGATTGTCTATGCTGTTCGGTTGGTTTCAATTCTTGAATCTGGTTTGTGTTTTGTTACCTATAATTGTAGTAATGCTATGGGAAGCACCTTGGGGGCTATTGGTTGTAATAATTTTCACAGGTCAGTGGTGGCACCAGGGGAGGGCTAGGGGTGCTACAGCCCCTCCCTAGGAAGCTTCTAGCCCCCATCAGAGGAAATTCTAGGTTATTTTGGAAGCAAATTTGACAAAATAACATACCAAAACTGTATATTTTAGTCATTTTAGCCCCCCTGTCGGAAGCTTAAACCCGTTCTGTCGGAAGATTTCTGGTGCCACCTCTTTCACAGGTTATCCAATATATCCTTTGAAGTTTTATAAGATTTCAATTTGTCTTTCCACAGATTGGAGCTCTAAAGCTTTAGAGGTAATGTATAATTGGGTAAATTTTGTCTAAAACTCTTTTTAAAAAAGGGCCAAGCACTAAATTGATAAGCACTTAACCTGATGATCACATTTAAATAAATTGTCAATATTTCTCCCCTAGAAATTGATTTTGGATTTGCGCAAAAAGCCTGGGGGCCTCCTAAACAATGATTTCATGATTTTTTAGGTCTTGATGATATTTGCAGATATAATGGATAAGTCTTGTTGATTTAGTTTCAGAATGCTGCCAAAAATATTTGAGGGAGTCACTGTGTGTATGAGTATCTTTTTGCTGAGCCATCCCCCAAAAAATCTGGCTTTCCACTTTTCTTAAACCAATCTCTCCCTTGTCGGTTTAGATTCTTTTAGGACTCCGTATTTGTTGGAAATTTCAGAAATGTTATTTTTCATCTTTCTGATTTGGATTCATCTTTCATGTTCAACTGGTTTTTGAATAGAGTGCTGTTTGCAGCTGAGGTTTGCCTTTAAATATATTTTGCACAAGCTTACAGAATTTGCACAAATAAACCTATTAAGACTTTCATTTCCTTCTACATCATTCCAATTGCAGACCCTCATTCTGTGTTTCGCATTGAATTATCAAAGGAAGTATCGGTCCAGTGGTAGGTATCTGAAATAATCACTCACTTATAAAATATCGAATTCCTTCAGAAGCTGTTGTATGGACTAAGGACCGTGCACCAGTCTAAATATGGGAGAGCTGAAAAAGCGTGACCAGAAATTTTTTGAGGCCACGCCCTCTAGAACGCCGAAAAACGCCCTTTTTAGAAAATACTTATTTCTACGGAAGTTTTATAAACATTCTGGTTCAGAGTATATATCAAAAGCTATAGAAATAGATAAAATTAGCTTGGAGATAATAAAACATCAAGAAAAACACATAGAAAATGAACAAAAAGGGTTCCCAGTGAAGAATAACTGCTGCTACTTAGGAGTATACTATCCATAATTGCGCTAAAGCATAGTTAGAGTAAACTTTCCAAAAACATTTCTTATCTATTATTGCAAAAAAGTGGAGGGGCTATAGCCCCTGCTAGCCCAATGGCTGCGCGGTGCCTGGTATGGACCTAATTTTGGAATTACAGACTAATTTTTTGATCTACAATCCAAAGAAACATGCCTAGGAGATTTAAGATGTTGAAAGATATTGAGTGCAGGAACACCTTGTTATCCTTGGAGCCAAATGATTGCTATCAGTTGTGCGAGAAGATGTATCATTCCTCTTCCACCAATAGCTGGCTTATATTGTAATGAACATTGTTCTTATGTAGTCCCAGAGGCGTCCAGAAGGTGGTTAGGAGGGGTAAAAGGTCCAGGGCCTGTGCTCCGATGGGGCCCGTATTAATGTATCAAGATCTATTTACAATGCAAAAAGTTACTATTTCAGCTACTTATATGGAATCAACGCCGGTAAATTTATCGCAGAGAAAACATGTCCTTGATTCATGTTTTCAGATTTTCAAAAATCTTTAAAATTATTTTTCAACAATTGTAACTAAAAAGTTGTTTCACTAGTGCCCCGGTGATGGAAGGGCGTGGACTTTTTATTAAGGGGTCCAGCTTTGTGAATCACCCCTGGGCCCGAGCTGGCTTTCCACGGCCCTGTGTAGTCCCAATATATTAGATGCACAAATTTCATTTAAAATGGTTTTGCATCATCATTTAATTGTTATGGGCTGAGATAAGAATTTACCCAACTTGCTAGTGGGTTCACTTCATTAGGTAGAGCCTCCCAATCCCACCAACCCCTCAAATTCCCCCCATTCAACTTACCCAGTCAAGGTCAGTACAGAGACTTTGTGAATTGCTGGTAAATTATTGCTGATAACACAGGCACAATATGCTGTTTGATCGCTTGAAACCTTTGCAGTTTGTTCAATACAGCTGTGAATAATTTCTTTGGATATTTAGGTTATAATGGAAGTTAAATGTCTGATGGCTTTGTAAAATAAAATTGCAACTGATAAATTAGTGTTGCAGATTTTTGAAACGAGTTCCAACATTTTACTTTATTGGAGAAAGTCAAATTGAATTTTCATTGTTTAGGAATGTAATGAATTCACTAGATATCTTAAAGGAAATGAACATTTTATTTGACGTTCTTTAAAAAAATAAGAATTCATTTCATTTTTTTGGATGCAAAAAATTTGATTGATGAACACTTTTTTAACAATAAAGGAAGGCACGGATGAAGGCAAAAATTGTTAGATTTAACATGAATATAAAACTGTTTTAGTCTATTAAAAAATAATTATTCACCTTTCTATTTAGTTTGTGTTTCAGAATACTTCTTTAGACTAAACATAATGGCTTATGATAAGGCGTTTATGTCTCTCAACACACTACGATGCATGTGTTCCAAATTTCAGCACAAATAAATGAAGAGGTTGACAGTTATAGCAAATCTGGGAAGGCTAGAAGCCAATTCTCATTTCGGCGATATTTAATGAAGGTCAGTTTCTATCTTTTAGTTTCAACTATATTTTTACTGTATATAATTTGGTATAATATTATGCTGTATATACTGTATATGATTTGGTATAATACTGTATAATATTAACTATATAATACTGTATAATATTAACTATATATAATTTGCCAATAAGATATTTTCTATACCGAGTATAAAACAAAATCTTAATGTGTACAATACACTGATATTAAAAGTTGTGAAATCGAGTAAAATTTTGATTAAAAGAACGCGTCTGTTATGCTGTGTCTGAGGGTTAACTTGAAGGGACACTTGTCAACGTTGTTTTATTTTTTCGCTCCTATTTTCATATCTGACTTACCGTGCAGAATACACGGGCCAGTAAAGACTTGTGTGTGACCGTTGTCACGCACCGCGCAGCAATTTAAAAGGAGGGGGGCTGAAAAGGGCGTGGTCGAGGTTTTTTAAGCGACTGGAAAATGTCACTTTTCAAAATACTTTGCTCTCTCCACTTATTGTTCATACGCAGTCCGATTCAGAGAAGATATCAATAACTATAAAAATAGACATTGATTAATTGAGCAAAACAAGGTTCCCAGACAAGAAGAACTGCTACTACTTAGTATCCGTAGGAGTAAACCTCCAAAGTTGCGTTAGAGTGGACTTTCCAAAAATTTCGCTGTAGCCCAGTGCCAGCTCAATGGTTGCGCAGTGTCTGACTGTTGCGTCTTGCTTTGTACTGACTAGTACAAAACAGGGGACAGAAAACGAGTGTTCCGTTATTGTGGATACGAAGACCATGCTTGTAAATGACAGTGAAACAATGGTGGCCATTATTACGCACAGACATAAGTCCCTACAATTTCTCATCTTTAACTTTATTTTTTAGTTCTTGGCTTTGTAGAATATTCTAGTCCTAGTGAATGGAAAATTCTTGCATTTGAGTCAAAAATGGAGATCTATTGCTAAACTCCTCCGAAAAGTCTTTCACAAATCGCCACTACTTGAAGCTTAAATTATGCATTAACTTTGATATAAAAACTTTAGCAAATATCTACACACAAAAAGCATATAGTATTTTGAAAGTATACACTCAAGTGCTAGATGTCAAAAAATAAGAAACGATTGAATTTTGAGAAAGACCAAAACTCAGAGATTCTTTCAAAATCCACAAATGTTATTGGCTGGTTGGCATAGAAATGTAGACACAAAAGATGAAAATATGTTCCCTCCATCTACGTCCAACATTAGAACAGTAGTGAATCTCTTGACAGAAATGTCACGAACACTTGAAAGCAATAGAAACATCAAAACTGTCTTTGTTTGCAGCTGCGAAACTCTCCCAAACGCTCCCAAAAAAATCTTTTTGAAAGATTTTCTATTACGGAAAATATGATAAGATTTATGACATCATAAATTAGTTAGAATTTCCTTTAGTGTTAAGAAACTAGAGTCTGAACATCGACCTTTGTTTCTTTTAAGCAATGAGTTTTCACCGTAGAGATCTTCTTGCTGGAGTTTTTGCTTTATTACGACCAATTGGTTATACAAATCTTAAAAATAATGTGCCAATGCAGATTTCATTGTATGGTGATAAAAGCTTTCCCGATGAACCAAATAAAAATATACTCCTGCTAACTCTAGAGTTCGTCCAAAAATCTGGTCGATTTGATTAGAAAATTTAAACTCTCCGTAATAAACCACACTGCTGTAAAGACCTTATAAATCTTTCTGGATTCTCAGGGTCGAGATGATGAAGACACCATGATGATGTTATATATTTATATGCGATATTTACTAAGGCCTAATTATGACTAACCGGTTGATGATTACTCCACTGGCCTACGCCAGGGAATTGGCGTCTCTAATATATATCCTTTCTATTGGAGCTCCTTCTCGTAACTAACTACAATTCTTGCTGCAGTACCTACTACGCCCATATGTGCGTGTTTCCGTTATAACCTTATATGGCATAATGACCTTTGCACTTACCACGTGCTACTATTCTCTTAATTGCACGCGTATAATACCAAAACTTAACTTCACAACACACACAGATGCAACCGACCACCCTGTCCCATTTCGTAAAAATTTTCTTCTTTCCTTGTTTTTTTCTACTTTGTTTTTCTTTTAGGTCGTGTATTTAACAACTAAGTGTTGATTTTAATATTTGTGTCCAAATGGTCCCGGGGTAGTCAGTCATGGCCTTCTGCTCCCCCGGGTATCGTCAAAGTAGTATTGCATAGTTGTATAGTAATTTTGCAAAGTAGCGTAGCTTGTAAATCTTTTAGTAATCTAATTTAGTAATTTAGTAATGTAAATGTTATGTAATCGTTTAGTGGATATATAAAAAAAGGTTTACACCGTAATTTATAGATATTTGGGAGGCCTAGTCCCAATATCTGCTTAACCCTGTTTGGTACCGAAATTGTTTTTGTTCGTAATCCTTTTTTGACCGTATAGCCTAGTTTGCGTTGCCTAAAATCTTCATGGCTTCAACCGTTAAGAAGATTGCTTTTTTCTCGTAGGCAATGGCATCTAGTGGAGCTGTCTTACTGGCATTAGCCTTAGTGACATGGATCGGCATTATCCTTCTATTTGTGAATTATAGGTTTTTATGAATTGTTTTATTTTGCGGGCTTATTTCTCATTGATCATAATCACTATTTAGCTTTAAAGACCAAAATGATTGAATACTTCTAGTTTTTCTTCATGAAATACCGGTTTTTATATGCTCTTCCGTTTTGCCATTGCCTTTTACTCCTTTTATATTTTAAACAACTCACTTCACATTTACTTCCTACTTCTTTTTATGTTTGTGTATCTCGTCTTTTATCAACAACCAACGATCTTGTCTTCCTCCTTGCAGTAAACCCAACCCCACACCTTATTTCTGGATTTACGTTGGATGTTGTGGATTATTGCATTTGGCTGCACTTTGGCTTACGATACTTATTATTGTAAAGTCGCTAGCCGAAGGGCCTAGCATCTTTACCAAGGCAGGTGTCAGTATTTTCTCTATACTCTATTTATCCTATTTTTTGCTAATTTTAGACCTTATCGCTTATTGTTTGTCATATTTTTTTCGTCCACAAAAGATCTTTTTCCTGCTGTCATGAATTTTTTTTTATTATATAAAATTTTTTTACAAAGCATGCTTACGTCTACATCCTACTATACTTCCTAATTACTTTACAAAGTGTACAGCACTACAGGGACGGGACCACAGGGAACAAAAGACAATGACTACCCTGTAGCCATTATCATAAAAACATATAACAAGTAACAGCTAAATGAAACAATTACAGACACCTACAAATACTATTAATTACTGATAACTATTAGAACCCGTTTCACATTGGATGTTCGGTCAGCATATGGGAAAGATGTTTGAGAACAGGAACCAAAGGCGACAGACATCAGTTACTGCAGTCGCTGATTCCCCTCCAGAGTCAGAACCAGTAAACATGTGGCCATATCTCTGCCATTTCGTAATACATTTGCCTGATTTTGCACATTTAGAGGTATTTCATGATGATCTTTCAGGTTATGGAGTCAGGTTATAAAAATTCTAAAAATAGATTTTTGTGACGTCATCACTTTAGAACACTATTACCCAGCAAACTGTACATACGCTGACTGTACATTATTAAATGTCCACCTTTAATAGAACGGCAACAAGAACTTCCTTGCATTGAGACTTTAGATTCAAGACGATCTTTCTCGAATGCTAGAGAATAGAAGTTTCTGTATTTTCATACATTATTAAACCCTTATTTTCTGTCTATTTTGCCTTTTAGTGGCTTCTCCGCCATTTGCGGCCATTTAAACATCAACAGTTTATCATTCGCTTTTTTGAGTTTTTTTCTTGTCACTAAACTAAAAGTTTGTTTATTCATTTTGATAGTCTATAGTCTAATGTACAGTCTAAGCAGTCCGATAGTCTAAGCATATCGTGGAAATTTAGCTTTTCAGATACATATGTTCCTGTCTGTACTCGAAACTTCCACCGTCAATCTGTTTAGTTTTTACATTTAACCATATGCATCAATACCTCGAAACTAATGTACAGTTGATCGCCAACAGATACTGCTTCTCCTGGCTGTGCTTTTAGCCATGCCTATCGATATACCTGGATTCATATGGCAAAATGTTTTCACGAGTAGCAAATGTAAGTATTCAGTAAGAATTACAAATCAGTATGGCCATTTTTTGAATAATCGGCCGTGCTTTTGGTCAGTAATTGCATTTTGGAAATGAGTCTAACCAAGGTGAAGCAAAGTTCTGTTCTTTCTTAACTTACATTCATTTAAAGGCATTGAGTCATGGTAAATAGGCCTTCTCATAGGGGGTCATTTGGTTTCGGCGTGATCGTTGCTGTTTCACGTGATATTGGCATCCGTTGTTGACAACTTGCTATTTATGTGAACTGTTTTGTTAATCAGTACGAGGTGAGTTCATGTGACCAGTTTAAGGTCAACCAATAGCATCGCAGTTATGAAAATCGTGACTCAGCGGATTTTGGCACTTTAGGTATACCCATTCCATTGTATCATGACTCTATGCCTTTAAGTTAAAGCACATTATTATTTTAATCTTTGCAATTTTCGTGACAATCAGGCTGACATTTCGAGGGTATTTACACGTGATATCTAAAGGCAGCTGATCTTGTGATTTTTCGTCGCCATTTTGATACCAAAAATTTCCTTCGTGATTTTCAGGTGATCTTGTCACGTGTTTCTAGCCTTGGATTGTTATTTAATTGTGTTTAATCTTTGTGTTTCATTGTGTTTAACAAACCTCTGGAATGAGCAGTTTGGAATCTATCTACATAAGCACGAAAAAACCGCTATGGATTGTACACAAAAGGATTTCGTTTTCACCTTAGGACTCCATTTGTAACATTCTCAATAGGCAAGCAGCACTGATTGGTCAACATCTACAGTCATGTGCTCGCGTTTTTGATTGAGCTATTTCTGTCTTAAATGATTACGACATAATGACGTCTTCATATTAACAAATCAAATTCTAACTGCAACATTGTTGATTAAATTTGTCGTGCATCAAGCTTTGTGTATATGCAACTTCTCGTATGCTCATTTGTGTCACCGTGCATCCTCCGTTGATCACCAGCAATCATTACTAATGTGATCCAGATGTTCTCTATTAGCCAGAAGAAGACACTGTCGAGCCTCCATTTGATATTACCTCGTTTCAGGCTACATACATTACTTCTCCATCCTTGACATATTCGGTGTGCTCAAGTGCGTCTCGTATTTCTTCTTCGTTTTGGCGGTGAGAGCGGAGTATTTGAGATTAAAGCAGGTGGGTTTATTTGCTTTCCGTTTTGCATGATTTCACTGTCTGTCATGTCAGTGCAAAATGATTGCCGCGTAGATAGAGTGCTTTCACACATAAGTCAAGTGTCCATTCTACACTACACTAGCATAGTTAATAGTCACGTGGCTAGCTTCTCCATAGCCACTCATCTAAAGCCATGAAAAGCCATGTCATATTTCTTCTCCCGCTACTTTTTTACATGACGTCATACATGACATAACACAACAGGTCTTTGCCGTTTTATCTGTTATATCTGTCAAGGGGCAATTTAGAAGTCGACAATTTATTTAGATTTGAAGAGCATGTCACATGGCAAAATGTAGGTAAAATGTTTGTATTGTCGAATGTAAACGGCCCCTGAAAGTGTCGAAAAAGTACATACATTAGTCATTGTATAACGTCTTTGAACTCAATGTTTTAAAACGGTCTTAATAAATTTACAGGAATGTCAGTGGGCAATGCTGAGTGAGGTGCAGAGATTCAGCTTCTGAACAAAGATTTATCAACAATAATGCTTTTAATCGATCAAAGATTTTAATCAGTGTTAGTGATCAATCATATCTGATATGATTTGTTGTATGTAAGTGTATTTAGCTTGTAAACTAATGCGTTGTTAAAGGAAATCTGTCACGACGTTGATTGGTTACAAGAACAAAGGGATTTTTATTGTTTCCAGTCCCCCTTTGATTTATCGCATTGTAAAAAATATGGCGGAGCGCTGAAATCGTGTTTAGGCTATTGTTCCAGCTATTGTTCTTGTTAACCAATCCACAACAAGTCAGATTGCCTTTAAATGGTTGTTGAATATGCTTTGTCATTGATTTTACGTAGTAGATTTAGTGCACGTAGAAACTTGCTCTGTAAGTTTTATGTTTTATATTTTGATTCTTAATATTTATGAAGTGACCATTATGAAATCGTAAGTAGCTGCCTGGTGTCTTGTGGAACTGTTAATTACCAGCAAGAGAAAATTTCATGGAGGTTACTGTCCTTCATTTGTTGGGTTGGGTAGTTTCTTGGTAAGAGGGAAATGTTTTGCAATTTGTCAAACTTTAATATCTTGACAGAGCTGAGCTGCGGTAACGCAACAGCTAAAATGAGCGACCACCAAATTGGCAATGCGGAAACCAAGGACAACTTTTGTTCCAGCAGTGGCCCAAAGTAGAAAGAGCGAAAACGTTCTATTTTGTAATTGTTTCAACAGAAAAGGTAACCCAGGCAAGACCTTACAAAGAAGACAGCTTTTTGGCAAAGGCAATGCAAACTATTGTATTGATTTATGAAATGATCTCGGTTTCCCTTGCTATTTTTTCGATCACATCAGGTACCAATAAATATTACCTTATACTGGGGGGACGGGCACTTACAAAGGGTCTTGAATGTGACTTTAATCTACTTTTTGGTCTCAGTATTTTCTGCGACCTTGCTTATATTGAATAGTAAAACATTGAACAACGTTTTCTTTTATGTAAGAATTTAACACGGAAAGTTTTACCAATATTGTAATTTTACTTTTGTGAATTTTGAAATTTGTATCTCTAACCCTTACACGATTTAAATTTAAGTTAGATAATAATGTAAATTATATTTTATTAAAATGCCGCAAAATTCGGAATACTTCGGCTTGACACCCAGGACTTTGGCGGTCTCCCTGGTTTCGAATGAAGCTTTTATTGGTGTTAATCGTCAGACGTTCGTTTTATAGTTCGCTTCGTAGTTTTAGGTTGAGTTAATAATCGGTGAATTCTTGCTTTGTTTTGCTCCTAGGTCGTTTGTTTTTGCAATTTATTGATGAATACTTACAAGAATAGAATTTTTCTATGAAAATCTTTCTTTTAAGGATGAAACTCTGTGGTGTAAGAAGACATATAAAAATTTGATCAAGAAGATCGAGTTTTAAAAGTCAATTGTTGCACTGAAGTTTATCGATCGATAGTTACCAAATGTTAACCGAAAACAAAAATCACAGCTTGCTGTTACACAAACGGACTTTAGATTAAGTGATAAGGTGCTGGTTACGGGTTTCCTGGCATTGCAATCCGAAATGGAACAGCGGAGGAGCAGATTACATCATCAATACATGGTGGAATTTCATTGGTTGACTTTCCTTTAAAATGAAAAAAGAATTAGGCTTTTGGAGACCAAAAAAACCGTTCTTTTTAGCAAGACTTATTCTCTAGCTCTCTTTTTATCACATTTATTTTTTCACGTTTTGCTTACAGCGTTGAAACAAAAGTGATTCATGTTTACTTCAACGCTTTAGGGAAGTAGCATATTGAAATTTGCCTTAAAAAGCATTTATAGTTTTTGCGGGAAGCTGTCCCCTGACTCCAGTTTCACAGTTAAATGACAGAATAAGGTGCTTTTGGGCCTTTCTTGTATTTCAATTCATCGAATTCTCCAAACGTCGCCAAATCTTTCGCTCAATTCATTAGCATTTGCTTGCTAACATTTGACCTTATTTCTCAAAATAATTTAGTCGAGGTTTCCAGACCCGTCATCAAAATCCTTTGTTTTCTTTTCCTGACTACAATTCGCCTTGTAAACACATTCCTGTTGCACTACTGAGTGTTGCTGTTGAATCCATAGTCTGGTTGAAGGGCAATTCACGCTTGTAAATAGCGTGAGAATATCAAAACAAAGGAATTTATCAATATGATTTCCACCAATTGTGACAAGATTTCCGTCGAGTAAATTGCCTGTCACTCAGAACAAGTTGAATTGTGACTACCCTGGGTACTGCCAGACCCCCAGTAAAAGAGTGGGTACTAAGACGAGAAGAGAGGAATGAGGCTCTGGAACCTAGGGTAAATTGTTACAAACTTTGAGGAAACCTACGCGTACAGGATTGATTTCAGCTTTCCCCTTCTATGCTACAACCCGCTTTATAATGGTCGTCTGGGGGCAGTTATGTCTTTCTTAATTTGTTTAGCAGCGGAACTTGTAGTTTTTTGATTGCAACTTTAGATAACCTTGAGGGACAGAAGGTGTCAAATTTTTCTTCGTTATCTACATCACGAAACCAGGCTAGACCCATTCATTCGTTTTTTTGAGTTTTCTAACACCGAAACGAGTCATGATTCATAAAGAATGATTGGTTTCAACATACTATGCCAGAAGTCTGTTCTACTGAGAATGTAAGTAGCGGAGAAGCAAGTAACTCACATATATTTATAAGTTTGTTCTTAGTTAATATGGTTTGCTGACGCAAAAATACGAGGTAATATCTTTTTGTGCGTGATTGTGAAGGAGGAAATGGGTGGTTTTATACAGCCTCGTTGAAATGCAACCTCGTGTGCAAGTTTCGATATTAGTGAGGAAGGAGGTGCAAATCAGAGCTAAGAGATCCTCACAAACAACTGCACGGAAACGTAGATCAGTTGGCCTCACGCTTGTTTAATTGACATTTGTAGTGCTGAAATTAATAGCCAAATATCAAGGAAGACCTTAAGGTTGTTTTCAATTGTTCTTCAGTAACCGATGGTAGGAAGCTGCAATTATGCCGAAACCGAGCTCTTCATCTGGAGCTATGTCCCCAAGTACAAAACAGCCAAATCAAGAGATTGGAGTTAGTGTGCCGGACTCAGAGACTGTCACTGAGGACAAAAAGAAACAATTTACAGTAAGAATACTATTTATACATATTATTAATAAGTTATGACCATTTTGTTCGTCAAATAGTGATTATACTGAATGTTCACCTGGATAACGACCGACCTCGTGTTATTACTACTTTGAATCTAAAAACGCTTATTTAATTCCCCGTTTACCCCATCCTTGTTGTCGCAGGATAAGTCAAGAGAAGCATAGCACAAGTGCCCATTAATATCTTTGAAAGAGTCGTGACGCGGCCAGAGTTTTCAAAGTACGCCTAGTTGTGTGTATCAACAGAGCTGTAATTTTCTTTGTTGTTTTTCCCGTTCAGTTCGGGAATTCGTTCAGTTCCAAGGCGTATCTTGTCATGACGGCCAACCTTCCGTTGATCTTGCAATGACAATAAACAGATCATAGATAATGAATAAGTTTAGTGTCTCTGTTTTCCTGATACGCCTGTTTCTGGGTGTATCCCGCACAAATAAGAAACTGGTCGCGTATCATAATTCTGTAAACAATATTTAATCCTATAGTCACGTCGAAGCACAAAATAACTTAAGTCTAAGCTTCAGAAATAACACGATTTTATCTTTATATTTTTACATTAATGAGATGTATGCTAGTGATTGAATTTTGATGCAAGCACTTTTCTTGTTTTGATGTCTACGGTTGTTTGAAGTTTACATGCACCTGTCACCTACAACGCATGTTGCTCATCTTTTTCTTACAAGGAAAAACAAACTTCAAAACGAAGCAGTTGCTAGTAGGGACAACAAATGACAAAGTTATATTTGCTCTGAGACTTCTCATCTTATGAATATCAACATTTAGTTAAATTATTAACATTCAGTTTCCTTAATTTTTGTTTCAAAAGCAAATTCCAATAGCATATACCAAAGATAAGTATGTTGCATGTCATTTTAGCATAAAAGGAGGCATCAACTTTTAAGGCAATTTCTGTAATTAGCCAGAAAAATGCATTTTTTTCATGTAGGTATAGCCAATTTAATCCTATATAAATTCGAATTTTATATATGTTTTCTTTTGACATCACAAAACAGTAATTTTAGTCAAAATCCTACTAACATTGCAAATAATAATTGTTTAGTCCTTATTGACATTAATAGGTTTGAAAAATCTATGGTGAATATGAAGTCTATGTTTTGGATTAGTTGTAGTTTGGATTAGTTAGAGTCCCTGGCATGACCAAACTTTCACCCAGATTGGGGAGAGTTGCCAGCTCTCTGTAATTCCAGGCGTAGGAATCACAAGGTGTGGTCACATCGAGAGGAAGGACCAGGACACTGCTCGATAAGTATAGCTTCTCAGTGTCCTTATTGACATTAATAGGTTTGAAAAATCTATGGTGAATATGAAGTCTATGTTTTGGATTAGTTGTAGTTTTCAGGTAAAGTTAACTGTTACAGCAATATTATATAGAACTTATACAAATCACAATAGCTTGTAACGTTTCACTAATTCTGTTGATAAACTTGCCCCACCCGTTGTTTTTTAATTGAAAAGCAACAGCCATTTTTTCAATTTTTTCAATTAAAAGCAAACAGCAGCCTTTAGTCTGTTTTTCTTCCACAAACATGTTCCTATCAATTTTTAATCAGCCATATGACTTAGAGATCTGAGTATGGGGCAGATGCTCACTCAGCCAGCCATCGTTGGCTGATATTATGTAATGACTTATCCATTACAATATGAAATCTCTGGCTTTTATTTCCTCTGTTACACACCACAAATCCATCATATTATTCTAACATTCTTCCCTACTAAAACCGTTTTTTAAGCTTAAAACCCATTCCTTTTCCTATGTTCATTCATTACCCATATTGGTTAAAGTCAATGATTTTCAAACTTGACTTAGACCTGGTTTCTTTTCTTTGAGTATGTTGACAGAAAGTGCAATGCAACTTGAAACCTGAGTTGATAAAAAAGTAAACAACATTGAAGGTTTAATCTAGCATTTAGCGGTCTAAGTGGGTCCAGTTACGCATCAAAAAAATTTTGTAAGGATAAACTTAACTGAAGACATCCTAGTCGAAATCACATATTGAAGCTGACCAGGTAGCCAACCGTCAGGGCAAATCTTAATGTCTTTCTTTACATTTATTTAGTTTTGTTGTTTTTGTGAATAGGAATGAAAATATTTTTCAATTAGCATTAACACATCTGTTTAATAAGCTTTCAGTTTATGTTTTATTTAAATTGGAATACTTAAGCAAATATTAGTCATTAGATTGAGACTCCATTTTGATAACTTCTCCACAAATAATGAGATAATTTGACTTATTAGACAATTACATGGTAACACACTTAAGTTGCAACCCAGAACCAACAACTTGTCTTGTGCACCAAACTTGCACAATGTTGTTTTTTAAAATAAAACACTAAACAAGAATATAGCAAAGTATGATCCCATTTATGAATTTATGACATTGTTCATCCTTCTGTTTAGGTTTACAAAGTATTGGTGCAAGTTCCTGGTAAATCCTGGTTCATTTTCAGACGCTATAATGAATTCAACACTCTTCAAGACAAAGTAAGTGATAATAGTCAGGTCCTTTAACACTATGAAGCTTTTATTCATTTTATGCAAAGTTAATGAATTAATAAAGCTCAAATCAGTTATTTTGGTGATACATTGTCATCTCTATCCTTTCAGTTGAAGAAAATTTATCCTGATCTTAACATCAAGCTTCCTGGCAAAAATATATTTGAAACAAGGTTTTTGAAGAAAAACCTCAACCCAGGTTGGTTTTGATTACATTTATACAGAGTTTTGTGTCATTATGGAATTGATTTGCTTTGTTTGGTGAAACAATTTTTGCTTCTCTTTGGCAAATTTTCAGTGACTTTGTTGACTTATCTTTCCAATTTTGATATTACAGAGCTCCACTTTCCGATATATTCTAACAAATCAAATCCTCTGTTTTTTTGTAACAATAAATGTTTTTTTATTGAGAGTGTCCATGTATGCCCATCGAAAAGTTATAATTCTCTACTTGTTTTCTTCAAAATAAGAATTATTCAAAATAATATTCTATTATGCTAATTTCAGTCAATTTACTCAATTCAGCTTCTTTCAATTTTAATGCTATTCACATCAGAATATCAGAATTAAAGAAATTTTCTTAAAGTTTGAATTGATTGCCTCAAGCTTTCACCAATGTCAAACCAGATATATTTTTTCCATGTTGTTTTGATTGAAATTGAGTCTACCTAATTGTTTGCACTGCAACAAAAACATCTCTGATCAAACATTTGTCATATTCATATTTCCTAACAAGCTATTCCAAGTGATACAAAGGTTCATGAAAAAATTAAATACAATTATACACCTTTACAGAAGTTTAAAGTCACTTGTCCCACAACAGAAACCTTTCTGATCAAACATTTTTGATACACATCTTCCCATATTGAATATTTCTTTTGACTTTATAACCTTAAAATTTGAAGAATAAAGCTCAAACTTTTAGGTTTAGAACCTGTTGTTTTCAATAAAGGATTTCTCATTGACGCCCAAAATACAACATAAGAAACAAAACTGTATGGGTTTATTTTCATGGTCAAGGCATGGGATAAGGTCTTGGCAAAAACATCATACTTTCATTTTATTCTTGTCTCTTTATTATATGTAACAATACAAACTAGACAACATAACCCCATGGAAAAGGTGCCATAAATTTATCAACCTAATATTCTCAGTATTGACAAATCTTTTTTATTTTTAAAAATAGCTGTTTTCATAATTAATTAACTTTATTATAAAAAGTTGTTGTTTAAAAATTTAATATCACAACCAGATCCAGGAGAGCTGCTAAAAAGAGTTATTTTATATCATGCCTGTGCTAATTTTTGTTAACTTTCAGATTTTATTAAAGCACGAAGAGAAGGACTACACGAGTTTATAACGCAACTGTTATCAGTTCCAGATATCACCAGGAAGTATGCTGCACGTTTCATGACTTAGTTTTGCCTAATTGTTGTGAAAATGAATAGTTGTTAGAATGGGCATTAAATAGTAAGGAGCTGGTGAAGGCTATTAATCATAGAAGATAAATTGTGAGACAGCTTGTGATTTAAGGTTGATTTGCCTATTTTTCTTTTAGAAGTTTGTGGTTGTATAGTTTTTAGATATGGTAGTTTTCTGACCTTGGAAAAGAAGGTTGAAGTATCACTTTGATAAAACAAGAAGCAGATTGATCTAAATACCTTGAAAATATCATCATTAGAAGTATTGGTCTCCAAAAATCTGTTTAACTTTCTTATTTTCTATTTCTCTGCACACAAAATACCATTGATAGGTATACTAAAAATTAAGTAGACTACCAAAACAGTAAGAATTATTACAGAAAATTGATACATCTGTGAATAAATTAATACAGTATATAATTGAATAACAAAACAGCAAACAAGTACAAAGAAAATTATATCTACTTTATCAGCAGTTCTATCAGTAGTTAACTTGGTCAAGAAGAGTGTACCCAATATTCAAAGTTAGATAAATTTGATTTCTTTGAGAAATGCCTAAGGGAGTAAGACTTATTATGGATGTGATAGTTATATATATGCAAACTTCTGTATGATGAATAACGGTAATTACCCTCACAAAGGATGTTTGAGTTGATGTCAATGGATGTCAACAAAAATCATAACAGTGGGTTATCTTTTAATATTCACAGGAGTGCTATTACAGCAAATATCTTCATTATTTTACTCCGACCTAAGACCATACTGCAGTGTTAAATATTTTTACACAGCCACTCAATTTTTTAATCCAACTTCAATGACAAACAACTTCAGATGTTTATTTATCATTCCTACAAGTTTTTTGAGTGATGCAAAAGTGCAAAGCAAAGTCAATATGACATTTTGACTGATTATATGATAAAACTATTAACATTTTTATTCAATTTTAACCCCATCAAACTAAGTCAAGTGCTTTTCATTTCAAGCACGTTATTTTAAGTTCATTATTTCTCAACTGTGATTTCTGCCCATTTCCTACACAAAGCTAGTTGTTTAATATGATGAATATCTAGTAGCAGTTTGGGTTGTAACTAGATTTGTATTTCTTCATCCAAATCAATTTTTGCTTATAGTCCTGATGTCAGAGAATTTCTCTCCCTTGACAATCCAAAAAATGCTCCAGTCCAAGATGACGACATGGATGACACAGACGAGAAGGTTGATGAAATGGTATGTTTTGGATAGGATTACCAAACTTGATACTTGACACAAATCTTATATCAACTGTTGTTCCTTTGTATTTTCATTGGCTACTTTGTATTTTTATAGCCATTTCATTGGCTACTGAAGTTTGGTGTGTTTGTTTCATTTCAATAGCATGACATACAATTGATTTTGGTCCATTTTTAACGAAGATTTTCTGGGATAGAATTTATAAGTGCATCAAGAATGAAAATAGCATGAGTACTTATTTGATCAAAAATGAGTTTCTTCTATGTTCAATTAGTATATTTTTCAAGTGTTTGGCTGGCTATGTTGTTATTAGGAAATCACAAAGCTATTCTTATCTCTTTGATATGGCATTCTTAAGCAGCCTCCCTGTTGTCGTACCTGAAACAAGCTTTACATAAATCTGCTTAACTAAGCTACGGAAAGCCATTTTGCTTTATTTTCTAAAGATTTACTGCTTAATTCAATTGAGCGAGGCTTTGTGTTTTCACGAATAATGCTAGCAAAACATTTCTGCTCTGTGGTTTCAAATGTTGGCCTAAGATTTCAGAACACCAACAATGAAGTGCTGCCCGCGTAGTTTTGTTCTTAGAAACTTGGTAAGCTTACTAGCTTTTATTGCAACTGTGTCTTAATGAAAAAGGAGTTTTATCTTGCCAATAAACTGGTTTTTTGCGATTTTTTTAAGGCAGTGTTTTGTGAAGCGGATTTGACTTTTTATTCGCGAGTTGATCTTGCTCTTAGGGACCTATGAGTTTTATTTAAAACTTTAATAATGAATTTGTTTTTATCTCCACTAATTCGAATTTGGGTTATTGTTCTGTACAAGTCTTTGTTTACTTTGCAGACGAAAGATATGGAGAAAGTAGACCTCGGTGAATCCCACAATCCCAAGTATGTAATTCAAAAAATATATTACAAGATCCGAGGGTTGTTATTAATAAAACTGTTTTTATTGATGTTCAATGAAATTGTTTAATACTTGCGTTCTTTTGAGAATTTTATGATATCCATTGTCCATCTAGACGTCGGGTCTCAAATTGATTTAATTACTGTTTGGAGTCCACAAATTGGTTGCGTCTGACTTGACGTAGAAATTTTCCTCTGCAATATTTTTGCCTTTCTCTCATTTCTGCCATACTGCCTTCCCGTTTTGATAAATTTTTCTCTCTTGTTTGTCAGGGCAAAACCAAGTGACTTTGAGTTCTTGAAGGTCATCGGAAAGGGCAGTTTTGGCAAGGTTTGTAGCCCCTCTCTTGACCTGTTATACTTTCATGTCCCGACCCTGTAGGTGGAGAGCCTAAACAGTAGTATGAGCTGAATCTGGTCCATGTCTTGGCCATTCAATTACAACCTGTTATCATTTGGGCTACAAGTGTTTGAAAACACGACCTGTAAATTCGACCAATGTTCTTGATTTGTGATACGTCCAAACTAGTTGATATAATGCATGCATTATGTCGAAAGAGTGAAGTTAAAGTATTGTTTCTCCTAGCAAATGTATCTTGCTGATATTGCACTGTCTATCGTTAAATTTGGAGTTGGAAGATTCAGTACTTATATTCAGTCAAAACAGCGTTTGTTTACGCTCTATTTGTCTTGGCAAACATAACGAAGTGGTGGATTCAGCGCCGTTATGGCCCCTGTAAAGTTGCCTCATTTTGTAGCCATTCTCTTCTCTAGGTTTTACTAGCGAAGCACAAGCAAGATGGCCGACACTACGCCATCAAAGTGCTCAGGAAGGCCGCAATTCGAAAGCGCAATGAGGTATGCTGCTTCTCACATTAGTGTTACTTTTGAAATACTTTGTAGCTTGCTCATGCATAACTGCCGAGGTTAGTATGATCTCGTAGCTCCTATTTTGGTACAGCTACTCAATTCTATGAAAAACGGTGCATAGACAACTAGTTAGGAAACCGACTAAATCGCTCTTATGTCATGAAACTTCGTGAAATTCGATCTATCAACTTGTAGTTGCTCTCTGTGTGTAGTAGTCTGCGTTTTTAGCATCCATGTTCTGTGTGTCCGTTTGTATTGTGCAAATAGTTACAATCAATCTTTGCTTCTTTGGACTGACCAGTGACCGTGACATGACATTAGTCAGATACGACTTAGTCTTTGACTGGCAGCAGTGAATAATGCCAATTCGGTGTTGCTGCTGACATGAAATAGTCCGATACAACACGCAGATGCTGTCCATGATCGTAACGATAAAGTTGTTTCATATTTTTTAGGCTCGGCATATAATGGCAGAGAGGAACGTTCTTCTTAAGAATGTGAAACATCCTTTCCTAGTGGTAAGCGTGTTGCATAGTCGCTTTTCAACATTCTGTTTATAAAGAGACTCCTTTCATAATTGCTTAGTTCCCTGTAAATATATCTGCTTTGATGACGTGAACTTAGACTCGGGTTGCCTGCTAATCGTACTTTACTTAGTATCCATCAAGAATAAAACTGCACATTTACTGATTTATTTTGTCATTTTTTTTAGATTTAAAAATTTGACTTGAATTTTTCAGGGTCTGCATTATTCATTCCAAACAAGCGACAAGCTTTACTTTGTTTTGGACTACGTCAATGGTGGAGAGGTATTCTTGCTTTTATTTACATCTCAAAATAGCCTGTTTCTCTGGCCTAGGCAATGATTCGAGCGTCCTTTTGAAGTCTTTTGCTTCCCTCAAAGACTTGATTACATCATAGAATCTCCATGACCTGATCCAGCTAGTTGGTGTTATAAACATGCATATGTCTTGTAACGTCGCACAGCTTTTGCGATTAGATGTAGCAGTGAATCGTAGAAAACCAGCAGTCTCTTCATAAGATTTCTTGAACGAATCGACTGTCTCAATCTAATAAGACATTAATTCCCGAGGAACGAGACCCTGATCAACTGAATCTTTATTTGCACCGTCTCAATGCTCCTCGTTCCCCTGTGCTGTATGCAGCCATGCTGTCCATTTTCTCTATTCTGACTCTGCTAAATCTTTCTTTCAGAACGGTATTTTCACTTGCTTATCTTTTTTCTACAGGTAACGAAGCAAGCATAGATTAAAGGCAATCTGTCACGACGTTGATTGGTTATAAGAAAAAAGGGATTTTTATTGTTTCCAGTCCCCCTTTAATTTATCGCATTGTAAAAAATTTGGCGGAGCGCTGGAATCGTGTTTAGGCCATTGTTCCAGCTATTGTTCTCGTTAACCAATCCACAACGAGACAGATTGCCTTTAAATAAGTATTTGGTAGTATTACTGCTAGATTCAAATCTAGACAATGAATTATAATAGTCTGTTTATCTGTCAGCCTTCTGCTAATTGGCTAAGTGTGCAATATCCACGGGATCTGTTTAATCCTGGCTCTACTTTTGCTTTTAATGCTGTTGTTTTCTTTCAGCTTTTCTTCCATTTACAAAGAGAAAGGTACTTTCCGGAGCACCGGTATGTATAATAATAATAATCTACCATATTTATACAGGATAGTCTTTTCAGTAAAGATAATACTGCTATCACTAAGGGTCCTGTTAAAATAAAAGTTTGTAAAGTAAAAGGTTCAAAATTATAAGAGATTGAAGTAAAAGCTTAAAAAAATTTAAAAGGTTAAAAAAGTTACACTACAGAAGTTAAAAAAGTTACACTAAAAATATAGGTTTCTATCTAGATAGTATCTCATAACTAAAGCTGAAATGAATTGTAAGAAGCAGGTAGCCGCAAGAATGCAATGGGGGGGGGGGGAGGTTGCATTGGGGAGGGGGGCTGAGGAGTAGGCAACAGGCATATCATATCAAATAGGTCTTATACCGCAAAGCCTAAGGTAGTACGAGAAAGGGGAGACTCGGAAGAAAAGGAGTGTCGGAAGAAAATTAATTCCGTAACCTATGTTTCCACATTTTCACGCTAATGTATTTTATTATGCTATGTTTCCACATTTTCTGTTATCTTAAGTCATACCAATACCCTTAAGTAATTAGACTTTGACTACATTCCTGCGAACACATGTTAGGAAGCGAGAGTATCTGTAACATATATAAATAGATGGGTTTTTTCATATTTGCCGCGTTCGCACGTGCCATTACCAGCAGGAATGCTCGCTTTCATTAATATCCAGTTCTAGCCAATTATTTCATGAAGGCAAATGGCCTGAAGTGCAATTTTCAGCTGGTGTTCATGAGAATGTGTAGCTTAGAAGCCCAACATAATTATCATTGCATAACTTGGCAAAAACATAGAGGGCGCCGACATTTTAGTTTAGCTTTCGGCATTTCATGTGCGCTGTCACCCACTTTATCAATTTCATTAGTATCATTTCATTTGTATCTAAAAGTTTCATTGAATGATCGTGTTTATCTTTGAAGAAAACAAATGATTGGCACCTGGCCCACATTTTTGTGTAGCTCAAGCTAATATCGCCTCCGCGTTTATTTTCTAGAGCACGATTTTACGCAGCCGAAATTGCATCAGCAATAGGATATTTGCACAGCCTCGGTATCATTTACAGGTACGGCTAGTTGCCACGTTACGATTCAGCCACCTGAAGCCCCTCTATTTAGCTATATGAAGTCCCCATGCCTTGCTATTTTGCTATGCAATAGTTAATGATGATATCAATTGAGTTGCCAGTATCAAATCAAAACACACTTTGAAGAAATGGACAAAGAACTAGAACGAACTTGGACAGAACAAATTAATTGTCTCACCATAAGTGCTCAATGAGTGCAAAATGAGTGAGAACATTGAGAAACTAAACAAGCCTCATTTCCTTTTTGCTAATATCACCTTTCAATTTTCGACACCATCAAAGCTTTTAATTAATCGTTTTCAATATTTACACATTGTTTTCCTGCTTTTGTTAGCTTTATCGTGAAATTATCACGAAGTTATTGATTGTGATCACAATATACATTATGTTGTTGACAAGACGCAAGGAACACGGAAGGAAATTGTAATGGCTTTGGTTCCTCCTTTGGGTTTTTCGGCTTGCGTCAGTGGGGTTTGATGGCTTGCTCACGTCCTGTTTCATATTCTTAGAAATTAATTTTATGCACTTAATGTTAAAAAAACTTTTAGACATCTGTTGAAGTTAATTGTGACCATCAGCAATCAAGGGATCACACACACAATGGCGAACAAGAAGCATATTGAAGAATGCGTTTTGCATTTCTGGGTGTCGTTGCTATGTTGCTCTCATTATACCAGCAGTCCATTCTGCCAATCCAACTTGTTAGACAACTTTGTGCGTACTAGACTGGTTACTTCATAATGAATGGACATGAATTGAATTGAATCACCGTTTAGATATTTGTGCCTAGTAATCTCATTGTTTTTAGGGAATTTCATTTGTTCATTAAAGCATCAGAAAAGAATTCCATAACAAGCTGAGTTATTGCTTTTTATCATAGGGACTTGAAACCGGAAAACATTTTGCTGAGTTCTGAGGTACCTTTTCAATCTTTTATCTTAACGAAACTTAACGAATTGAGATGTTATGTTTTCGTAGAATTATGTTGTTGTTCAGTCTGCTAGACCTTAACTGAATACACCGCTGTTGGAAACCGCAATCGCCGCTCACCTTTTTTTTTAACAGGAGATCAAAACAGTTATGTTTCCAGATTCTTTATATTTGATCAACAACATTCACGCAAACTTATTTTTACGCACGTTCTCTTCCTGTTTTGTGTGTAGTGTTTTTTCTTCATGGTCATACACAAACCATCCTTTCAGTATTCGTATCCACAATGTACCTAAATATGCAACAAAGTGGTGTCTTTTACGCAATGAAGTGGTGTCTTTTTATTGTGCCCTGGTTTTATTTTTGCAGTCAAAGCAAAAGTAAACATTTGTAGAACTGACCTATGAACTTAAATTGCCAGGAGAAAAAAGCAACTTAAGCTCCCATTGATTATACCTCACATTTTCACAATCACATTGTCATTTTTCTCATCAATAGTTTTTTAATCAAGATACTGTAAAAGTTTGACTTAAGTTGCATGCTACGTGGGTCACTTAAAATCCAAATAATCCGACCATAAGTTGAATAATGTTGTGATAAATTGTTAACACCCTTTGACCTGTACAAATCCTTTCTATAATTACAATCGAAGCTTAAAGCGTCGTTATTATGAAGCAGATTAGGGTCTCCTTCACCGGGCATTGTCTTTAGCTGCTACGAATGTTATCAAGATAAAATAATGTTGATGTTACGAAAGGTTTGGTGATGATGCAACAGCATATGAATGCAGAAAACTGTTTTGTAATTACGAAAAGCAGTGCACGACGGGATTCCACAACAGCTGGCTTTCGGGTTAACTTGCCCTAGTTGCTTAAGTTTTTATGGATTCTTATCTCGAACTCGATCTTGAGCTATATGTTTTTCGGCATAGTCTAGAAACCCTATCACAGACCATTGACTTTATAACATGATTCGGAATGCCAATGAGAAGATTCGTTATAATAAAGCGGTTTTGAGTATCCATAGGAGGTGGAGCCGAGGGGAAATTGAGAAAACTCTAGTAAATGTTCGTACCCCTTATAGAGTAGATGGTTTATTTTCGCACCCGAAATAAAAGTTTTCACAATTTCAATAATATGAATTCACAATAATTTCACATCCCTAAAATCATATTTGATGTTTACCGTGCTCAGGTTATGAATATTCCTTTGCGTACATAATTAATTTGTATTCAGATATTTTCAAGTTGGTAACCAATCTGTTAGATTGTATATAAAGTGTTAGTTATGAAACTTTATATTCCTCATACTGTGAAATGTCATATCCTTTTACCCTACGCCCCCATTTTCCCATAGCCTCTTCTCTAATATTCCCTTCGCCCCCATAATTAGATACACTATTTTTATTGTTCGATTTTGCTTAACTGTTGCTTATAGATGCAATTTCTTGATACATAGGGTCATATTATCCTCACTGATTTTGGTCTTTGTAAAGAAGGAATTGAAGCTCTTGGAACGACTTCAACATTTTGTGGAACTCCAGAGGTACGAGATTATTGATTTGGAAAATCTACACATTGTCTACTTCCAGCTTACTGTTTTTGCCATGAAAACAATAATGCCTAAAACTAATCCCTTTTTCTTACTCCAAATTAAATGGAAATCATTTATTGAACATTAATGCAATTTTTTTAGCTATCAATGTAGAGAAATTTAGTATGAATGTATTGAATTTTACCCTTTTTCTTTCTCTATACCCTGATCACGCCATTAATGGTGTTCTGACTCTATTGATCCATGCCATTCTGTTTCTTCTATGTTCCGCCCTTCATTCTATGTTCCGCCCTTTTCTTCTATGTTCCACCTTTTTTCTTCTATGTTCCGCCTTTTTTCTTCTATGTTCCGCCTTTTTTCTTCTATGTTCCGCCCTTTCCTTATATGTTCCGCCCGCTCTTTTCTTCTATGTTCCGCCCGCTCTTTTCTTCTATGTTCCGCCCTTTTCTTCTTTGTTCCGCCCTTTTCTTCTATGTTCCGCCTTTTTTCTTCTATGTTCCGCCCTTTCCTTCTATGTTCCGCCCGCTCTTTTCTTCTATGTTCCGCCCGCTCTTTTCTTCTATGTTCCGCCCTTTTTTTCTATATTCCGTCCGCTCTTTTCTTCTATGTTCCCCCCTTTTTTCTATGTTCCGCCCTTTTCTTCTATGTTCCGTCCGCTCTTTTCTTCTATGTTCCGCCTTTTCTTCTATGTTCCGCCTCTTTTCTTCTATGTTCCGCCTTTTTTCTTCTATGTTCCGATCTATTCTGTTTTGTCCCATTTCTAGGTCGTTCTGTTTTTTCTGCTCTGTTCCATTCCATTGTACCTGCTCCCTTCTGCCTCTTCTTCTACTATTCTTTTCTGTTCTATTTTTTCTGCTCTATTCTGTTCAGCTCAGCTCCACCTATGGATTGTTCTGTTTTATCCTGTTCTGTTCTCTTTTTCCGGATCTGAGCTGTACTTTAGAGTTCTGTTTTCTGTTATTTTTGTGTTCTTTTTTCCCCATTTTTCACTTTCTTTATTTTCTCTCCTGATTTTTTCTTCTCTTTTTCTTTCTGCTTTTTGCTGTTTCCTCTTGACTTTGGTGTTCATCCTTTCTCGTTCAATATTTCTTTCAATAAACATTTCGTTAATCTCTTTCTGTTTTGTACATCGGCCTGACACGCTAGAAGGCACACATTTAGTATTTGCGTTTAATGTTTCCGGGTTCTTTTTACGATGTTGATTATACGACCAATAAGCGTTCCGGTAGTGCAGGCCAATAGGCCTAGGCAGCGAGCATCTGAAACTAAGAAAATGGCGGCTGTGTGAAGTTACACATATTGTTCTAACATACGGAATGAACGACGACTTGATCAAAATATCTAACGATCGAAACAGTAGCTAACAAACAATATGATACCCCACACTTTTTTTTGATTCTCATGAAATTTTGTTCAGCCAGGACATAGCACGACATGTATTTTTAAACCCGCTACGAAACATCACTAAGCTGTAAAATACACAAGCCAACTCATTTCTAGCAGCAATTATTTACATTTTCGAATCCTTCTATTTCTATCGAGGTGATTTGTTTTGATTTTAGTACCTGGCTCCGGAGGTGCTGCGAAAGCAGGAGTACGACAAATCTGTGGACTGGTGGTGCCTGGGTGCTGTGACGTATGAAATGATGTATGGCTTGCCTCCATTTTACAGTCGAGACACAGCTGAGATGTATGACCAGATTTTGCATAAACCATTGAGATTAAGGACAAATATTTCTCATAGTGGCAGAGATCTACTTCAAGGGGTATGCTCTCAACTTGTCTATTCTAATTGTTTCTAGTTTTCTCTTTATAAAAGAACTTAATTGAAGCTATAGAAAACGATTTTTTGTGTTGCTTTATAAACTGTTGCTTTCGCAGTGGTCGCAGTTTAGTTGATTTTGAACTTTCCTTTTGCTTGAAAACAACTTTCATAACTGATCCTTATGTTTTTGCTAGCTACTGGCATGTGAAAAAGCTAGGAAGTAGGCGATTGGTGCTAAAGAATAGGCAATTAAACATTGCTAGACAACAGACAATTAAAGAATCCAAGAAATTGGACGAAATTGCTAGACATGCTGACTATGTAAGGCGATGTTATAAGTCGGTCTTTTGTTTTTTCTCCTCAGCTATTGCAGAAGGATCGAACAAAGCGCCTTGGCTCCTCAGAAAGAGATTTTGTAAGACGATCTTTCCTTAAACTTTTAATATTCACATAAATGTATCTCAAATTTTATCATGTTTCACGATCCAGTTACACATCTGTTTATTGTTGCTAGATGCATTATGGGTTTCATCGACTATTTGATATTCCGTTACTCAGAGTCTCATGATTGCGCACCCGCCAGACAAACTATAATCTTTATCTTTATATATTTAAATGTTCCAATACTATTTTTTTACATTTTGCGTGTCAACTTTCTTGTATCTCTAATAATTTTCTTTTTTTGGTTATCCTTTTACTGTATGTGTCAAAACTTCTTTTTCCATTTTAAATATATTACATTTTTGTTGATCTTAATATCATAGTCTAGGCAGGTTTCCGTATTTTACTAGTTCAAATTTTCTTAATTTAGCCAAAATAGCTTTCCGAAAGTTGTTGGCAACAAAAATCCTGTCTCTCTCATATGTTATGCAGTTCTCATATTTTATGGCCTAATACACCATCTCTAGTCTTTATTTCCTTCTAAAAAGCAAAATAATAAAATTATTCTTGAAAAAAACCCTTTGCGATAGGAAACTAACGTTTTAAGCCTCTCGACCTTACAACTGTTTAATGATAACTGCTGGAAAAAAAAGTTTTCTCATTTTTAACAGATTTTTTGCCACTGACATTCAGCATTTATCACCAAACTTCGTGCCAGCAGTCAGTGTTGTCCGGCTTTATCAGACTCCTATGTTTGTTTATCAGACTTTCAAGAGAACGTCATTCACGCCGTTTTTGTCTTAGCTAAGAACCTTTTTTAACATTCTTATTTTCTTATTCTTATTTAACCTCTCATATTTTATGGCCTAATACACCATCTCTAGTCTTTATTTCCTTCTAAAAAGCAAAATAATAAAATTATTCTTGAAAAAAACCCTTTGCGATAGGAAACTAACGTTTTAAGCCTCTCGACCTTACAACTGTTTAATGATAACTGCTGGAAAAAAAAGTTTTCTCATTTTTAACAGATTTTTTGCCACTGACATTCAGCATTTATCACCAAACTTCGTGCCAGCAGTCAGTGTTGTCCGGCTTTATCAGACTCCTATGTTTGTTTATCAGACTTTCAAGAGAACGTCATTCACGCCGTTTTTGTCTTAGCTAAGAACCTTTTTTAACATTCTTATTTTCTTATTCTTATTTAACCTCTCATATTTTATGGCCTAATACACCATCTCTAGTCTTTATTTCCTTCTAAAAAGCAAAATAATAAAATTATTCTTGAAAAAAACCCTTTGCGATAGGAAACTAACGTTTTAAGCCTCTCGACCTTACAACTGTTTAATGATAACTGCTGGAAAAAAAAGTTTTCTCATTTTTAACAGATTTTTTGCCACTGACATTCAGCATTTATCACCAAACTTCGTGCCAGCAGTCAGTGTTGTCCGGCTTTATCAGACTCCTATGTTTGTTTATCAGACTTTCAAGAGAACGTCATTCACGCCGTTTTTGTCTAAGCTAAGAACCTTTTTTAACATTCTTCAATGGAATTTAATTATGATGTTTTTTAAATGATATTTTGATGCAGACCTGTATGTAGTTTGGTTCTACATCCGCTGAACCCGACCGAATCGCAAACTATGTCTTTTTCTCCCTCGGTATACCTTTTGAAACTCTTGTGATGACGTCATCCTTGAAGCCGTAGTAGCTTCTGTTTATTTAATTCTGAAATTCAAAAAGCAACACCAGGTTGGAAATGACTTTTAAAGCATAGCTTGTAACGATGGCGAGTAGCGTATTTGGCACTTAAGTTCCTGTTGTGACATAGGCACATAGGGACATAGTCCCATCCAAAGAAACCTAGGCCCATGGAGTAGTGTTATAAGCATATTTAATTATAGGTTTTGTTTGTGATATTTGCTTTCTTTTTTTAGAATGATATTAAGGTGCACCCATTTTTCCGCACCATCAATTGGCAAGACCTTTACGACAAGAAGATCGAGCCACCATACAACCCCAATGTTGTGAGTCAATTGAATTCAATTCATTTATATTTCTTCACAGATGTTTGTTTATTTGTTTTTCTGCGGTAGATTTACCAATTATTGTATCTTCCTGCTAACCATGTTGCCAATGTGAAAGAGTGTTTTCTTTTGCTGTAAAGCGCCTACCAGAATGTTTCCACTCAATCTTTTGTTTTTCTTCGATTGCAGAAAGACCAGATGGACTTGAAGCACTTTGATCCTGAGTTTGTTAGAGAGTCTGTCCCAGGTAAACGACAAGTTATTTTATCTCTGTAAATGCCTTTAATTATAATGAGTTTTGTTAGGTTGGTGATGCATTGTTTATGAAATTTTTATTTTGACCAGCTATGCCTTGATTCCTTGATTGATACTCAGTTAACAGATAAATTAATGATCAAGTAATCAGGCGATTAAGTAGTCAGGTGATCAAGTAATCAGGTGATCAAGTAATCAGGCGATCAAGTAATCAGGCGATCAAGTTATCAGGCGATCAAGTAATCAGGTGATCAGGTAATCAGGCGATCAAGTTATCAGGCGATCGAGTAATCAGGTGATCAAGTAATCAGGTGATCAAGTAATCAGGTGATCAAGTAATCAGGTGATCAAGTAATCAGGTGATCAGGTAATCAGGCAATCAAGTTATCAGGCGATCAAGTAATCAGGTGATCAGGTAATCAGGCGATCAAGTTATCAGGCGATCAAGTAATCAGGTGATCAGGTAATCAGGCAATCAAGAAATCAGATGATCAAGTAATCGGTTGATCAAGCAATCAGTCGATCGAGTAATCAGGTTATCAAGTAATCAGGTTATCAAGTAATCAGGTTATCAAGTAATCAGGTGATCAAGTAATCAGGTGATCAAGTAATCGGTTGATCAGGCAATCAGTCGATCGAGTAATCAGGTGATCAAGTAATCAGGTTATCAAGTTATCAGGCGATCAAGTAATCAGGTGATCAAGTAATCGAGTGATCAAGTAATCGGTTGATCAAGTAATCGGTTGATCAAGCAATCAGGTGATCAAGTAATCAGGTGATCAAGTAATCAGGTGATCAGGTAATCAGGTGATCAAGTAATTGGTTGATCAAGTAATCAATTGATCAAGCAATCAGGTGATCAAGTAATCGAGTGATCAAATAATCAGGCGATTAAGTAGTGATATTATCAATGATTGTGTTCTTTGCTTCAGCAGCCGTTACGTATTGCTGTTTACCTTTCAGAATCATTAAAGAAATACGCTGATCATCAAATCAGTGCTAGTGTTGGTGATCCTGATGATGCATTTGTCGGTTTTACGTATGTCCCACCAACCGACGAATTGAATGAATGAAGAGTTTTGCAGAAAGTTGCACTGATTACCTCCTGGTATTGCGTTTACGCTACTAATGGTATTTAGAATTGATCTGAACAATGATTTAACGTATTGTTGATAAGAGGAATATTACTTGGAACTGTTTGGCAGGGCAACCCGCGCAATTACCGCGGCCCGCGCTTTTCCTTTGTCCTTTGTAAAGCGAACCCTTAGCTCTTTCGATTCCAGTGAACTAGGAACCTTGTTTTTTAACATGTGAATCGGCAAAAAAGGTATTTTTTGTCAATCTAAAATTAATCGACAGCTAAAACCCCTTTATGAATGCAACTGTTAGTCATTAAGTTTATAATGACAGATAGCCATTTTTACTTGCTTCCATATAAATGCACGATTTTACCTAGCTCGGATTCGTGTGATTTTGTTTTATGTTATAAATTGGAAGGCAATCGCTTATGCTAGCTGACTGATTTGAGTCGTCGGTCATTAAGTCTCTCATTTCGAAACATGCCTTTTTTTAAGTAGAATCCGTTGTCTAAAATGTTGTTATGAAAGTTTCGAGGCCATAATTCCTCATAACGAGTGGGTTGTTTAGATTAACACACAAAGTAGGACGCACAAGATGATTTTCTAAACACATACGTCATATGATCATTAGATAATGTAGTTATGAAATCTGGGGATAATCTTTTAACATCATTCTTTTCTTTTCTCATAAAAAGTCTTGCTTGATATCAAATAACTGTTTCATACTATTTCATTTTTTAAGAAATAATTATTGCTGTAAAATGAAGAAAATATTCCAGAAAGTGATTTGAAAATGGTTTACTTCTATGCTTCATTTTCTTTATAATTAAATGTTTGTGAAAGGGGAAATGTTTCTCCGTTTTCGTTTGCTAATTTTTTCATTTTATTTTTCATTTTTATTCTCACCTTTTATTCATTTTTAACAGCGTCAGTGTCGTTTTTATCATTTGCTCGTGAAAAATTATTAAACTAGTTTATTCGAAATTTGAATCTCAAAAGTACCCACAAATGTCTAGAGTACACTAAATCTGAAAAAAAGCAGAAAAGGAAACGAAAACATCGTCGTTCGAAATCCTTGTAACTTTTCAGTCTCGACTCGAAGCAATGAAACGAAGATGCAAATTTTTTCTAAATGTTGATCGTTCCAAACATTGGCACGGGGATAGGTGAAAAACTTTTTGTCCACGAAAACATTTGGGCAATTTCATATGAGTTTCAGAGTTGCAAAAAATACGAGTGTGCTAATCCGAAAACTCAGAAAAGCAATCAGTTGATTATGCCGTACCCCCGATAACTAAAATGGGGACCTACCAGTGGTATAGTGCTATCAAAATAACAAGGGGGGTTCTTGCACAATATTTTGCGAAAAAATAGCAAGTAGAAATTTTCCAATTTTCGGCATTAACAATAGGCGGGCTCAACCCCCTGAGCCCCCTAGCACTACACCCCTGGGTCCTACTATGCCCTTATACGTGCTTGTCAACCTGATCAATGGAGTTTATCCTTATGTATATTCCAACAGGTGGAGTGACTGTGAAACTTCTTCAATGAGCAGATAAAGATTTGGTTTAGAGTCAATTGTTTTAGCCTGAATTAAAACAGAAGAGGTCCGTAGAATGAACCTTGTGGGACTCTAATTTCTAAAGGCCCACTTCCCCAACCCGTTTGTTTTCAAAGTTGGGTGAATATTCGAATGCCTCCGCAGGCAAATATCTCCGTCGCAGGTCAGGGTCGCCTTCCCAAACTGAATAGTTAGTGCCGTAGGCTTGAGTTTAGGCCTTTCATAAGTATTTGGGAAAATCTCTCGCAAATAGGTTATATTTGCTAAAAGAATGGAAAATGTATCAGAATTGGTATTCTGCATGTGCAAAAAAGAATAGAATCCTGTTTCACTTTAATTGCTTTAGGCAGATAATTTGACTTTTTAAGCAAATGTTTAGGTTTCGCAGCGTTGTTGCTCCATATCAGTGGCGGAAATTGCGGAGTGTGAAGGGGGCAACCGCCCCCCCAGGTTTTGCCAAATTTTTGGTTTTGTCGGCAAAATGATGTCATTTGTCGGCAAATTTGCTTGCTTTTGTAGGCATTGCCCCCCCCCCCCCCACTTGGAAAATGAATTTCCGCCACTGCTTCATATAGCAGTTTATAAGACAACACAAGATTCTGTACATATTGAAATTGCTCTTTTAATGCCCCCCCCTTCCATTCAATGCCAAAGAATTGGGACACCACGTAGAATATGCATGTGTTGCTATACAAAAGATTTGAGACAACATAAATATTCTGGATTATTCTTTCCCATCATTCCATCTCCAATCGAAACATGCCTCATGGCTACACGATAACCAACCCATGGCGATGGCAGGCTTATTTTTGTTGTTTTTGTAAATTCATGGGTCCTTAATGAGTACACGGCGAAGAAAGGATTCCGTTCGATTACTATGGAACAGCAGCCGTGAGAACTATCAGTTGGCTTAGACGTAATCGCCAATGTGTCTGAGAAAAACTTCTGCCTCTGCAAGCAAAACACCGTATCCTTTCTTTTTGATTCGATTGCAAGAAGCCCAATTCCAAATAGGTCTCTAAATGAGTCTAATGCAGGCGATCGACTCTCGACGTATGTCGGCCGTTAAAGACTCGGCAGCTGGGGCTTATACGAAATTCGTTGCATTTTTTTAAAATTTGAAATTCTTGATATCACGTAAAAGTTTATTTTCTCAAAGAGTTTGATAGTTAAATGGATGGAAAATACAATATAACTCAGTTTTACCCAATAGTTCTCTTTTTATAGCAGACTTAAAAGCTAACAGGGATGGGCATACCAATGTATTACCTCGAGCTGCTTGCCTTTGCTGGATACCAAGGGTAACGCGAACTCCTTCTGTCTCACAATAGAGGTTTTTAATGTTTATGTAAATATATTCTAAAAATGCTAGATGGAACGACGACCGGGTTCTACCAATGATCCAAAACATGGCGCCATTATGCTTTTTAGGGACAATCTGGTTTTTCCAGTAAATGCTGCCTTATGGCAGAAACGCATGTTTTAGTTGCTGTTTTTAACTGCAACTTTCCTAATACTAAATTCCGAGTGAATATTACCTCAAGGGTCACAGTTGAACACGTTTGCTCGATTTGCTAATTTCCAATATCCAGGGTGACCTAATTTCTACCTAAAGTTTGGGGTTTAGAGAAGGGTCAAAGTTTATTGAAAAACTCTGAACGTTGATCCTGGAGGTACTGGAAGCCACTGTAAGCAGGGAAAGGGGGCAAAGTGCCTCAGGGCTTTGAGGTCGAGGGGGCCTTAAGTAGTAATGGACTCCATTTTAAGAATGAAATCAATGAAACTTAGGTATGCCTAAAAATAGTTAAAAGTTCTAAACGATTGCAAGAAATGACTGCAAGAAATATTCTGAAATGCATTTTAAGACAATCTAAGGGCATGGTCGCAAAAACTTCCTGCGAGCGGAGCGAGCAGGAGAACCTCGTCTTTCGGTTTTGTTTCAAGGCCTTCAAAACCTAAGCACCCACAGTCACTCGAAAGTTGAAGCGATGATGACTAACGAGAACATTCTCTTTGATAAACAAAATCAATTGCGTCTGTGGGGGATCAAGTGAATGACCCTGCGCTGTACAAACGCCTCGTCCCTTTAATAAAGACGAAACTCCAGAAAGGTTCCCGGTTCCTTGTTAATAATGTATAAAAAGACAAAAGCGAAAAGCACTGCGAATGTTCTATTTATTTACTTATGAAAAGACTCCTTGATACTGCGAACTTTACATTAAAACAACATATTCCATGAGTGAGATCATTTCTAGCGTAGCGTTCATCTTGCGAGTCGTGTCTCTTACTTGTCTGTCTGTTTTCGAATGAGTTGAATTGCATGTCATCAATCACATGACCAATCGATTTCCTTCAGCGTCAAAATGCCACACCCCCACATTGAAATATCTTAGGCCACACCCTATTTTGTCGGCAAATTGGTGACTGGCACCCCCCTATGTGAAAGAGCTTAGCGACGGCCCTTTCCACGAGTATCGGAAGCTACAGTTGCAGTCAGGGGCGTAACTTGGCCAGTAGGTTTGGGGGGGGGGGGGGTGAAAAGGGTTTCTGCCCTGCAAAACTGAGTGGTGCCCTGCAGACCTCGTAGCAAAGGTTTGTCTATATTCTATAGGTTACTAGTGAAAGCTTCACCAGTGTACACTGGTCTTTACCAAGGACAAACTTCTAAGCAATAAAAACAAACTTGAAACTTCATTGCCTATGAAATATCTATTTCTCTACATGAGCGTAAATTATATGTCAAATTTCCTTGATAATAAAGATTATATCTCGTAGCATATGATTTTTTGGTGCATTATATAGGCGGAGTAACGAAATTGAGCCCGGGGGGACTAAGAATCACCTTTAGTGATATAGGAGGACCCACCATGGTTGGGTCCGACGTGAAGAAAATTTTTGAAATTTTACCTTGTAATAGGGCTAAAAAGCATCTTTCAGACTAAAATTTAGCAAAATACTATTGTGCTAAAAGAACTGATTGTTGTTTATTGGGAAAAATAGGGAGGGGCATGTCATGCTAAAACTCTAGTGATAGACGTTGGGCAATGAAAGAAACGTCAACCTTTCGTTTCAGACTGCACATTGTTGTGAATGACAGAGGAAGATGTTGTTTTGATTGGGAAATATTTATTTCCTGAACAGAAATGTGCAGTTTCTTGTATCGAGAAGGCCATCCAAAATTAAAAGATTGCAATGATACAGAAAGTGATTTACTGAATTAATGCAAATAAAAGAAAAAAAGGAAAATATACGTGAAAAAGTTAGTAATTAGATCAAACAAAATCGGCATCTTAACAGTTTACTCTCTTTTTATTTCATGCACTGTTAAAAATTAATAGAAAAAATGATAAAAAAGTTCTTATCTTGACTAAAGTGAGGGCCTTCAGCCCCCTATTTCCCCCAGTGACGCCGTGCTTGTCATGAAAATAATTTACAACTTAAATTAATTTATATGGACCCAACCTTGCCCTCATAAACATATGCATCAATCATTGCATCCATTGGCTATGACTTTCGGTAAGAAATGCTTTCGCCTTGCAAATAACGGAGCTTTTCCTTACATACCTGTTCCGTTCTCTAAAATGCAATATCAGGAAGGTAGGTTCATAGCAAATATGATATTTCCATTTCAAAATTTCTAAACGGCCCTTTACGAACTTCAGAGGTGACATTTATGCGTGGCAACAAAGCTCTTCTTGGCGCCCTGCGAAATCTTCGATTGCCCTGCGAAATCGACTATTTTTTAGATTGGGGAGGGGTGTCACACCCACCCACCCCCCACCGGTATTTTCGCCCTTGGTTGCAGTTCCAGTAGAAAGGAAGTCTTTTTGTTCGTTTCTTCAAACCAGATCCATGCCCGCCTGGACCAGTGACCCGGACCAACCTTTTGGCCCGGACCAATGAAGATGAAATTGTCTCGGATTGGCATCGAGGCCAGTTCTTCTTGTTGCGGATTGCGCGCACGTTTGACAAGAAATAAAAATATCGTGCTTGTGACACTATATCTTAACCATTAGGGTTTCGGAAAAGAAGACGAAAAAGTATAAAATATTGTATGACATGTCTGAAGACTGGGATTTAGAGATTGAGACTGGTGTTTCACAACTGAATATAACCGAAAATGCCAATTTTTTGCGCCAGGAAGAGCCAGTGGCATTTGGGAAGAGTTTCAGTAATGGGGGTGCTGCAGATTATAACCAGTCGTTTAGAAGTAATCGTGGCTATGGAAGAGGGCGAAGGGGAGGCATGAGGAACGACCAAAGGACCTATGAAAGGTTGTTATACAAATTTGTTATTTTCCAATGCTGGGAGCCCATGTGTGCTTGCGAACATGAACATTTTTGTCAGTGGCCTAGATAAGAAATTTCATAGGAGGGGCGTAAAACTGAGATTTTCCAACAAAAATCTTACAAACATTTTTAATTTTTTCATACATTTGATCATAGTTCGGTTCAGTTTAGTTTTTCATATTTTAAAATTCCTCTACATACAATATCTTACTACAACTACATTACAAATAATTACATACAATGGTTACACATTACATAGAATACTTATAATAACTGGCAGTAAATAACAGATACGTAAGATGTTGTTTGCAAGGGAGTTGCTTTGGAAGGAGCTCTCTCAGTAGATGAACAAATCGAGGAGAGAGCACCCCTCCTTTCTAAAGTGGTTTTAAATGTAATTGATCATTTACATGAATGACAAACAATAAATTTCGCTTCAGAGCCAAATTTGATAGTTCTTGTTGAATGAAAGGGTTTTAGGCTTTTGACAAAAACTGACAATAGACAATTATCTTTTAATATTTACTGGAATATTGTTCCAAAAATTTAGCACCAAAAGAACACACATTCCTGATACACCAGATGACCAAGTACTTTTGTCCTGGTAGTGTATGTATGGGGACTCATTTAAGAGTGGAACTCTTTCAGTAGCAAAGCCAATCAAGAAAGGAGGTCCCTTTATACACAAAAATATTTCAGCACTTCACAGATATCAGAATAGATAATACCAAAAATGAAACTCCGATTTCTGTAAACGGGAAGTGAAAAACAGTGTGAGAAATATTGAGGATTAGTTACCAGATTTGAAACTTTGTTTCTTGCGTGGGCAAGTTTACATGCCTAACTTTGTGACTGTGCTCCTGAAATTAGGCACATTTAAAAATTTGTAGTGGTAAAATGTTATTAGATAGGGACTTTGGGCGGCCAATATGCGAAAGTCATCATTCAATTTTATAACATAAAAAGCCAGTCCGGAAGTATTGACAAATTGCAGGTCTAAGGAAATTTAAGTAAACTTTCTCGTTTTTAAGTAAACTTTGAAATTAATAAGGACAAGCATATAGTGACAGAGAGGCTTGAGGATTGAGTGCAACTGAGAAGTCCCCTGTACCAGAGATTTCCTTTCTGTAAGTTCATCTGCTGTTATCTCATGTATTTGTTACTGTTTTACTAAAAATTTCTAGCTATTTGTATTGATTTTATTTGGTTTTGCAGCAGTTCTTTTTTCTACAAATATTTTTTCAGCTATGGAAAGGACACCAATTGGAGGTCTCAAAATGGTGATCAAGAGAATGCAGGAATGTCTAATGGAAATAGAGAAGATTCAATGAAAATAATGGTTCTGAACACAAACATAGGAAAAGTCATAGGTATGAAATATAAACACAGCTACTGAATTTCAGTTCCATTCATTTATCAATCATTCCTAAACAGGGACGCTGGAGAAGGGGGGCATTAGAGGTCAACTGCCCCTGTTGCCTTTTGATAGGGCAAGAGGGGCCAGAGTGCCCTTTTCATTGAAGTGCCCTTGAAGCCGGCCAATCGCAATAATCAGATATGTTCAAATGAAATTATGATTGTTGTGCTTAATTTATGAGTTTATGATGACATTTCTCAAAACTTTTAAAATAAATCATTTTGACAAATTTAGCCAATTTTCAAGATACCTACAGAAGATCAAAATAAAATGGCAGTTAGTAGAAGGAACTATTAGTAGAAGCTGGAAGTTATCTTTTAAATGCTCTTTTACTCAAGCCTGCCCCCTTTACCCCTTGGTCATTCCGGCATCCCTGATCCTAAATATGATTCAACCAGAGATGTATATTTATATGCCATCTTATTTTTTGGGATTTTATATTTATATTACATTTATATGCGGGATTTTATTTTTAAATATCATTTGCATGCCTCGTGGGGAAGTTGTGCACGGGATTCACATGAAATTCTGTGTTGCAACTGTGCAGATTAATCTGAATTTGCAATGATGCACCGGCAGGATTTGAGGAAATAATTATTGACTGCATACCCAAATTTTGTAGTCTGGTTTATATATTGATATATATTTTATAATTTTTAAAGGGAAAATGTTTCAGCATCTCTGCCAGTATCAAAAAAATTTATCTAAAGTCAATACATTACTTTTTTTAGGAAAAGGTGGGCAAACTATAAGAGAGCTGCAAGACAGCACTGGAGCTATTATTAAGGTATTTTGTTTATACAGCTATTGTATAATTATTTTATGTGTATATACACTTGGTGAGCAAAAGTATTGCACAGGCTGAGACAGAAATGGCCGCACCGCAGCAAATTTTTTTTAACAAACCAAAATTAAAGTGGCCATAGTAAGTTTCATAAAAGTTATAAGATGACTTTTTAACTGGAATATGTTGGACAATTTATCAAGGTTTGCTGGTGAAAATAGTTAGTGCATGAATATTCTTGATTTTTGCCTATTTCTAAACAATATCGACATATTGCAAAAACAAAAAAATTGAGCCATGATGATTGAAGTACCTGTGAAACATTTGCAAATAAAATAGTTCATCTTTGCACCAATTTGCGATATCTTCTTATAATGAACTCGGGGGTACTTTCTTTATGCTTGGGTGTCTAGAACTGCTCATTTTCCTCACTTTTGTTGGAGAATTTGCTAAATGTGTTGGTCGGAAATTTTTGGAGCCACAATGGGCCTAATCGCAGCGGCCGTTTCGTGATATATTGCAGCAAAATTCAATCAATAAAATGTGTCACAAATCGTGAAGTCCATCTTTTCCAACCGATTTCCATTTTGTAATGGAAACAAATAATGCTGCAAATTGCGTCAAACAACATTTCGTCCTCTCATTCAATGAAAATACCAAAATTCCGGCGATAAACAGGTTCACTCAAGTGCCTCAATAGCTGTAAAAGAGTAGGCTTAATAAAATGGCTTAAAATATGCCACTTTCCACCAAATACAAGTCCATTTATGATCAACTTGGTACTTCAATACCTAAATGTGATCTTGCAAATGTTTTTCTGAACTTATCGTGTCGCGATTAACAGAAAGTGTTACTAAACTTTTTGATAAAGTTTTGGCAAGTCTCGCAAAGGTTTCAAAGCTGGGAGACTGTCCAATAAAAAGTTAAACATTTTTATTTTTTAAAAAGTAACTTTTTTCAATTTCTAAATTAAAAGTGTTGTCAACGGTTTGAAGTTTGGTTTGATTAGATTTTAACCATAAAAAGACTCCCGGTGGCTTCACAAAAGTGGTTTGAGTTTTGATCGCTTTGTTGTCGACAATGCGGTCGCCATTACTGAATTGTCAAACCTGTCCAATACTTTTGCTCACTAAGTGTATATGTATTTTGCTTTGAGCTTGGCAGAAAATTAGAAAGATTAATGGTACAAAGTGGCATAGCTAAGAAAATGCATAGGAAAGCAAAAAAGTTCCCCACAAAAGTCTAAACAAATATTTTTGCAAATTTGAACATAACATAACTATATTACAACTGAAGTAAATTGCCCTCAGATATAGCCAAGATTTTGACTGGTTTTGAGGTGCTTTCCCCCATTACAGGGACCCTGTTTGATAAAGATACATAAATATTGCCAAAAACTGCACTGGTATGGATAATTCATGAAGTTAGTAAATTGTGATTTATTTGCTAGCCTATGTTCCAGACCTTTACTTTGCAGTGAGGGGTCTAGAGCATGGGGTATGTCCAGCATACCCTTTGATCCAGTCAGACTTATTGAGGTATATTTTGAAGAGGAGGGGGCCAAGGCAGGAACCTTGTGGAATACCACACATTACTGTCCTTGGCCTTGATTTGTAACCAATAGCTGTGCAGTACTTGCTTTCTATTTTCAAGATTTGAACCGAGCTTTACATTGCAGTGCTTCTAAAAATGTTCATCTTGCATCAGATGAGTCCCTTGCCCAGTTCAGGAAAATTGAAATGATAAAATGAACAAAGAAACATATATGAAACCTTAAAAAGAACCTTTTTAGATGTTTTGCTTTCACTTCATGAGTTAATGCGATTGTCATTAAACATCTTCTAGTATGAGATTTTGAATAAAAGTAAATCTTTAATACTGTAAAACTTGTAAAAAGGGGGTTTTAATATTCTTGGTTGTAGATTCGGAAAGACCAATGTGAATTTATTTCAACCCCAGTTGAAATTATTGGAAGCAAAGAAGCTCAGATTGCAGCCAAAGAGAAAATTGAAGATCTTACTGATGACATCACAACAAGAAGAATGAAGGAAACGGCAAGAGATTCATCAAAAGGCAAAACAGATGCATTTGGAAGGTTAATCGATTTATTACCAACTGAACCTTGTCTATCATTGGGCAGCACAAACAAGCAGAAGTATCCCACATCATTGTTAAATGAATTTTGTGTGGCATTCTTTTGAGTATGAAGATTCATTAAGCAAAAATGGCCACTGAATGGTAAAAACAAGGATACAATGAAATATGTTTGGCTGCCCCTCAAATTATGTCCAATTTTCACCTTGAAAATAATCTGTATAAGACACACCAGGCATTTCATCACTGTGAAGTTTTGGATGTATAGTGATGTAGTATGATAATAAGATGGCTTTGTATTTTGTACAGTGTTATGATATCCATTGCCATTATATATATCATTGTAGAAATAGTTCACATATACTTAGGAAGATTGCAGTTTGCTCTTATTTAGACATGTTACTAGGTGTAGTAAAACTTTGATTTTTCCAAAGTTTCTTTTCTTCAAACATTCAGGCCCCAAATTGACTGGAAAGCATTAGCAGAAAACCGAGAAGCAAATGAAAAAATTAGATGGGAAGGTCAGTAACTTATTACAAAGTATTTGTTATTAAAAATAGCAAATTATATAAGAAATAAAATACACTAAAGATATTGTTCACACATGAAATTCAGAGTTGTGTCACAATAGTCTGTTTATTTTAGTCTATCTAGACGCTCTGATAAGTGGAGCACCCTAGATAGCAATAGGATAATTACTATAATATATAAATATATAAGAAATAAGATATTTATTTTCTTTGATCTGAATAGAGAGAATGATATTAACCAGATAGCAGATTGAAACTGAACACAAAAGACAAAGAACACAGTATGTTGTAGTTAAGCTTTTTTCATCAATATACCCATCTTCTGTACCTTGGCAAACTTCTAAGCAGTTTTTCACTGGCAAATGCCATAACCTCAAATCAATTTTGTAATTTCACAGGCCTTGGAGATGTCATTAAAGAATTTTACGATGAACTGCCTGAAATCAGGGACATGAACCCAGTCGATGTTGCGGAGATAAGGTAAGCCATCTTTTGCACACCCCCATGTGTTATTGACACTCATCTGATATTTCATTGTGGTTGCATATTGTCCCATCAAACATAGCAGAGGTGTGTTGAAATAGCAAACTATTTTGAAAGTTGTTTCACTTTGTTTATGCGTTCATCTGCCGCTGTGTTAATTTCCTTCCCGGTAGGTTGGTCTTTTTGCTGCCCCCTTTCCTATCAAGAACTATCAGGGCAACCCAGCTCAATGCATTAAATTTACGATAGACGCCATCTACAAGTACATACTTCTTAAAATAGTGGTTTTATAGCCTCTTCTCCCACTTTACATAGTCCTGCATTTCAACCTGCTTAAATTCCCCCCTGTACAACTGTAGAAAAAACGATTGCCAACGAGCAGAATAAAGTATAAGGACCATATAAGTTATACCTTCTCCTAGCAGAAAGTTGAAGAAAAACCTTGCTGATTGAATGATTTGAAGAATTTATTATCTAGGCTCTTTTTTAAATTCATCAGTGTTATGTAACTTTTATGGCAACTGTGCCACCTGCACGTGCCAGTACAAGTTTATGGAAACCCACCCTCTCTTTGATGGTGCGTCCCTTATGGATGCCGCCAAACAACAATCGTAATAGACAGAGAGTTTTGCTTTCTTTTTACAGGAAAGAGAAGAACTCAATCACAGTACAGCATATGTCAGACGATAAGGAGATTCTGAAAATTCCAATCAAAAATCCAGTGCTTACTTTTGAAAATGCGTTTCACAATTACCGTAAGAAATTGTCTGTTATTACACGTACTTACAGTAAAATCAGTTAGCCTGAATTGCTTGAACAAAACATTTTTGCGTCATTGAAAAGAACATCTGTCCCTGCCAAAAAGTCCCTGGAACACAAATATAAATGTTTCCGTTGAAATACCCACAGCGCACTCCTGGTCCCCCACAAATGTTAGCTCCTGAGTTAAGCAACATCGTTATCTGAAATGAATCCGTTGGTTCACGGGGAACCATTTAACTTTGCATATGAAACGTTGGTCGGAGAGGGGAGCGGGGAGAGGGGAGAGGGGAGAGGGGAGAGGGAGGAGGGGAGAGGGAGAGGGAGAGGGAGAGGGGAGGGGGAGAGGGGAGAGGGGAGAGGGGAGAGGGGAGAGGGGAGAGGGGAGAGGGTGATGCAATCTAAATCTTCAAAATTTAGGGGAAGCGTACGAAGACTTGAGCAGGCATTGTCGCTTTCTGGAAAGAGCAGCAATGAGTTGGCTGGAAGCCAATCGAAAGTGGAATGGACGTCATAGCTGCTTTTGTCCCCTGTTAACATCGAATCTTTTTAATAATGTTATCATAGTACCAAGAGGAAATTACTGGAACATTGATGCCCTTGTTATACTCTGTGCTTTGGTTCTAAAATTTAACTGTTTCCTTTATAAATCCCAAGAAGCCGTTATTTCCAATACAGATTTTCAAGTAGGGCGATGCCCTAACAGCTGTGATCTAGTTGATCTTGAGTCTTTGCCCAGTCTTTTACGCTATGAAATTCGTCAGCATAAACGAATATCCGCGTGAATATGGAAAATAAAATTGGTATTCCTAAAAGGAACGATTTCGCTGATCTAACGATTAAAAAGTTACAAGCTGGGCTGAAAGGGACCGTAAGCGCCAAAGCTGAGGAGCGAAGCTGAGCAGAAGTCGTGTATCGCGAATGGCTAATGAGGTTTTATTTCTCTGGGATGAAAGTCGGCAGACGAAAAGGAGTGCGACGGTATATAACCGCGTGATCAAAAGTAAATGCCTAAAAGCTTAAGAAATATTTATTAGGAATAATGTGAACAGATTTGATTTTTAGAAAAACGAGTCCCAGGTTATGCATACATACACAAGTACGTAAGTCTACTGATAAAAATGGTTGCTTTTATATTGGATAAATAAAAGTCAAATAGTATATGATTATCATGGAAAAGTATTTAATAGTTAGGAAAGTATATAACAAATTATGATGAAAATTAGAGAAAAGTCATATTAGTAGAGAGCGATAAATGAAAATCATATGGTTTGTCTGAAGAAGTTGCCAAAGTATTTGAAGTTGGTCGAATAGGAGGCTGCCGAAGCCGTCGACCTTGCTAGTATACAGAAGAAGATGCCTAGCAATATGGGTGTGCGTTTGATTAAATAGATTGCAGAGAATGTTTATAACGAAGGTATTCACCGTTGGGATATAGGTACATCTTTCTTTGTAGCTCTCTCCCTAAAAAGAAGGAGATTTCAGGCACCGCGGAGCGTTGAGAAAAGTGGGGGGTCTAAAAAAAGTGGGGGGGGGGACTAAAACCGTATAAAAAGAGGCTTTTCTGATAGTTTGATACTTAATATTTGGCATTTTTGCAAAAAGTGGGGGGGGGGGCTAAAGCCTGGTGCCTGGATTTATAAATCGTGTCAGCCATGCCCAAACCATTTCGAAATTTTATACTTTATGATCAATGTGGTTTTCTTGGCTTGATTGCCGTTGTTGGTTCTTCCAGACCTGTCTGTGGATCTGATAAAATGTTTGTACAATGTTGAATTTTTTTTATCCAGTTCATCTACAGGCCTACATGTTATAATACTTTTTCCTGTTATATTCTTCCTTAAACCTAAATTGCACAGCCCTCTATATCTTTCTTAATTTGCCAATTCTTTTGTAGCTGAAATATTGGACACAATTTACAATCAGAATTTCACAACACCTTCTCCGATACAGGTTCGAGAAAAATTTATAAAAAACCGTTTGTTTAGCATTGTGTATTATAAATCGTGTGTATCTTTTTCTTGTTTTTTTTTAAATGTCTGACATTTTCAATTAACATTCATGTTGCTGCAAATCTTTCAATTCATCAATGTTTGTTTTCTCAGTGTCAAGCTTGGCCAGTTCTTTTGTCAGGAAATGACGTCATCGGTGTTGCTCAGGTTTGTTTTCTGTATTAAAAACCTTCTTAACTTGTTTTAAATTTTTTTTTGAAGTCTTGAAATGGTTTTTGTTTAAAAATTTTTCAACAATTTTTGTTTTTTCGTTTGGCATTTTACGGACTGGTATGATGATGGTAATGTCACGTTTAAAGAAAATATAACGATTTTCCCATTATTGTTTTTATTGCAGACAGGAACTGGCAAAACCCTTGCGTTTTTGTTGCCTGCCCTCATACACATCGACCAACAACCCACGTGAGTGATTATCCCTAATGTTATGAAGTCTTTCATATTTTGTCAGAGGCTCTTTCTTGTTTTTACTCGGTGCTATACTCGGCTAATTTTGGCACTGTTCGTCTTTGTTTTATGCTTTGGTAAATGGTCACCAAGCATTATATTCATCTTTTTTATCAATGTTATAAGATATATTTCTGTCCGGCAAAACTTCAAACCTTGCATGATTGCTACCACCCGAGTTCGTTTCCTGTTGCAATTTTTTCAACTACGCTACGGGTTATCTATCGCCGATAAGTCAAAAATAAAGAGCCGATCAAATGAACCATACCTTCCCTACACTGTTCTTCGATCCGTGCCTGGATGTAAGTTTCTATTCACCTTTTTGCGTTCTCCAAAGTTTTTACATTCCATGTAGTGTTATAAAATTTCATGGGTTTCAAAAGTCAAATAAATTTGATGATTAAAGAAAGTGAAGCACTTTGGCCGAATTTGAATAGCAGCTAACGCCTTTTGATGTTGCATTCACATTTCATTTTTTTGTAATGTGATTATTGGAGTTAAGGTGGGATGGTCTTCCATATACCTCAATGGCGCCCTTGGTACAGCTGGCAGAAATGAACCTTTAGTCCCACTTCATAATCTTATACGTGAGTGGATGACAGCACTGAACAGGGCCCGCGCCACGATTTTGAAAGTGGGGGGGGGGGGCAAGACTAAAAAAGTTGGGGGCCAAGGCTTTCTACCTCTTTTACTGCAGCTTTAAAACTACTTGTTTCGTAAAAAGGTGAGGGGGCCATGGCTACCCCGCCCCCCTCCCCCCGGTGTCGCGGGCCCTGCTGAAACACCTGTGCTTCGTCTTTCACTTGTTTCTCTTTGTTTGATGATTGTAGTGTTTGATTTTCTTTGTCCATCTTTTTTTGGCTATTTTATCTCCTTTTCATTTTCGACAGACCAAGAGCAAAGCGAGAAGGCCCTTCATGTTTGGTTCTGTCACCGACACGTGAACTCGCCCAACAAATCGAAGTTGAAGTTAAAAAATTCAATTACAAAGGAATAAGAAGGTACCCTCTAATTCATTATTTGCAGCAGCTTTCAAGTGTTATTTTGTCGTCTTAACATGTCGTCTTAGCATGAGCTCTACAATTAGGCCTAATTTCTTTCTACAATTAGGCCTCATTATTATTTGCAACCAACATCCACAAAAGCACATGCAGCACTTACTGAATATATCAAAATTGAACTCCTGTCTAGTTTCAGAAAGGTTTATTTGTTCATCTAGTTTAGGCTGTCCATTTCTTCACATTCTATCCATTCGTATTTTGCAGTTGCTTAGAAATATCAACACATTGTTGTTAAGGACAGTAGTCGATGTGGCATGCGAATTCGGATTTTCAAAATGAAAAATTTCAAATTTTGAATAACTTTTTCCACAGTGTGTGTATTTACGGTGGTGGAGATCGCAGGGAGCAAATTGGAATTGTTGAAAGGGGCGTTGAAATAGTAATCGGTAAGGCGACCTCCTATTCATATTAATCCTCATTTTCATGTCCTTCCCTCAATGCATTGCATCCCGATTTGCACTATCTTTGTAAGAACTGAGCACTCAGTTTAAACCATATTCTTCCAGCCCCAATTTTGACTTCAAATAAAGACGCTCTTGGTGTTTTGTATGTGAAAAGTTCGAACAAATTTCTTTTAAGTCGGAAGCACATTGCGAAATTTTTTGAACTGGAAGCACAAGGCAACATTTTGTTGTAAGGTTACCCCCATTAGACGCTTGATTGTGACCAAAACGTGACTAATGCCTTGCTATTAAATTTTTTTATTCTGCATTGATACCAACAATTCATTAAAGTTTGATTTACCAAACAGAAAAACTTCATGTAACTTCATCAAGAAAATGTTCAAATTAGAAAGTTTCATAGACAATTGTATGGATTGAACAGAAAATCGGAACTTGTGTTAATGACAGACATCTTCAGGGTCAGACGCTACAGATAAATTGTTAGAGCTTTTGTTTACGAAAATTTGATCCTTGTAGTCAGCCGAATTCCTTTTCGGAGCCAGGATCGGAAATTGTGATGTATGGATTGAAGTTCGAACAGAAGGCTCACGATATTGAACTCCCAGCAGAACTATGGAGGGTTGTTGGCTTTTGTTTCAATGATTCTATTTGTTTTATTTCAAAGGCACGCCGGGAAGACTAAATGACTTGCTGATGAATGGCATTCTTTCCGTCAAGCACGTGACCTACTTGGCAAGTGCTTTACCTTCTTCATATTCTCACCTATTATATATAAGCTGTTTCTTCGGAACTTATTTTCAAAAATACTGCCTTTTTTTAAGTATGATTTTTTATTTTGATCAATTTTCAGGTCTTGGACGAGGCTGATCGAATGCTTGACATGGGATTCGAACCAGAAATTAAGAAGATTATTCTCGACATAAGGCCCGACAGGCAAACAGTCATGACGAGGTTGCTATTGTCCTTCGATCGTTCTTGTCTTACTCGTGTCAGGATGTTCCATTAGCTGTCTTTTTGTCTTGCAGCTTCTCATTTCTTCTGCCCTTTTTTTCTTTCCCAGTCCCTTGAAAATTATAAATCCACAGTTCATATGGAGATGTTTTTGGGAGTTTTTCATCTTCAAAACAGTTGTTTCTGCTACGATACGATTAAACTTTCATAGGAAATGGGTTATGGTGCGGAGTACCCATGCATGCAACCCGGTTTCATGGTTATTCCCCATTGTCAGGAACATGTCTCAATGTTTTTACTTGGATTATCAATGAATATTTCACACTTGGCATATGAATAACGTTGGTCTTTAAAGTCTCTCGCAAACTCAGCGAGCCTGACAATATTGAATATCCCTGCCATTACCGGAAATTTATTTCTATAACACCTGTGCCGTCGACATGTTCAGTATTGTTATGAACGAAAGTCTTACATTTAAAAAGTATGTGTTATGTTCTACATCGTCTTCAATAAAACAGTTTGATAAGGCGTTTAATAGTTGGTTAGTTGGTTAAGGCAATATCTAGCAAAAGCGTAATAAAATGATATTGAATTATAGTGCCACGTGGCCACAGGGTGTCCAGCGGATGGCAGACCAATACCTGAACAATCCAATCAAAGTCAATGTTGGCTCCTTAGATTTACAGGTCAGTCTCGTTATCAACACGAGGGTTACTTTTTATTTAAAAGTTCCGTTAAGCAATCTGAGATCTCTCCTGAATTTATTTTTGGACTAATAATTTGAGTTTTTTGCTATTTATTTCCTAAACTAAAGTTGAACACTTTGTTTGTGGCAGGCTTGTCACTCAGTGACACAGTTAATAGAAAGAGTTGAGTCAGCGGATAAAAAAGAAAGGGTAAGTTTTAATGTTTTTGATTTCTTTTTTTGCAGATAGCATCTCTTGCTGTAATTTATTGCATGAGATAACTATTAAGTATGAATCACAGTTTTTGCGCTTTTATAAAGTATATTTCATTTCATAATATTGCTTTCAGAGTCTGCTGTAAAAAACTGACTGCTTCTCTTATTAAATACCTCGTGTAAAAAATCTTCATTCCAAGAGGTTCTTAGTTATTATATTTCCAATTCATTTTCTTCCAATTTTTCATCCTATGAAACTAGGTTGCATCAAGGGTGCGAAATTCTTCGCTTTCTAATTGTTTCGAGATCTTCAGTCCATTTATCTTTGTTGTTTCTTTGCAGATAATTCAGTTTATAAATGATATGGACCCAGAAGACAAATTATTAATTTTCGCTGGTAAAAAAGTAACGTAAGTATCTCACTCGCTTCTGGATATCTTGTCATGTCGATACATCATATTCTAATCAATTACTGAACGCCATTTTAGGAATCATCGATTTATAGGTTTCTGGTGCAAAATTTAACACCCCTTTGTAGGTTCATATTAGGCTATTAGTCTGAAGAAGAAGCCCACTTTGCTGCACTACCCTAACATAGTGAAATATGGCAACCCCTGCCGTTGGGGCATGTTAATAAACTGCAAAGGGCTGTGAATATTTTTTAAACCCAAGTTTTACACCACTGTCGATAATCAAGAGCCTGTTTTTGGCTCCAATTTTTCAATAGCCGATCATAATGTGTCTATGCCAAGACACAACAATATCTACAGCTGTATGTTTTCTTTAACGTTTGTCAATTTGAAAGAGTGCAATTTACTCTGTGCTGCGCCTGGCATACTGCTAAGGCGGTAAGCATATAGTCCAAAACAGGTGTATTCGTGTGTATAACTGTCTTAATTGATATCATTTTTGATAATAATTATTGATAATCACCCTTGATTTACGATAATCATGGCCTATCTAGAGTGGATGACATCTCGAGTGATTTGGTGCTAAGAGGCGTACATGTTGGCATCCAGACGATTCATGGTGATAGGTTCGTTGCATCTCATCTTTCCCTTCTGTTGACGGTAAGGTTTTCAGGGAACAATCCAAAAACTTAAAGCCAACAGTAAAAGATTGTATTTTTTGGAATTCAGTCTTTGAAAGTTTTGCTGGTAAATATTAAAAATACGTGAGTGATGCTCCATAGTAATGGTCAGCAGATGATAGGAGGAATGTGACGTCATCACTAGAAGATGGGTACAAGACCTTCAATGATCAGGTTCTATTGTTGCCTAGATACAGTTGGAGAGCACTGTTTTATACCATAGCAATCTACAGTTGTTTGCGCCTATCTTCCAAATTCATCCTTGATATCTCTACTAAAGAAGTAACAGTCAGAGATTGTATATATCATATATACCTGCCATTCATATAGGCATCATGTATAGTTCACATGTATAGTTTTGCTTACTTGAAGATTTTTGGTTCATTCGTAGGGAGCAGTCAGACCGTGAACAAGCTTTGGAAGACTTCAGAACCGGGGAGGCACGTGTGTTAATCGCAACTGATGTGGCGTCACGTGGTTTGGATATAAAAGACATCACGTGAGTAAATATCGACACTGTTATGTAATATTGGTGATATGTATTATCAATTTATGTAATCGTTGTTTGGTATTGCTGTGTTAGAATAGCCAGGAATGAAATATCGCTTTATCGCGTTCAGTTGGGCGAATTGGCCTTGGTTTGTTTGTTGATTCAGCGAATTATATACACATTCAATTTTTATATTACTGTATCAATTCGTAGAAACATTTGCAGTTATCAGAATTCTAATGAAAAACAAGATCATTGCCTGTTAGATATGTTCTGTTGCACAATATGATATGTCCAAATTTTGATTTAGGCACATTAACATATTTTATACTATGTTTAAATGTTGTTCTTTTTTAAACATCTGCTTGCAGGCATGTCGTAAATTATGATTTTCCAAGACACATTGAAGAATACGTGCATCGCATTGGCAGGACGGGTCGTGCTGGGTAAGTGCCTCGATTCCATGCATTGTTCGTTGTTAGCCTCAAACTGACCGGCTTGTTAATGCAGGCATGCTATATGCCTATCTCTATCTTGCTTCTGTAGAATCAATATTGCTTAGTTCCTACCTTATAGCTTGTTGTTTTCATAGCTGGTAAAGGACTTGCTATCAGGTAGTTGAAGATGAAAGTGGTTGAATAGTAAGGTAGTAGATTTTGGCGGATTTTCGCGAATTTTCGCGAATTTTCGCGGAAATTGATTTATTCAGTAAGTGGCAGCTGAAAATCTTTATAAACTGAGATTTTCAAGTTATGCATATTTAGTTTTGTGATTTTTTCGTTTTCAACAACAGGCGAAGTGGCACCGCGTTGACGTTCGTGGCGAGAGAAGATTGGTCCAGCGCGCACAAGTTGATTGACATAATGACAGAGGCCGATCAGGAAATTCCGGACTGGCTTGTGGACATGGCAGAACGGTACAAGGCCTATAGAGAGAGAACGAGAGGTGACGTTTTAATCAATTTTACATAGAGAACTTCTTTCAATTGCAAACTTTTTAACCAGTATTTGATTATAACTGCTATTATTAATTTGAAGCATCAGCAAAGTTTAGTTCATTATAAAAAGGAAATTTTATCGAATTTCTTGAAAATATTTAATGAAAATCCAATTTTTGTATGAAAATTTTCCGTTGCTTGATGTAATCTCGATGTTTTAAATACTTCCAGCAGTTTCAGTTTTTTAGTCAATCTTGCGAGTTTGTGATCCGTGAACCTTATCGTTTTATTTCGATAGCAAATGGTTTTACATTTGACAATCAAAGAGAGCAATAATTCTTTTTTTTCTTTTTAAATTGGTAACTTTTATTTGAGAATCCCTATCACCAACAGCGGATTCGTGTTGTTTTGAAAATTCCATTGAAAGAAGATTGAGCCTAAAAGAAAGCAACCAAACTTCCGATATACAAACTTACATTGTTACACAACTGTTGTGTTTCATTGTTACACAACTGTATATTCTTTACTCAGGTGAAGGAGTTAGCAATGTAAGTGGCAATGCCTGCTTCAAATGTGGCGAGGAGGGTCATTTCTCAAGGGAATGTCGCAATCCAAGTAAGTTTGCTTGGGTATGGATTGGTATTTTAATGTCATTTGTGCCCTTAACGTGGTTTCTCGCTACATTGCATCATAAGAATGCCATAAGGATGCCTTGAATGCTAACAGTCAAATAGAAATGCTTTCTATCGCGTTTTTAGTGCTCTTGGCTCTTCTGCGAACTTAGTTAAGACAGACGACAAAATGAACACACGATGGCATTAAGAATATATGATGATTTCATGCTACTGTGATTTCATTTCTTTGCCATCACTGCACACGGACAAACACCGCAAATTTGTTTGTAACACGGCTAATGAAGAATGATTAATTTGTTTTAAAAGCGAGGTCATATATAATTAATGAATGAATACGTAATGGTTCACTACAAAAGCTGCGGAACTGCATAACATTTTAAAACAACAAAAGACCTGAACAAAACAAGTCCGAATACTTCGCAGATCCATTGGCGCTAAACATGTGTTAAACCAACGGGCAATGGATTGTTCTGATCAAAATACTCTCTCGATGTTGAAAAATCAACTGAAAAAGAGAACATACTGTACTTTTAAAACTTAATTTAAGATTGAAAAATATATTTCAAGTGTGAAGAGTATTGAAAGGAGAACTTTACTGAGCAAATTTAGGTTATCTGATCATCGTTTAGAGGTAGAGGTCGGTAGATATTATATGCCAATGCACTAAATGAAATATATATATATTTTAGAAAGATGAAATTCATTGCTTAATGGCATGCGATATAAAGAGGGAAATCAAGGAACAACTTTTTGAACAAATCGAGCATCAGCATCCTATCTTTAGACATGTGAATAATAAAGATCGGTTCATTTATTTAATGCAAAATGATGACCCCAATCTAAGTCCTCTGATACAAAGCTTTACTGTGAATTGTGTAAAAGCTTCATACGACCTATGTACAACTGAACACAGCCCCAAATGTACAACTTTTATGATTTCTTTTTTTTCGCCTTATTTGTAGTCGTAGTCACGTTCTTTTAGACATATATGTTACTGTTCTTTCGTATTGCTTCATTTCGTTTGTTTTAGTTAGTTTCTCAGTAGCTGCTTAAATATACAAGTTGTCTTGTACTAGGCTATTGATAGGAAAACGAAAATCTTGAGAATCTTTGAATTTTCTCATACCCACAGCACTTCGATAGGCACTTCTTCATTATTCTGTCTGCGTTTCTCTTGAAATTGGTCTGCTTGATTTCTGCCTTGGCAAGACCGTGAATGAACTGAGCTAATAAGTTGTTACAGACACGCTAAACATTCACTGCTGATGAGATCATGTTTCCTTAATTCTATTTGTTTGAAATAACTACACTTCAGATCGTTTGCAGGCTTTTGATTGTCAAGAAATACTCTGCATAAATATTTGTGGCAAGGCCACCAGACACCGTACACCGGGACTTTGATTCAAAAGCTTGTTCAAGTTAAAGTTGCGCTGAGATCGGGCGGACATGAACCATCCGGAGTGGTGCCATGGTTTCGTTGATGTCATAATTTAAGGAGAGCGTTCCCTGATCCTAGGCGACCTGTGATTCGTTGATGTAGTCAAAAAACTCCTCGACGTGTATGACACGAGGTTAATCGGAATATCCTAACCGGATTCTTCACCTTCGCTCTGAGATCTCACTTCGTTGCAACCACGATAAATGTGGAAATTGTTGCTAGTGCTTATACTAAATCAGAGGAAAGCATCGTACTTGTGAGTGACACTCTCACACATTAATGATCCTGACAGTTGAATAGAAACCAGTTTTTAACTTCACCCTGAGAGCATTCTTACAGCCTGAGAGCAGCGATAAATTGTTGAATTAATTTGAAATGATCGTTGTTTTTGCATCTCCCTGTTTTTCTAGGTACAAACAACTCGGCAGGAGGCCAATCAAGAGATAGTCGACCCAGAGGATCTTGCTACTCCTGTGGAGAGTCGGGACATATGTCACGTGACTGTCCTAAAGGCGCTACTATGAGAGGACTGGGGAGAGACTTTGGACGAATTAGAAAAGATGACGACAAAGGACGACAAAGACCGGGACGAGGGCGCGGAAGAAGAACCCGCGATGATGATGACTTTGGATTTATGTTTTAGTCGCAGCATTACTGCTTTGCGTGTTCACTCACTTATTTGCTTGAGATGGGCGTTTTTCTTCATTTTGTCTTCAGTTTTTGGAGATTTTCTGGACGTCGAAAAGTCTAACCGTCTTCTCGTACCAGATCTATTTTTAGATATAAAATTGTTTTGTTCAGTGGTCCATAGATCTGGAGATCTAAAGGCTACGAGGCCTGTTGTCCGGAAATCTGTTGTCCGGAGGCCTGTTGTCCGGAGGCCTGTTCTCCTCAGGTCTTTGGTCCAGTGGTCTTTGGTCCAAAGGCCGTGGTAGCACGTTTGGCTCATATTTAGTGGGCTATAATATGAATCAAGTGAAGAAAGAAGTTTAAACGGAGAGGAGGAACCCTGATAAGTACTCGAACGTTCGATATGGTTGTGTGGTGACGTCATCGTGATCAGAATATGTATTGAGTTTGGACACCTATCATTCGTCTCAGAATCAGTTATCGTAGATTTTTAAATCCACTTGAAATAAGCATGTTCCTATGCTGCTGAATTTCAGATCAGAATATATATAATAATAATTTTGTTTTGTTCCTGTGTAAAAATAATATCTTTATAATATTGCGTTTTGATACAAACAATTTATGACGCATAAATGTTTGCAATGTTGCTTTTCAACCCTTGTATCTTGTATTTTGTGTCGTTCTTTGTTTTTCATCGTGACATAAGACATTATAGATCGATTAATGTAGACTTAAGGTTCCTTTTCCAACCCGAGACATGCCAGTAACCGTGCCAGTACCCTTCTGCAGGTGGATGGCATTTACTGTCTCAATCTAAGTACCCTTCTGCAGGTGGATGGCATTTACTGTCACAATCTAAGTTTTTATTTCAAGCTTATGCTTTTCGGTACTGTATCCATTATTTTTCGTCAGCAGCTTCATCGGCATATACATTCATTACTTGTGCACCAGTGGCTCTTAAGTACAAATAATGGCTTTAGGCTATAATGCATACATGTACTATCTGAGATTCTCTTACGCCAAATTTGTCTATGCATTGCTAGAGATTGGTGCACTTGTGTTAATGTAGAGGATTTTAAAATAGTGACTACATTAAGTGAAGAAATTCGGTTTTTGAAAATCGGGATAAGAAATTTCTGCCCAGCATCTCAGTGAGAACCAGCATTTCAGTCAGAATGTCTTGAATAAGAAACAAATCATTTATACAGGGTTCAAAGGAACCTAGAGGTATTACAGTACCAAACCAGAGCACATCTTTAGGCTTCAACTAGGAGCTGTCTAGTTTCCATACTGCTCGACCTGGTGACGTAATTAGTTTACCCTAAACATAACCCTAAACTTAACCCCAACCCTTACCCCAACCCTAACCCTAACCCTAACCCTAACCCTTTACTTGAAATAAATAATCATGCTTATTTATGACTATCAGGTCGAGCAGTATGGAAACTAGACAATTTCCTTCAACTACTATCCAGGCACCACGGAGAAAAGGGGGCTTGGGGCTATAACCCCCACTTTTTGCCAAAAATGCAGAAAAATCTACCAATGACTAGTCAAACCACTTTTTATTCGGTTTTAACCCCCCCCTCTCCGCCCACTTTTTTAGTCCCCCGCTTTTCTCAAAGCTCCGCGGTGCCTGCTTTCCATGGCTTCAAAGACAATAATGTTGCGCTTTGATGGGGTAACATTCTGGTAAGTGGGTCGAGTCGATCTCTTAAATGTCCTGTAAAGTGTGTGTATATTTCTAGGATTATTGGTGTTTTCAGCATCCATAACGAAGATTTTCTTCCTAGAAAGTGTCACCTATTCTTAACTACAATATTTTTACTTATCGCAGGATGCGGAGACGTGTGTGAGGTATGAAAATTATTTTGATGCGGCATTTGTTTAAAGGGGGCCTTTAGATAATACCACAAGGATCAAGTTAGGTACTATTCCTTTTGATAATCCCTCCGTTCCATTTTCAGGTTCGCCTAGTTCCACAATCATGCATACCTCCAAAATATTTTATTCATTTGAGTTTCAATTCTTTTAACTAGAAAACATGAAGGCCCAGTCCTTTAGTTGCATGGCAATTTATTTTAAAAATGGAGAAAACGTCAGTGAGGAAGAACCTTTCTTGAATAGAAAATCTCAACTGACGCAGTTGAAATCTAGATGGATTTTTTTTTATGAAGCCTAGGTTCAATATTTTGTTTTGAAGTTCAAGTTACTTAGTTTGAACATAGCATCTAATTTCTTAATATTTTTGTCTAGTTTCTAATTTCTTAATAGGTATTTCTGGCAAAAAATTTATTCAACATTTAACTGTAGTTAGATAGTTAGATACGAAGGAATTTTAAGTCGATAGGAAAGTCAATAGGAGCTCTTTTGGAAAATGCGATTTGCTAGTGGATGGTTTTCGCAAAGAGATAGCAATTATCCATCAACGAAGATTGAAGAAAAAAATTGAATAAGGCGCCTATGGAGTACCATACCCTGGGTACCACCCAGGGTAGGAGTACCAGTACCGGATTGCTTAATCCTGCACACCCTTTTTATATATCAGAACCAATAAATTGAAGTTCAGACTAGTAGTTCTTTGTTTCTTTCTTTCTGGCTGGAATCTTCTTCCTTGTTCTTACACTATTAGGGTGTAGGCAGTGCGGTTGCTAGCTACCGTTCTCTAGGGAAGTGGTCACGCCTAGGTCACGCCTCATTTGCCAACAAAGTGAGTAGCACTACAGAAGTTTGAAAATTCACAGAAAAAGCACCCCTAGATTGCAAAAAACTCTTCATTTTCAAGATAAAACATTGTTGGAAATTGCACCATACAGTAGTTCAGCCTCGGCTTGTTTTGAATTTTGAGGCTCGTTCTTAACTTTTGATCAATTTTGAGGCTCGTGATCTTGTAAAATTGTTTTCATTAAAAGAGGGTAACCTTCCACGTTTAAAATGCTTCCTACATCCAGCCCCTAGTACTTTACAAAATGAAAAGGGGCTCACCCATCCGCCCTTCCCCGAAATTTTATTCAAGGATTGCTATAGCCCCCCTCCCCTGAATTATATGCTTGTAATTGACAACAATAAATTGGCCCTCGATCAGCGGTCACTGGCTGAAGGCTCGGGCATCATAAGTTAAGCGGCCAGATTAGACTCAGAAGCCGGGGGGCTCTAATGGCCGCCATTGAGGCGAAACCTTTGCGCAGGGAAGAAAACATGCGATTGGAATTCAGGAAAACTTTTCGACAAATGCAAAAACTTAAAGAAGAGTGTTGAAATTTTAAACAGGGTATGTCATCCTTAATTTAAAGTGATAACTTTGATTTGTTTTTATATTAGTCAATAAAATTTTTGGCAATTCAACATTTGCAGAGTAAAAGTTAGTCAGCGTGAGCTAGGCTAATCTCTTTCCGAGCAACTAAACTCTCTCCAAAATTATTTTATGCCAACACTAAGTTTTTATAAGTATCGAATAAATCTCTTTCAAATTCTAAGCTTAATAACTGAAAATTATTTTCTTTGGAAATAAAATCATGCCGTCTTGACACATTGCATTCTGATAAATGAGAAACAGGTTATTTTACTGGGCCCGGAATCTACTCCGCAAAAGTTGCCTCGAGGTTTTTAAGGTCACATCACAGCCTGATTGCATTGTTTCTCGTCTGCCACACAATTCTTTGATTGTTATCAAACCAGCTGACTTGCCTATTCTCTTCTAGAGACTTACATAAAGTTTTGCAAAGCAAGTGCAGTTTTCTTTCCATCAGTTTTCAAAATGAAAAGAAAACTCTCATCCGGAGAGATCAGAGAAAGCGAAACGAAAGACATCCCGGAGGTAATTTTTTAAAACATTTATTTTAGATCAACTTAAAGATGGATAAAAATAATGATGTTTTGTAGACTATTTAAATTAATGCTTATTTTACCCTTTTATTGCTTATTCCACTTTCTATTTTAATTTATAGGCAAGGCAGATACTCTTTAGAATGAAAAATCTGAACATTCCCACATGATATAAAAACTTTTATGTTACAAAAGACTTTTGATTAAATGATCTCTCCTCTAAAGTTTTATAAAATCTTTGTGTGCAAAAACTTTTTTCTTTAAAGAGCCAAATATTTATTGTTAGTCTTTTTGCAGTAAAACTTGTATTACCCCTAAGAAGAGTGCCAGAATTCATGATAATGAATTGCACTTTTGCAATCTGGAAGTTTTTATAATATCCCTTTATGTGAGATTATTGTGAAAACTTTGAAATTATGCTTGAAATATCTTATTTTTGGAATTATGATATCTTATTAGCAAGCACTTCAATCTGTGAAAGAAGAAATTGGATTGCCAGTAAAGCCAAAACGCCCTCAGACAGCATACTTCCAATTTCTAGCAGATTTTCGATTCAAAGTCAAAGATATAACTCTAAAAGAGGGTGAAAAAATTCCATGCCTTGCTGCAAGAGACTGGCAGAAAATGACTGAAATTGAGAAAAAACCATATAAAGATAAACTAACTGAAAAATGGAAAAAGTATGAAGAAGACCTAGCTGAGTACAAAAAGGAAGTTTTGAGGGTTTGTAGCCTGAGATTTTCTGGTTTTTTTATTAGTTGTTATGTTATAACTTTTATATCATTTTGACTCGTTTTCGTAGTAGTACTGCAGCAATTTTTTTATAATTTTGATTAAAATCTTCTGCTCTCGTTACATCTGACTTTAATTTCTTCTAGATTTTGTGGTGCCTTTTTATCTTATAATTAATTATTGAAATATTCCTATCTTTGATTTGTTTTATGATTATAATATACACATTTTTGATCTGTATCATTCTGGGGATGGGTATTTCAAGATGATTTTTTGAATTTTTGCAAATTTTCAAAATCCAATATAATTTTTCACTGACTTTAAAGCATTGATAATTATTTTTTGCAGATTGAGCAGAATAATTTACAGGAGCAAATGAAAAATGATGTTGAGGAACCCTGCAAGACTGAAGATGGGGAGAACTCAAAGATCCTTGCAGTGACTGAAGGAGGGGATTCTTCTAATGATACCGTTGAAAATAGCACTCTTGAAATGGAAAAAGTTGCTGAAAATTCAGACAAGCAACCAAACTTGGATGAAGGAGATGTTCAGTGTATTTGCTGTGGTGCAGTTTTGGAAGAATCCTATGCTATATGGTTTAGAAATAGATATTATTGCTCCAAAGAATGCTTGCCTGAGGAAACAAGTAGAGGATACAGACTGGTATGAGTTTAAATTTTGCTTATTGCTCACACTAAGCTCTGGGACCATCTATTTAGGAGACAGGTGGAGCTGTCACCATATTATTAAATACTCTTGTGTTATTTATGGTGATCATCATACAGACAATAGCCTAAAAACCATTTGTCAAGTCAAATCTCTTTTTCTCTCCATTTGGCCAACTTAGCTTCTCACCAAGTTATCACATTTGAAGCTAAAACTAATCAGATGCTCTTGAGCTCAAAAATTGATTGTATAATTGGGCAATTAATTGTCTCAAAATTTCTGTAAAAAGAAATTAGTGAAAGCAAATAATTGTAGCATTAAATCCCCTAAGTGAGTAAGTGCCAAGATTTAACTTTCTTGGACAATCAATGTTTACAAAATTTAGCAGTTAATTATTAACTTCCCTATTTTTTACTTTTTTGAAACATGCCTTGATCTTTGTTAACTTGCCACTGTATTTTGGAATTTTTTATTTCTTTGTAGGGAAAGATTATCAAAAGTGGGGGCAATTATCTCGACAGAAAAGAAAGAAGACAAACAAAATTTTCAGCCTTTGCTGGTATGTAGTGACTATGCTGGTATGGAACAAAAGCTGAGATCAAAACTTTGTTTCCATTTTCATTGGGAAATTCCTGCCAAGAACTTTGAGCACTAGAAACCTTTTCCCCTCTTCCTTTATTTCATTCTCATTTGATTATTCATTTCTGTTTTTCTTTTTACTCTACTCTCCATTTTACTTTCCCAGAGAAATTTAATTTTCCCACAGAGTACTCTTAAACTTTTTCACTCACATAGAAATATATAGTTGTTTTGATAAAATTCTTCAGGAAAATTTACACTGAATTTTTTGCATTGTTTTGATGAAAATATTTTCTTATTTTTGTGAAAATTGACAGATTTTAACTTTTTTTCAGTCACAGGGGTAAAAGAAGCTGCTGGGTAAGTTTTACAGATTTTTGAGAAATATTTAGAGTTGAACATTTATTTGAAGAGCTTTGCTTTAGTCTTTGTTTCTTTTTGAAAGAATGGAATGTCAGTCCTCTAAGGTAGCAGTTTTAAACTGATGAATATGAATCCCTACGCAGCAGAAATCTCTACATAAACATTGAAACCAGTTAACTGAAGGAAGTGATGCATGCATGCAGATAAGACAATATGAAATACATTCAGTGGTGTCGTCACAGGGTGGACAGACTGGGGTAGACATGTCATCCAATTTTTCGAAATCCGTTGAAAAAACTTGGGGGAGCGGGGTAGGGGAAGTTGGGCTGATCCGATCGATTTCAATTTTTCGCACTAGCAAAAAGCCAGCTTTACGAAAAATGCTGCTTGAGAAAGTTGCTTGTCCAAAAATTTTGATATAGATCAAAATACCAAAAGCAGAATTTCCCAAGAGTCTGAAGGGCATGGCCAAGAAAATTTGTTTTTGTCCACCCCAGTTTTTTCAAGCTGGCGACGCCACTGAATACATTGCCATAGGATAAGGAGACATGAGTGCTGAGAGGGTTGCAGCCCTACTAGTCAATCAAAATTTATAATTTTTCAAGCAGGGATACAAAAAGGGGCAGAAGGGTGAATTGCCCCAGCCCCTCAGGGTCCAGAACACTCATAAAGTAATAAATGCAGTAAAATGGAATTTATTCAAATTAACAGAATTTTGCAAAATGTTTAAAATGATGGCAAGGATATAAACACATTGATGTAATCTTAAGAGCATGGTTGCAAAAATTTTTGCTTGCTTTGCTTCCAGGAGGCCTCATCATTTAGTTTCACCCAAAGACCTCCAAAACATCTCTGTAGCCCCGATTTTAAGCTCCATTTAGGCAGTTATATTTCAATGAAGCAATAATATTTGGACAAGATCCTTGCTATTCCCCCTAAACGTTTAGAATCTGCTAGGCTGATTTCAAATCACTAAATTGAGGAAGAAACTCAGAGTTCAGTACTGTTCAGTACTAGAACTCCAGAGGCAAATTACAGCGTTATATTTGAAGCTTTTACATGATGTTTCTGTAAACTTAAAGTAAGAGGAAAGCCAAAAGCTCTCTGGCAAAAGTCTGATCGTTTGTTAGCAAAACATTTGTTTAACTGTAAAGAGAAGAATTCTCTACAACATTGAATTACCAGAAGAAATCTTATGAAAAAATTAATGAGGTAGAAGACATGTCTAGTACAAGATAAAACACCTCATGTAATTCTATTAGAAATAGTAAATTCTTTTATTTGCTTTATATTATGCAATGTGTTATGATTTTGAGCAACTGCTTTCCATATAATCACGATTAACTTAAAGAACAATAGAAACAAAGAGAACTTCTGCACAAACAAAATTATAAACGCCGTTGAAGGCCGTTCATCTGGTTTTTATTTTACTGTGTTTGATGTATGTATGTATGAGGTGATGAGAAAACCTTTCTTAAGAAACTTTAACTAGGAGCATAGGCGCCGTGGAACGGGCGGCCGGGGACTGGGGGCTTTAGCCCCCCTACGTTTTGCAGAAAATGAAAAATATCAAGAGGTAAACCACCAGTAAAGCCTCTTTTATTCATTTGTAACCTTGTACTTTTTTTTAGACCCCTTCCTACATTTACATTAGACGAATTAAATTCCTACATTTAAAAAGCTCCATGTATTTGTGCAGGGGCGGAAATGCGGGGATATGGGGGCTAGAGTAACAGCTTTTGGTTAATTGTCAGTTTTAACATAGTCTTCAGCGCTATTGTTGGTACCTTTTTAGTCGAAATTTACTTATTTTTGAGGTCCTTCCCCCCCTCACCTGAAAAATGAAGTTCGCTCGCTGTGATTGTGATTTGATTGCATATTTAGGTGCCCTACGCCTGGATGCAACGGCAAAGGCCATGTTAACGGAAAATATTCTTCCCACAGAGGGTAAGTGGATCATCTGTAGTGTGCTCTTTGCTATAACCTTTGTTACTTACACTTAATTATGATATGGGAATACATACATATATTCGAGAAACTTCTATTTTGTAGGGGTTAGGGGCTGTACATTGTTTCGGAGTATTTTAAAGGCTCTGGCATTAAGACACTAGAATGCTTTTACCCCCAATGATTTAGATGCAACAGTGCTTTAGTTTGTCCAGTTTATCTCGTTATTTGAACAGTGTTTCAAATTGCTTGGTTCTTCGTGTTGTTCGAACTGTGTTTCAAATTGTCCGGTTCTTCTTGTTATTTGGATCGTATTTAAATTGCCCGGTTCTTCGTGTTATTTGGATCGTATTTAAATTGCCCGGTTCTTCTTGTTATTTGGATCGTATTTAAATTGCCCGGTTCTTCGTGTTGTTTGAACAGTGTTTCATACTGTCCGGTTCTTCTTGTCATCTGAACCGTGTCTCAAATTGTCCGCTTCTCTTTGTTATTTGAACCGTGTTTCAAATTGTCCGGTTCTTCTTGTTATTTGAATCGTATTTAAAATTGTCGGCTCTTCGTGTTATTTAAAAAGTGTTTCAGGTTTTCCGGTTATTCATTTTATCTGAACCGTGTCTCAAATTGTCCGCTTCTTCTTGTTATTTGAACCGTGTTTCAAATTGTCCGGTTCTTCTTGTTATTTGAATCGTATTTAAAATTGTCGGCTCTTCGTGTTATTTAAAAAGTGTTTCAGGTTTTCCGGTTATTCATTTTATCTGAACCGTGTCTCAAATTGTCCGCTTCTTCTTGTTATTTGAACCGTGTTTCAAATTGTCCGGTTCTTCTTGTTATTTGAATCGTATTTAAAATTGTCGGCTCTTCGTGTTATTTAAAAAGTGTTTCAGGTTTTCCGGTTATTCATTTTATCTGAACCGTGTCTCAAATTGTCCGCTTCTTCTTGTTATTTGAACCGTGTTTCAAATTGTCCGGTTCTTCTTGTTATTTGAATCGTATTTAAAATTGTCGGCTCTTCGTGTTATTTAAAAAGTGTTTCAAGTTTTCCGGTTATTCATGTTATCTGAACAGTGTTTCAAATTGTCCTGTTCTTCTTGTTATTTTAACAGTGTTTTGAATTGTCCGGTTGCACAGAGGGAATTCAAAAAGAAAAGCCACAGATCTGATTCCGTGGATTCTAAAGAATCAGAAAGTAACAAGTGAGTGGTAGTTTTTTTCAGTTGTGCCATTTATTCTTTTGTGTTTGCTTTCTCGTGTCCTGCTCTTGCGCTCAGTCAGGGAAAACCTTGCTATCTCCGAAGCTACAGCGAAACCTTACCATGGCTATAAACGCTAGTCTCTGCACTACTAGTAGGTCGTATGATATTTGTCTTTCCTATTAATATCGTTTTGAAGAAGACGGATGGAAATGGTATCATTCGTGAAGAGAATTGAAAAAGGTAACGAAATTCAAACCTTGAGTTTCCAAGTAACTTGCCATATCTCAATGGAGTATTTTGTTATTACAAACATCAAAGTTGTTTCTATATTCTTTGATTCAAAGCTGCAATAAGGTTAAAAACCTGTAAGTCAGGTTTAAAAAGAGATGAACTGTTAATTTGTGTTGTTCTATGTTCAAAGTACAAGCAAGGAAAAACAATTGCATTGAAACGTATCTGGTATTTCATTCAAGTTCTAATCTAAACACTTTTGTTAAAAGGGATTTTGATCTTATGTTTTGATTACAATCATTTTCTAATATATATCATTTTAATTAACTGCCTGCTTATTAGGTGCCCAACACCGGGATGCGATGGATCTGGCCATATAAAAGGTGGAATGTTTTCATCCCATAGAAGGTTTGCGACTCAAGCATATAAATGCTTTTAAAGCGAATTATTTATCGTAAATTTACCTTCGACACAGATTAGCTGATTGACTATTGTAGCGCTAAATGTTAATTTATTACCGTTTGATAAAGCTGATTATGTCTATTTCAGTTTGTATGGTTGTCCAAGAAGAAATTCTTTTTCAAAAGAATTTGACTTAGAAAGGTATTTTGCCTGTTTATTTAATGTTTATTAAAGCATTATCCTTTTTAACTCTTTTTCAACACCAGTTCTGTTGCACATAAATGCATTTTTGCTATAACCCCGTTCGCTCCTTTCTGCCAATATTAAAGATATCACCTGGCTAATTGTTTTTGTAGCCGGGGATCTACAGATTCACTGGCCTCATTCGCATCTGACGCTGTTTCCAAAAGAGGCAAAGGAACAAACCGTGGTAATTGTTATAACTCTCTTTCAATTTTTGTTTAAGGAAAGTCTAGATGTATTTTGTATTTTATTTGTTTTTATAATGTAGTTTGTTTTGCCTAGCATCCGAAGGTAGTTTTTAGGACACTGAGAAACTATCTTTATCGACCAGTGTCCTGGTCCTTACTGTCGATGTGACCAAACCTCGTGATTCCTACGCCTGGAATTACAGAGAGCTGGTGACTCTCCCCACTCTGGGTGAAAGTTTGGTCATGCCAGGGACTCACACCTCAGGTCCTCAGTAAGCGCCTCTAACAACTGAGCCATCCTCGCACTAATTTGATATGATTTTTCTTTCTTCTAGATATTTATAAAGAAGTGATACTACTCATTATTTTTAACGAAACTTAACTATGAATGCTAGAAAACGTCCATGTCAGGAAACTAAACGAACAATGTAAATGTGTTAACAAAACCAAGCATGGGAACTGATATACCAAAACGATTTTTCAGGACGTGGAAGAGCGCGTGCTGCTTCTGAGTGTGCAATGGAAGATTTGAAAGAAATCCCTAACGAAAATTCATTGGATGCAAGCATGGAGGAGATCTTTGATGAATCTGTGTCGAGTGAAGAGCTTGAAAGGTTGGATAATTCTGGTGAGGTAATGAATCCTTTAAGTAGCGTTGATGAGAAGAAACCTCGTGGAAGAGGAAGAAGCAAGAAGCGAAGCAGCAGCAAAGATTCTTTGTGGGACATCACAGAGGGGGAGGGAAATGTACTCAGGTTGAAGAGGAAGTCTTCGAATGCAAGGTGAGTGTAACTTCTTCAACTATGTAGTTTTTAAATGAAGGTAGATTTTTTTAGCTGGCAGTGTTAGGAAAAGGCTCCAGTGCCTATAGCTAGGTCCTAGAGAGAGAGAGAGAGAGAGAGAGAGAGAGAGAGAGAGAGAGAGAGAGAGAGAGAGAGAGAGAGAGAGAGAGAGAGAGAGAGGAGAGAGAGAGAGAGAGAGAGAGAGAGAGAGAGAGAGAGAGAGAGAGAGAGAGAGGAGAGAGAGAGAGAGAGAGAGAGAGAGAGAGAGATGAAAGATCACGCTTAGTTATTGTTTTCTTGGAAACAGAACGGGGGTAGCGGATTCCAAAGCTTACAAGATCTAGGGAGGGAGGAAGAGTTGTGGGATTGTGGTTGTGGGTTTGGCAGTGTGCTGCTTCATATGCTCTGGTAAGGTGTCTAGGTTTTTGTATCACGTGAACAGTGTACACAAGCCTTGTAGCATGTATTGTATATTCCTCCTTTGGCCGAAGAGAGCCTCTCTGATTCCGTTTAGAAAAATTTCTTTGTCAAAATCCTGTTTCCATATATCTCGTAAACATGAAATTATATCTGAACTGGAGTGTTGCTACTTGTTTGCTGGGAGTTTTTCTTTCCTGTCAATGCGTGAAAGAGCAATATTAACTCTGTTTGGCCTTTGATAACAGGCATCGAAGCCTGGTAGTGCTTTGGTATAAAGAAAATCTGCTTTGGTTGTTGTGAAAATAGATGCCTTCCGAACTGCGAGCAAACACCTTCTTCGCGCAGTGAGTCAATGCGCGAAGAAGGTGTTTGTTCGCAGAGTGACTGTCTTGTTTCTAATATTCTACGACTTTTTTAGGTGCGAGTTTCCTGGTTGCAGTGGCGAAGGACACGTTACAGGCAAATTTATCAAGCATAGAAGGTAACTTTGCCATTTTTTTTATAAAATAGGGTTTTATTGTCTCAGGAATCCTCGATGAAATCGTCAACAGATGTCTCCAGTTGATTTTGGCTGCGTTAAAATCAGTTCGGGTCCTTTTCTGATGATGTGTTGTTTCTTCTTGGACTAAGTGTAAATCTTCATTGTTTATTTCTATTGTATTCTCTTAATATACGTTTCACAGCGGAAAACATCCTAGAGATTCAGTTACGGAGAAAAAAGAGAAATAACTGGTAGAAAAATTCAATTTGACTTCAATTTGAATTTGAAATAACTGGGTTTTTTGTTTTTCTCTGCAATGACTCCCAGGATGATTTTCGTTGGCGTCCTTCTACTGAAACTGAAATGATGCTCCACATTTCAGGCAATGTTTGGTATTCGTTATATAACTGTGGCCTCGTTTTCGTTTTCAGTCTCTACGGGTGCCCATTAGCAGCCAAACTAAGTAAAGAGACAGGTCTGTACTTAATTTTAGCATCAGTTTCTAATTGAGTCAGTGTAATAGCTTCTCGGTTTTCAATTTCCGTCCAAGAACTACTGCTGTTTCTGCTAAGATGTGGTGCTAGAGGAGGGTTAATGGGCTAGAACCCCCGTTGGAGCATGTTACCCCTTAAGGAGATCAAAAGTCAAACTTATTGTTGTATTTGTAGGAATTGGCTTGCTTGTCCGATTTTTTTAGTCTTTAAACCTTATTTTGTTTTAGACAGGGGTTCTCATTTCTGCTTTATGAATCGTGATTAGGAAAATTTATCTTCTTCATGTCTCAAATGGTAGTTGTATGTTTTGCATCAGCAAGTCCTTTGAAAATCAACCATGCTGTGTAGCTATGCTTCTTAGAAAATGGAATTGATTTAGAAGTCAATTATAGACCAGAATAGTCAATGAGATTCGAATTGGACCTTTTCTAAATGCTAATGGGTTTTAATACACTTTAGCAAATGACATTAATTTATATTTAATTTCTTCTATTTCATGCAATTTTCCTTTGACTGATGAATTGCTGTGTTTGCAGATGGGTGAGATCATGTTCTTAATTTTATTGTTTATTTCAAAACAATGGTGCTTTAACTGTTTAATCCTACATATTATCTCTGTGTTAAAAACCTTTCGCGATATTTCCCTGACTGTTTCTTTTTTATGTTGAAGGAATTCCATTTACCTCAAACTATTGTGTGTAATGTTGAAAATTACTTTTAGGTTTGAGCAACCTTTGATTGAACTGTTAAGACTTTCATCCCATGCATCGAATATGTTGTAGATTGTAGCAGTAGCACACCCCTGCCATCTGACACTCCCCTCCCTATAAAACCTTTTGTTGGATCCAATCATGGTATTTTCCCTGCATTCTTCAGCTCTCCCTAATGATTTTTGTGTTTCAGCTGTCCTTACCCTGGTTGTGATGGCGTCGGTCACGTTGTACCAGGCCTTCTTACTCATGACAGGTATGAAATGACCAAAACCTTTTTCACAAAACCGTATTTACTCGAATAGCCCGGAATATTTTCAAGACCGACATGTTTTCAAGACCGATCTGTTTTCAAGACCGGCTTGTTTTCAAAACCGGTATTTACTTAAAACTTGGCGTTTATAAATTTGATGAAAAATCAAATTTTATGAAGGTTCAGCAATTCAGTTTGTTCAAAGACAAACAACTGATACCAAAAACAATCTTATTTTCTTTCTTGATAGACCTTCTCTATTATATAAACGATATAAGAATATTATTTAATGATATTTTTTTGAAATAGCAATCGATTTTTTCCCCGACTTTAATTCTTTCTGCTGCTACTGTTTATTTTGACTTTGATGTTTGCATCTGTCTTTTAGACTGCCATGCTCATTTTCCACCATATCAGGATATGATTCAAAATGCCTAACTTATACTCGAGTCTTGCCATCAACAAACATTTAAACTAACGCCAGACCTCGAAAGAGCGGTTATTTCAAAACCAGAAAGGCTTGCTGGCGTCTGTTGCATCAGTAGCGTTTATTTAAGGTCTGGCTGTAAATCGAGTAAATCAAACTTGGATGTCTTTAGGCATCGTTCATTCTTTGCATTAATCATCTTTTTAGCTTAGTTCTCTTATATATACCAAAAACAGTTTTTGATGACAATAACTCACAATTGGACGCCTGGTTTTTTCTATCACGACTCGTTTTTCTTTAGTTTTGATAACATACAAATATATTCTTATCAAGAAGTGACAATTGCTGTTCTTTTGAAATTGAAAGCAGCTCTTGCTTTCTCGTAAATAGTTATCGATCACTCTTTGTAGCCAAAAATTTGTAAACCAGTTTCATCTTTATTTTCTACTTTAAAAATGTTCTGTTTTTGTGTTTCAGTCTCTCTGGTTGTCCAATGGTCGCCAAAGTTATGGTTCCATCAGGTAAAAGTGATAATGGTTTAATTCACTATTCTTGAAGAATATTGCAACCGACTTCTTGATTTTCTTCAATAAAAACGTTTTAAAAACCCTTACCCCCTTCCAATGATATGGTTTTCATTTATAATACCAGGAGGTAACTTTTACGAAAAGTGAATATACTCAGATAAACCAAAGTCCTTCACATCTTTTCTAAAATAAAACAAACTTTTTTTAAAAATAATGATTCACTGTTCCTTATTTTACAAATAACGAAATTTGAAACTGGCTGCTGTTTTTTTCTTGCTGTTTTTTAAATTCGTTTTATGGTTCTTTTCAAATTTTTGTTCCTTTCAGATATCGAAGTGAGGTACGTTTCCAGTTGATTTTCGTCATTAATCAATTTTAACGAGTCTTTTTCCATGTTTGAATAAAATAAAAGTTTTAATCATTATTCAATCATCATTAGGCATTTTATCAAGGGATTTACAAGAATATCTGATGATTCGTTGTGGACAACATTTTTTCTTACGCCATGCTATTTAATCGTTATGGTCGATGTGTTTAATTATTGTTCATTTCTTGCTTTCCTTTCAGGCCTAACTTTCTCAGAAACTGCCAACTGTTACTCTGCAGTGGACTTTCCTATGATTCTATGAATAAACACTCTCTTTTCTGGTGCAGCTTATTTTCTCTTCTATTTATTGCAACTAAATTTTTCTATAATTTACTTTTGTTCACTATTTTGTCGTTGTTAGATGCCCAATACCAAGCTGTGATGGGCGAGGCCATATAACCGGAAAGTTTTCAACCCATAGAAGGTTTGTTTTCTAATGCATGCTCACTGTTAAATCTTTGTTATAATGTGACGTAATGCTGCTTTGCGCAATGACGAAATACAGGCTTGCTTGACGTTTGTGTGTCACAGGTACTTCCTATAAGTGGCGGCAACAGCTACTGCAGAGTGGCGAGGTAATGGGTCTAGCCCATGACACCGCGCCTTTTTTGCATCGTTTTGGAGCTTTACACCAGGCTTGCAAAAATAGGACCTTTCCCTACCCAGTGAATTTTTATCAAGTTTCAGAAGAATAATGTGGACTACGTTTTGACATAAGAGTGTGTTTGTGTGGGGGGGGGTGTAGGGGGAAAGAGGCGTGTTGGGGGTGAAGGGGGATAGGGGCGTGTTAGGGTGGAGAAGGATAAGGGCATTTGGGGTTGGAGGAGGATAAGGGCGTTTGGGGTTGGAGGGGGATAAGGGTGTGTGGGGTTGAAGGGGGATAAGGGCGTGTGGGGCTGGAGGGGGATGTGAGGGTGGAGGGGGATAGGAATTGTGGTCGATCGCACCTTCTCCTCAAACCCTCATTACCGCTGCTGTTTTGGCGTGGTGATGTTCGAGTCGAGCAGCTTGGTTTCTTCTACCTTGAATTATGTTATGCTAGTTACAGGAATCTTTATTTCTTCATGTAGCGCAAAAAACCTTTAATCGAACTCTTGCTTCAATTACAGTGCAACAGCCTGTCCCAGAGCCGCTCTGCTGCTTGAAGGAAAAATTTCATATTCATCAGTTGAAGAGGAAGGTTTGTCAAAAAATTTCATTTTTAAACCACTCTTGGTTCCTTTACATAAATAGCTACTTGAAATATAAAAGACTATTTCATTGTACAAAACATATCTGCATTTGGCACTTTGTGCTTAAGACCATCAACATTTTAGTTATCATGTCAAACTCACGCGTTGACCTTAGAAGGTAGTGTTGTTAGGCTCTCAGTTATGTTGGAACGTATTTTGCTTCAAGATTGTTTGTTGCAGGGGGTAGCAAGGGGGGCCGGGGGGGTCTGGCCCCCAATATTCTAGAGGGTACCCGACTTGAAACGTTTGCAGATCATACTGAGTTTGAAAATGTGCACATGTTGCCTTCTAACCCTCTCTCCGATTACTGTGTTGGTTTGTACATATTTGTGCGTTACCACTGTACGTTTTTTTCAATATAGTCATTTCTATATGTTGGTAATGAAAATGTTTGGCCCCTTAATGTCAAAGTCCTACCCCCCCCCCCCCAATGTCAAATTCCTAGCTACCCCCATAGTTTGTCGTACAGTTCTTTTAATTTGATGACGACATATCTGCTTCTTCATTGAGCTTTTGTTCTAGAAATCGTGAATAGTCTTTACGAGAAAAACCCGGAGTCTTTTGCCAAATCGAAGAACGCTGTTTCAAGTGCGATTACCGAAGAGGAAATGCAAGTATTTTCATTGGATACTTATTTTCTTAACCAGCACTCAATGCTTTTAAATTCCAGGTTACCAGGCTGAAGCATATATATTGATAATGATTTTTACTAAATCGAGAAAGTTCGAGCGTGTTGAACGACAAGGGCAGGACACAAACCCTTGGCAAAATTTCTCACATACTCTCACATTATCCTGTTGCACTTACAACTAAAAAAGCTTTCTTTGAAAGATTAAATTCACTAATCCTTTATTATAAAATTCACTAATCAGAAAGATAGATTTAGCCAAAGTATTAACAAATTAAATTTGGAAGATTTAACATTATGTACATATCATGGATAGTATCAAAACTATTACTTGTAAGTAACAATGTTTATCAGCTTTCTGTTTATGTTTGTTGCTCAGATTGGCTTGCGATGAAAGATTTGCTGACGAGGGTTATGACCAAGAGTGTATGAGCAAAGCAAAAAAGGCTTCTCCAAGTAAGCTCATCTGTTTTTGTTACAAACTATTTGACAGCGTAGTACAAAATCTAGGGCTGGCACCAAGAGTTAAACCATTTAATCTGCATGCTCACATACTCCTTTCGCGTACTGAAGAAGTTCGGATACAACATTGATCAGATCCGAGAGTCAAGGGCAGATAAAGGCTTAATGCATTATCGAACGCTAAATTGATGAATGCATTTATTAATAGGAACTATTCGCTTAGCATTAATAACACTGCAGGACTTAAAAATTTCATTTATATTCACGTTAAACGAGAATACTCGCTGTAAATCTGTATTTGCTCTGTACTGAAAGCCGATTAGAGGGAGCAGAGTTCAATGGAAGGAATTCCTTGGGTAGAAGCTTTCTCCTAGTGGATGCAAATAATCCTAAAAAGGAAGTCCTTGTCATAAAATTCTCTTGTCGTTATCGTGTAGCAAGATTTGGCAACGATGTCATTAAATCCAGTTGAAGATGGCATCTTATTATAACTTCCTTCTGTTCTTTTTTATTCGTTGGTGTTTAATTTATTCTAGGCAAAAGAGAAGACCCAGTCCTGACTATGTGCAAGGAAATTGAAATACTAGGGGCTGTTAATGCAGAATTTGAAGAAAAGAATTTAGAACTAAAAAGAAAAGTAGAAGAACTTGAGGCTGAATGCAAATCAATAACAGAAGATGTGTTGGTTGTAAAAACAGACGAAGAACAGCTGAGAGAAGAATACCAAGTTTGTAAACGAAAAATTCTTTACTCGCTCAGTCGCGTCGATCTCGGCGTTGTCGGGGTGAAACCAAATCTCAAGGATTTTGACTCGTTGATTGAGACATTGAGTAGCGGCTTTAAAAAGCAAAAAAAGAACTACGAAATAGTTTTAAAAGAAATTAGAAAAACCATTGCTTGTTCTGATTTATGATAAATCATTTGCATAGTGAATTTTGCATTTCGGAATGAATTAGAAATTTTTCAGTTTCTTGAATATAACAGTCTTTGTAAATGTATGCCTTTAATTGATGAATATAATAAATTTAAAGCGATATGTCACCTAATTGGTTTTGGATCACAGGGGCACAAAGAATCCTGTTTGTGCGTGGTAGATTGGGAATCTAGAACCACTGTCGAGTGAACTGGATATTTTTAATGATGATTTTCGTGGGATTAAAATTTAAGTCGGATTGAATTCAGATGGACTGAATTCAAGAATGATTTTATTTGATATACACCAATTGCGATGTTACCGTTTATTAAGTTTCCTAAAACACAAAGAACAGTGGAAAAGGTTGGTTTACAGACGCAGCAGTGTCCCTATTACTACATTTTTGACACGTCTATGGGGGATTTTCCTAG